AAACCATTAAACCCGCATAAAAAAAACCAGGGGCGTGTTTTAAAATGGTTCCCACGTTCACACCACCACCGTCCTTCCCACACCATCTCCATCCTTCCCACACCACCACCACCACCGTCCTTCCCACACCATCTCCACCCTTCCCACACCACCACCGTCGCCCTTCCCACGCCCACACACAACCAGAGGAAAGACAGCCCAACAGGTAATCCTCTTCCCCGTGTTGTAGAAGCTGGGTACCTAACCAAACCGGTCCTTCCCTCCCCCCCACCACGCCCAGCCCCCTCCCACCCCTTCCCCACCACGCCCAGCCCCCTCCTTTACCTTCCTCACCCCCAATATTTACCTCACTATCCTCCTCACTATCCTCCTCACGCCCTAAGAATGAATTAAAATATTAACTCATCACTTAATACACGTGAATAATGGATGAAGAATGTGACCTTACCTTAGTTACCTGTGAGGATAATGTACTACGGGAGAGAGGAGCCAGGTGAGCGGGAGTAGGTGAGTGGTTTCAAGGTTAGACACACCGACTACCACTTTCGTTTTCTGAGTTATACCCGTTTTCCTGGTCCCCCCCTGTGTGCGTATGTGTGTGTGTGTGTGTGTGTGTGTGTGTTACCATGTGGGTATTTATACGCTTGACTGTTCGTTAGGGCCGGCACTGCATTCGACCGCCTTTAATTCCCCAAACTGTAAAATCAGGGACCCATTCACAGCTCTCTCTCTCTCCCTCCCTCTCCTCCTTCTTAAGTATTGGTGAGATAAGATTAAGTTAAGATGGGTTAAGTAAGATTAGGTTAGGTTAGGGGTTAAATGTTAACTGGGAGGTGGGAGTTGGTCGCTCCAGGTAACAACACTAGACACGGGTCACAAACTGTATCTTAGCAACAGATAACACTGCTATGACTCCCTAATGGTGACTGCAGCACAACACTGACATCCTGCAGGTGTGGTCTGTTGGCCTTGATGAAGTATACCTGTACCTCCTCTTAATGAGTCTACAGCACCTGTACCCTCCCTACCTACCTGTCCTAGCTCCCCCCTCCCTCTCTCTACCTCCTCTTTAACTCTACCTGCCTGTCCTTCCTCTACCTCCCACCATCCTTAACCTCTACCCTCCTTCCCTTCCTACCTCACTCCCTCCCTCCCTCCTGCCCTTCCTACCTCACTCCCTCCCTCCCTCCCTCCTGCCCTACACGTATGGCTGACCACCAGGCACAGGAGGTGGTGGGCCCCGCTAGTGCTGTGATCTCCATAGTAAGTGTACAGTCAGTCCGTCTGTCTATCTGGGTTAATTATTACGTGTTACTGGGATAGTGACTCCCCGCCTTACCCAGCCAGGATGTATCACAGGGGTTAGTATGTTAGTATGACTGCCTTACTGGTGATGTGTGAGCGTGTCTGACTCACTCACCTACACTATACAGACGATTCAACAGACTTCCATAACTAGAGACGTTTTCTTTTGTCCAGTGATAGTGAAGAATTAAATAAATTGTGTACGAAGAGTTGAGAATCATTTACGTGGTCAATAAGAGCCCCGCCGGGATAACGGGGTAATAATTTCAGACCGTGGGGCGGGGCGGGGCCACATGGGGTATAACAGGGTGGTGGTGGTGGTCGGTAACAGTATACAAGAGGGAGATGTAACCTGACTTTGTGTGGCCTCTGCTGACCTCCCGCTGATGTACGAGGCCACTCAAGACCTTCCTCAGACAATCACCCTCACACGGCAGTACACCTCCACACAGGCAACGTCACTCAATTACTTGGGTTTACTCAGGTGTGTCCCGGATTGAATGCTCTACGATTATACTATGTCCACATCGTCTATTAAGTCTACAACAACAATCGGTACTGTAGCGAGCGGGTGGGCGGGCGGGCGGGCGGGCGGCTCCACAACAAAAATTCAGGGCTGTGTACTGTAGACTAACATGACATCTTAATCTGACCCTGAACTTATCCAGGTAAAACATATTGGAAGGCTCAGGTAAAGTTGGTGTAAAGTTTAAGTGTGGCGACGTCATCGTTCTTGTGTAGCCACTCAACCTAAGTGCATTCCTCCTCCTCTCCTGAACCACGAACCTAACCTAAACAAACCTAACCTACATACATATGGTTCAACAAGCTACAGGTGAGTGCCGGGGCCTGGGAACTGAGCAGACCCGCTGGTGGCCACAACAACAAGCAGTCTCTCCCCCCTCCCCTCCCCCGGCCTCTCGCAAAATCACCCCAAAAAATTCATAGATCATTTTTAGCAACTTGTATTAATATTAAGTCTATGGAAGGTATTTATTCTGTACAAAACTATAGTAAAAATATAAGGAGATTAAAAAGCCAAATATTGTCCCCACCTGTCGCTACGGGCCTCAGTACACAAGTGTCATATAAATTAAAACCTCGAAAGATTTAGAAAGAAAAAAGTAATACAGATATAAATATTTACAAGGCTCCCAAGTAGGTTTAGATAGAGACATTCTTAAAGAGTATCTAGACACGGGTTAGCGAGGGTCCAATAATAATAATACCAACAGCATTTAAAAAAAAGTTTGTGTTATAATCCTCGTGACGGAGATGTAAAAAATAATAAAAATAAAAATAAATAAATACCTGTGTTGCGTTAATTAAAAAGGTGTGTGTGTATGTAGGGGGGTGAGGCACACATGAGATCCTGGGGGGTGGGGGGTGTGGGGGGAGGGTGTGTGGGGGAGGTTTATCATCATCATCATCAATAAGATTAGCATCACCAAAATGATCATCTCCTGACCAGCATCACCACTCACCTCACCTGTCCGGGTCAAGGGGACACGGAGATGAGGATGATGGGGGGAGAAGGAGGAGAGGGGAGGATAAGAGGAATAGGCATAAGAAAGAGAAGAATTAAAAAGACGAAGATAAGGAAATCGTGAGATAATAGAAGACTGTGTGTGTGTGTGTATGTGTGTGTGTGTGTGTGTGTGTTACTATATAGTCATTCGATCTTATCACTTACCACCATCTTTAACCCTTATCTCTTATCTCCTCTTCTTATTCCTCCTCATCCATCATCCTCCTATCCACTTCTTGCTTTCCTTCCCTGTTTACGTCTTCTCTCCACTTCCCTTCCTCATCCATACCCGCCTTTCCATATTTTTCCTCTCTATCTCTGTTCCTTTCAACCTCTCTTTACTCTCTTCTCCTTGTCTCTCTTCTCTACTTTCATCCTCACCCTTCTCTACTTTCATCCTCACCATCCTCTCCCCTCCATCCTCCCCCTCACCCCTATCTTCTCCCCTCCCTCACCATCCTCTCCCCTCCCCCTCACCATCCTCTCCCCTCACCCCCCCCACCTCTCACCAGGCGCCATCCTCTCCTTCATCCGGTTAACATCAGACAGCTTCTCCTCCTCTGCCCTCTCCTCCCTCCCTCCCTCTCCCCACACAAACCGGACCTCTCTACCCGTAAACTAACAGATACTGATCGTGTGTATCAGTGAGGAGAGAGGAGGAAGAGGGAGAGAGGAGGGAGAGGGAGGAGGAGGAGGAGGGAGGGAGGGAGGGAGGGGAGGAGAGGAGGGAGGAAGGGATTTATAGTAGTCATTACAGTCACTGCAACACCTCCTCGTGACAACACCTGACACCCCATCAAGATAAACACAACGATAAGCCGTACACGCTGGGGTTGTCACGATACTGCTGTTGTGTTAGTGCTGGACCTGACCTAACCTAACCTAACCTGACCTAACCTAACCTAACCTGACCTGACCTGACCTGACCTAACCTAACCTGACCTGACCTAACCTAACCATAATACAAGATAATTAATACCTTAAAACCCTCTCCTTTCCTCCTCCTTTTCCACTCAATACCCCCCACTCCCCCCTCTCTTTCCCCCTCCACACACACACACATAGTGGCGTTACAGGATACAGTGGTAGGATATGGTGAAGGAAACAGGTGTGAGACGAGAAGTGAGGCAGGACAGGTATGTGAGGACCAAGGGTTAATGACCACACAAACTACAGTACCTACCTGACGAGACTCACCTGTGTACTGTAGCTACCTGACCTCCTGAGAGAGAGAGAGAGAGAGAGAGAGAGAGAGAGAGAGACCTTCCCCCTTGGCTGCTAGTGTCATTCCTTCATGTCTGAGTTCTTCCCCAACAGTACTTTCCTGATAGACCTCTCGCTAACCTAACCTAACCAAACCTAACCCAACTAACCTAACCTAACCTAACCTAACCTAACCAAACCAAACCAAACCAAACCAAACCAAACCCTCCTAACCTAACCAAACCTAACCTAACCAAACCAAACGTAACCTAACGTAACCTAACCTAACGTAACCAAACCTAACCATCAGACTACAAGGGGGGGGGCTTTCTAAACATGAATCCAGACATCGCTATACCATCCAGATCCTGACCTTTTGCATGGAGTTGTTTCCCTTCTCTCTCACCTTTGTTTCCACACTACACCTTCAGGCAGTCCTCGGTGTGACCCTTCATGGTGTCCGTTGCTCCGTCTTTAGTATGTCTCTTGACCACCTGATGTATTTAATAACATTATGTGTATGTATGGTGAACTGTATTACCTGCAAAGAGGAGGAGGAAGGGAAGCAGAAAGAGAAGAGGAAGGAGAAGAAAGAAAGAAAGGAGGAACGAGGAGGAGGAAGGAGAGATCTCATACAGGAACTCACATGATAAATCCCCCCTACACCCTCTCCCCCAGGTATAAAGGTGACACACACCAGATCTAACCTAATTTAACCTGACAATCAAAGCTACACCTAACCTGATAACCTTATTAAACCAAAATTAACCAAACAACCAAAATTATGTTATTGTGTTTGAACCTAGTTTTTTTTTTCATATTTATCTGTATAATTGTTTTTACCTCATGTGTTCTCCATTATCTCCCTATCTTCTCTCATTTATATCCTATAGTATCCATTATCTCCCTATCTTCTCTCATTCAACATTATCTCATGGGACTTCTCGGTGTTATGTACCACCAGGACTGTCGCTGTTGCCGGGAGACACACCTCAGGGCTAGGGAGGTCACACTAACTCACTGCTATGATGCTGACGGCAACAGACTCACCGGGGACCGAGGCACACTAGTCATCAAACTACGAGAACCTGCTGATTGTCAGTGCTTCAAGTGTGGCGATTCTACACGATAGTTAGCTACATTTTTACCTAATTACCTACCTATATACCCCCCTCCCTTACTCACTCCCTGACCAGCTAACTGACCGTATAGTTCACCATGATCTTTTTAAATTCCTGACGCTAATAAATATCCCGAAAATTCCTGATCCCTACCATATGGAATCAATCTACAATTAACACCCACACCTACTACCACTACCATCAACACTTAGTACTTTACACGGTTGCATTTCTATACAAGACTCTACTGTGAATAGCTGAGAGTGTTGCACCGTCTACTATATCTATATATATTTTTCAATGTTATATTCCACACAGCTGAATTTTCCACCTACACGTCGAAAAGCAAGATTTATTATGGAGTGTCAGGTTGATATTTGACTGATTAACTAACAGATTGAATGATTGAGAACTGCATCAATTAGTTCACTGATTATTAGAATTATTAATTATATCATTGACTGAGAATACCGCATCTGTTGGTTGAGTTGTGACTATGCTAACTGCCCCCACCCCCACGACACTACTCCACCAATTCAGTCAAGTACAGTTGTTACTGATGCTACTGAACTACTGAACGCTGCTGCTGTTACTACTTGACGGAGTGTGCATATCAAAATATATCCACATATTAATTAGCTATATATTAAAGGACAGGTTATATATACACTGTTTAGATATTATTGAATAGTTTTACGCTTACCTGTATTGTAGTGGATAAAGGACTTAGCTTAATGGAAATGTAAAAAATATATAATGTTTAATGTTTAAGAATAAGTATACACCTCCAATGTTGAGAAATGTATTGAGAAAAATGCCTCCATGACTAACAATTAAAGAAACAATACTGCTACTGCCTCACACCTATTAACAACTGCTGCTGACCACCCATTGACCTGAGAATTAATGTTAATATAGTGGTGAGTGTTGTCAAAGCATTAAAAAAGGAGGAACAAGAATATTTTGATGTTGCTTGTAGCTATTTTAATGTACACACGTTCATAATGTATCGATATAATATAAAGTTTAATATAAAAGTCTAGTCTTAATACCATATTTATCTTCTGAACCGTTTATTTTAATCATGTGAAGATGATGTTAGAGTTTAATCTTACTATGTTTGTGCTATGTCAGTATGTATGTTTAACAGTGTTTATATAATATTTTCCGGAATTACTTAATGTTTAGATAAATGTCACGTATTTGGTGATGTTTGGGGAAACGTTTTAGCCATTTATTTCCCCACTAAGAACTATATAACTATACTACATCAATCTTCTATGTGTGGGGACTCTGTATATAGAGTGTGGCAAACATTACGACCCACTGATATAAACCATGAATTATTTAGCCAGTGGTTTTTTTTTTGTCATCAACCTCTACATTAAGGATTGGTAAAGGTAGAGAGTATATTATTGTTTGATGATTTGTTTATACATATTGAGGATATGACTGATAGCCCAAGATTAAACGCCATATCATATGACGTTTAATCAGAGTTGCCAACTTAGCGACTTTGTAACTAGATCTAGAGCTTTTTGTTTTTTTCAAGAGACATTTTAGAGCGATTTGCGACTCTAGAAATATCCTCAGAAATCTAGCGACTTTCTGGATACTTTTGGACTGTCCATGAAAACTCAGTTTTCCTAATTTCGAGCCATAATATATAGCAACGGGGTTACAGGGACAATAAATAATAAGAAAAGTTTAATACATTTGAACGGGTCGTGGTACAGAAGGAGGGACACGTCTATTTCCTGATCACTTGATGTCAGCCCGTCCATGCATCTAACACCCTAAAATTGTGGTCAGAAGTGGCAAATTACAGAGATGCGACAGGTGAAAACCCTTACCATGATCTGGCTGAAATTGCACTCGCTGCCTTATCTCTTCCTCATTCAAACGCAGATGTAGAGCGCACATTTAGTAATATGAACTTTGTGAAATCAAAATTGCGCAACAAAATGAAACTATCGACATTAAAGGCAATTCTTACAATAAAGTATGGGTTAAAAAGACAGAACACCTGTTGTGAACTTCCTAGTGATATTTTAAGAAAGATAGGGACCTGAACCTGAACCAAGCACTTCACATGCTTCCACCTCTACAGTTGTTCACACTACCAAGAGGACTGGGATGCAATTACTATTGAATAATAGGTAAGTGTGCACATTAAACTTTAAAAAAATATTTTTATTTTTACATAATGCATTTTATTTATACTCCGTCCATTATAGTCGTCATTATGAAAATATTATTTGCATCAAATTACTGAAGGGGGAGAATAATAGCTAGCGACTTTCCATGGAAGATTTAGCGACATTAAGCTACTTTTAGGTACCAGCCTAGCGACATGTGAAGATCCGAGTTGGCAACCCTGCGTTTAATCTCGGGGTTATCAGTTACCGACACAGCCTGAGAGCGTTGGACCCACACAACACACACGTGAGAATGAAGGAAACTGCAGTGGGCATTGGTTCATACTAGGCAGCCCTGTTTACACCCAACCCCTATCACTCATAATAGTCCTATAACTAACACACCTTGATATGAACCAAAGTACAGTACCACTACAGTACCTTGTTAGCCTTGTTCCCATCAAATACGTACTGCTGTCTAGATTTATGGTTCCTACTTATTAACCTTAAATCTTTCTCAGTCGAATTACTCTTTATGAACGTTAATCATCTGATAGGTGGTTCCCTACTTCCACTTCCCAGCCTTAGTACCGATGACATTCTCCACACTTCAGCACTAACATGTAATGTCATGGTTGAGGCCATATAACAAGTGTTTTGTCGGTGTCATTTCAATTGCAAGTGATTCCATACTGACAAATTGAACTGTGGACTTACTGTACGTCTTAAAACCAGATATAGAAAAACTGGTAATTAAAACATTGCACAGTAATTAATAATCTATATACAAGAGATAACCACTTACCCTGCTGTAATGAACGTTATCAGTAGCGCTTGCCGGGCAGAATTACTTAAAAAAAACGTAATTAACCAGGAGAGAATCACCAGCACCAGTCACCATGGCACTAACACTGACTGACTGAACTGTGAACGAGCAAGACCTGGAGGTGTTGGCAGTCAAGACGTGTCAAAGAGCAAACACATATCACTGAACTATAACTGATTTATTAGGTTTGAACTAATAGGTATTACCATATTATTCGTTCCTGTTAAAATCATACAAAATTAGTAACTATCTGTTTAAATTCGGTTGACATCAGTTTTCATGTTAAGAAATGCAGTCAACACGTGTTATGGAGCATCGAACTCAGTAGTTATGACTCATCAATGATTTGCATTTCTAATGACCCTAAAGTTGTCTGTGCCATGACATCATAGTACAGTAGTATATAAACCAAGGAAAGTATTTAAAGTACTTTCCTTGGCATAAACAATATTGCCAGCCTTTACCTCACCAATACATCGTAATTTAGTATTTCATGTATTTATCTCTTAGACTTCATTTACAGTACTGTATTACCAGTGCATTTGACATTGTGGAATTAATAATGTATCTAATGTACGAAAATATGTCAGGCACTTGATACCTATGTAATAGCATCTGCTAGCCAGACTCCAGTGCTGCCTTACAACTGTTGTAACACTACAGTACAACCAAATTCTGTTTCTATGTTTTAGTAAAGTTGTGTAATCGGCTGGAAAAAAAATAATCAAATAGCAAAATGAATGCTTCACTCAAGTTGATTCGGTAGCTTAACTTACCTTTGGTTAAGTTAGGTTGGTTAGGTACTAACCTAACCAACAGTACCTAACCAAACTAACATAAACTAGCTAACCAAACCTAACCCGAGTGAAACATGCATTTTGCTATTTGACAATTTTTTTTCAATTATTTCATGAAATGATTAATTACACAACTTGGCTTTAACATACAGTACAATATTTACTATACCATACTACAGTATATTCTAAGTCACTTTTGCAACGGTTTGATTTTTGTTGTCCTGTTCTTGCCTGGCCTCATCAAAATCGTCTGTCATTAGCCAGATAGAATACTAAAAGTGGCATCTCAGTAGTGAAGGGGTTAATCCACTGGTCAGTCATCATTAAGCCAACAGTTACCTTGTTAGTGGTATCTGCAGGTTGCCTTGGCTGGGTGTCATCCTCTTGAATCTCAGCCTTCTTGCTTGAACTCGTTGGTCCACCTTTTTATGATGGCTTAGGGAGGGGGCACCCATGCCACTCACTCCATGTACAGTATTATCACACAAACAGTCAAATTTGAATGCCTCTCCATAAATCTTCATCACCTCTCACTGTGCCTGGAGTCGTATTTACCAGTGTGCACTTATGCAGTACTGTACAAGGTTTGTCGCCCCATGGCATAATAAGTTAAATAAAAAAAAGCTACCTCCTAAAGACCCTTCACTTCTCACCTATCCTTTATGGTAATCTTTATTCACACTCTCACTTACTGTATAACCGTACATACACTTTCCTAGTTGTACTCAGTAGAATGATTCATCTATAGTTGTTGCATTTTTTCTTGGTGACTTTCTCGATACAACCATCCAGCTGTAGTTTCCCTTTCTATGCCCCTGTTGTGCTGAGGAGCAACTCAGAATTACCAGGAGAATGGTTAAACCTAATTACCCCCACTCAACCTCCCTGCAAGAAGTGACCCTCAGATCCTATGATATGTTTTAGTCACTCTTAAAGATTAAAGGGTGGGGTGGGATACCAGGTAACTTACATTTCAAACAACTACTGAAGAACCTTAAAATCCTCTTAGAAGTCTTAGGCAACACACTACTGTGCATCTGGTGAAAACAAATGAGTTACATATTAAACAATATTGACAAAATGCCACATTGCACAGATTCCTGTTACCTGCCCACTAATTAACCAACAAATGGGTTATGAAGATAAATATACCCAAAGTACTATACTAATACCTGAGTGATGACCAGCCTATCCTTAACTAAGTACTGTATCCAAAATTATGTAATACCTGTATAAGAATTGCTTCCAAAAATATAAAGATCGTTGAGAGACGCCGTATCAGCAGAGATGCAAACGAGAGCTGAATGCCGATTCACCCAGGGACCTGTTTTAATGCCCCACACGAATAGCAGAGAGTGTGTAATATGAAATTAAACTTAGAAAGAGGGTAGACAGTTATTTTTGACTGACTTCACGGTCAAAACCAATAAGGCATGAGAGGAGGAAGAGGCTTTAGCTGAATCGGGTGAAGAAACTAAATTAGGCCAAAGTGAATTATAATCCTGGCTTTCAGAAACCATTAAAGCCCAAGCTCTACTGTTCTCCCAAATAGAATACCGAGCTCTGGAGCTTTAGGTTTCACATACCAACTAACCCTACACAAGATTCTTAAGAAGACATACTGACAGCTATGAATTACAGGAGTAATATTCTCTTTTGGAATGTCTAGTGTTCCTTCCTAATCTGCTGCTGTACACCTAGGCAAAAAATTTGACTAGGTGTGACCTTAACATTTACTCTGGGCACTGAAGGTGTTCAGAAAATATCAGTCATCCTTCCTGCAGCTTTTAGAGAACAGGAACTTGTCAACAAACATCATTTATGTATAGACTTAGACCAAAGTTTCACTCTGAGGTTTAACTTTATTACATGATAACAACCAATCAAAATTTCAGATCTGTATAAACACTGCAGCTCAAGATGTTCTTGTAAACATTCACATTAATATAATCTTTTAACTTAAATAAATATATATGAACACTTTCAAGTATTTCCAGTTTAACATATCATGGAGAATTAAAACATTGATGTGTTTCAATTTTGGACCACCATCAGTGATTCAGGAAGTTATTGAGAATGTTTTGTGAATATCAAATTTCTAACAATCCATTCTTCAATTTCTCTGAAGCTCTCCCAATATCTCTTAGAGCTTTGAGGTTAAATTCTTCCCTTTCCTCCTTCTTTCTCCTGTACACCATTTTTTTTGTTGCCTTTTCTGCCAAGTGGATCAAATGTTGTTCTATCTTGTCCAGTCTCTTCTCTCCCCGCTGAAGATTGTATTCCAGGAAGATGGCAGCTGTGTCTGATGTATTTTTTAGATGTTTTTCTTCTGACAGTGTAGATGAGGCTATGGTCTGAGTTGCAAAGATTGACTCTCCATCATGGTGAAGCAGGGTGGTAATGGGAGCTGTGGACTGATGTGGTGCTTGGGGCAGTGTGGCCTGAGTAGGTGTTGGTTGCACTACATGAACACTAGTAGTATCTGCCGTTGACTTCTTAGTTATGATTGGTTTTATGTCTGCCAATGGCCTCTTTACCTGCAGATGACTCAAATCTCCACGAGGTTTTGGGGCCAGAGCCTCGACAGAATCAGTCGGAGGCATGGCAAGAACAGTTGTGCCTAACAGATCATCCAGTAACTGTAAAGTAAAAAATAGTTGATAATTAATACAAGAAAAACTGAGTAATTCAAATATCAACATTTATCCTCTTGTGATTCCTCTTTACTGTTTAATAATCTATGTTAGATTAGCTTCTAACATGGATGAAGAGCATCACATTGATCCCTGGTGAATATTTTAGTTTGATATCAAGTGAGCTGTAGAGATGCAAAGTTGTACATTAGTAAAATTAACTTAGGGGAAATAAGAGGTTAGGTTCAGGTGCCTCAAAAATACGTAGTTACAGGACGGACTGGGAGGATCATGAGGTTAGTTCCCATTATATATCAGGCCACACGTAACTTACTTACTTTCCTGAACAGTACTTTTACTTACTTATTTAATAATATATAATATGGGAATAATGGAACTTCTTACTTTTCTTGGTAGGATTGTATCATATGTTATGTATCTACAGTGTACAAAGATCATTTAATATTTCATAATGTTCCTTGTTGACTCTTCAAACATCATCCACATAATCTTTCATACATGTGTTTTCTTTGTACTGTACTGACTCTATCATAATCTATAATCCTTCTGTACAATATACTGTATTGTGCTCACATGTATAATACATGTGAGTACTGTGCTGTACCTGGTAATAATTCCATGTTATTCTCCCCAAATAGTCATCACTGCTCCGCTCCTTTATCTTCTGATAGGTTGATATGAGGCTGTTCCACTTTCTTCGTATCTTCTCAAGGGAGAAAGAGAAGCCTCTAAAACACATCTCCTCTTGCACTTCCTTATACACAGTTGGTCTTGTGTGCATCAAGAGAAATCTTTGGAATCTCTGCCTAATTAATTCAATCAGGAGAAGTGTAGCAGTATGGTTGAAGTCTGCATCATCTGTAGAGGGTAAACTCAGATTAAACATAATAAATTAACTGTACAATACTGTCAATTAAATTACAAAGATTTAAAATTTTGTCCTTGGAGAAAACATGTTGTACTCTAACATGTGTACAGTGTGAGAATTTCTTCATGACACATGGATGTGAACCATAGTGGTGTGTTTTATCATTAAGTTAGCTGGAGGTAAACAATCTAACCTCACAGAATTCAAAATTCATTTCATGTAAATATTAAAACTTCATTTAAAAATCTCATCCAACAATGTCAACAATGTTACTAACAAGAGCTACGGTCAGGGTTGATGGCAGTACAGTACAGTATATGAGGTAAAAGATTGGCAATAAAGGAGAACACTGAACCCTTACCTTCATACTTGGTATTAACTGTAGGTAAAGTTTGTCTTTGTGATGAATAAATATGATCTGAAACAAATGGAGAATAATGAATTAAAACACAGCAACAAGGAACAAACTATGGTACAGTTGTCATACTTACAAAATCTCTATTTGCCACCTCTTCCAATGACACAGTATGGTCGCACACATACACATTACTTCCTCTCACCATTCTACAATATGCCCTTCCACCATACCTTCTGTCAATCCAGGTGCTCACTCCTTGGGATCACATTCATACATTAAGTGTGCCAGGTCTTATACACCACTCACTCGCTCTAAGAAAGTTTGGTCTACACGAGTTCACTAATTGGAGTTTTAACTTTTACCATCGGTGTTTTAGGGAAGAATCCTTCACTATAAGATGCCAGAGTTTGATCCAACAGTCACCATAAGGTACAACACTGATATTACTCAATAGTCTGTCTAAATAAATGACCCAAATTTCTTCCTTTGATCTGTTTCACTATCTGATAATACTGAAGAAACAATGATTTAGAGATGCCAATCATCACAGTCAATCTTCTCTAAACATTGTTGCCACCACATAGCTTTTAAATACAAGTTGACATTATTTCCCAACAGGCTGCAGTCAAGTGGAAATGAAATTACTCTACTATATATTGTACATACAAATAAACAAAGTCCTTACCTTTATTTTTGCTGTCTACTGCAGTTATATTTGGTTTCTGTGCAAAATACATATGATCTGAAAATGTTGGAAAAGTATAGATTAAAGTCAAATCATAAACCAAGCAAACATTATATGAAACTACTACACACACCCACATACACACACACACACACACTCTTCCTCCTTGGACTCATCTCTCACAAGACAACAATGCTAATCTCCCCCTAAATGTTTCCTTCTACTGTACTTCTACTCTGTAACACCACCAAGAGAGATCGACATCCAGAGAATAACTTGAGCATTGACAAAATCTGTCTTCAATTAATTGTGGCAAGAAATGATCCCATAGATTAGTCAACATTTCTATGATGGGAAGGGGACTTGACAGACACGAGGAGTTTGATCCAGTTACAGCACCAAGATAACATATGTAACTTATATTTACAGCAAAACTTGTGCCAAGAATCCACTTTCTTTACCCTCACACCTGACCTGTCTAGGAATAAACAGTGATATATATTAAGTGGTGCTGTATGTCCCTAAAGGATCCTCAATTATACTTCAGATTGCCTTAAATAACGAGTCTACTGATGTTAATGTTGGTGGAAATAAATAGTTTAAAGAGTAGGTATAGTTTTATGTCATTTTCCAAATGGTTGATCTTCATTTTGCTCACATACATAACTCTATATCATTGAATTATGTTCCATTGCTCCATTTAAGTCATATATTCCTTACAGATGTTGGAATCTTTCTGATTTGCAATAAAGCATCAAGGAAGCTTTTTCATTTTCCATAATAAACCTTTAAACAAATTTAAGAAATCCAAGAAGTTCTCAAACCAGAATCCCTTAAAATGGGACAAATGGCCACCCATTAGGATATCCCAATCCCAGTCCTCTCAGCTTCACCCCTCAAGATGTAAGACTCTCCAAGACAGAACAGGACTTTATTTGAACTTTCTGCATAATCCTGTTAGCTGACTTGGGTGAGATGTTTAGTACATGTAAACAGATGGATGGATGGAAGGATAAACAAGTGTACATACATATACAGTACAGTAATCCTCTGCATACATAATATTAGCAGAGATCCTAACCAGTCTCTGCACAGCAAACTTTTTATAATGATACTGTTTATGTAATAATTGTACTCACCACCACTGGCACTTTTGGAATGGGACAAAAACACATGAACCTTCTCTCGAGCAATCAGGTTCTCACACTGGTCATGAGGAAGATCTTGAGTGTCTAATTCCTCCTGTGTCGACCTTGATGCATTCTCCAAGTAACAGCTTTCAAAATCCCAAAGTGTATGCCTCAATGATGTGGCTCTGATAGTGAAGAAAAAATAATGATAGAAAACGTAAAAAATATGTTGTTTGTAAATTAATCATAGAAATTACAAGTACGGTACAGCTTTAACATTGTACTGTGTATATGTGTTCCTACATCAACACAAGTTTTTGAGTTTGACCTCAAGGTTCCAGAGCATCTTTCACCTGTGTGACTGGGATACACCTACAGTACAGTACAGTATACACAATATCCCAGAAACTCAGTAAAGCTAGAAATTTGGAGATACGTAGGATCTTTCCCGGCTCAACCACAAGCTCCTTAAATACTAGGTAGAACGGAAGAGCCAACTAACAAAGGCAGAAAGCTGTGAATATACATTGCTGCACTTCATGTACATGTGCCTGCAACCCAAGTAGGATACAGAAGAGCCTGGCAAAGGATATATGGCCCCTACTGTACCAATTAATCTATCTAGTGGAAGTCTTACCGAACTGCCTGTTGACTCCAGAAAGCTTGGAGTCGAGAAATAACCAATCGCAAGGCTATGTTATCCCATCTCCAATTTTCTTCTTCAAAGTTTGTTCGGTAGAGGTTCAATGGCATCTCGCTTGCAACTGAGGGTTGTGGTGTCCTGCAAAATAAGATTAGTACAGTATTAAGAATTATAAAAAATTATTACATGACATTACTTTTTTGTACAAATTTTGGATTGAAGTTTGCTGACCAACTACCTGTGTTTTGTCCAGTATTCACACACTATAAAATGCTCAATGGTAAATGTTAATTTGAACAGTAAATAAAATAAACAATAAAACTGGTATGATAATAATGTACGGGTATGTATGTACGTAGTGCTACATTAGCTGGTGTACTATGGTTTAGTTCCTTCCTCCACTGTGTTATCCCTGGCTGCCACATCCACCATGTTGTCTAGGCTCACTGGCTAACCACTTGGGTCAACCTGACACTGATTCACCTCAGAATATGGAAATGTAACAAGTCTACTGGTGACACTCGCCTGGCTCTCATTAATGAATATTAGTGGGTGCAAGAGAGGGTGTCATGTTAACAAGTGACTACTGCTGCATAAGAAATTGATCCTACGCAGCTCATTCCTCACTGCCTTCTGTTATTTTACCAACTCCCTCATTGTAAAGTTTACTGTCTACAGAAGTCATCGTGATCCTTCTCCATTCAGTTAATGCATTTGCTGAAACATACAAAATATCTTCATAAATCTGTAACAATTACCTGTGACTAGCTTTTACATCCACAATCTCTAATATAGTTTCTGGTCTGGCCTTTCCTTCTCCAATTTGAAAGAGAACAGCCATGACTTTCCGTATTTCATCCCACAAGAATTCCCGAGCCTTAATGGTTGCCACACACATGTCATAACCATCACTGCTTAGAGTTCTTTTACATCCTTGTTTCTTTTTTATTGTAGATGTTGCTAGGTCTTGTGGCAAATGTTTTATCTTCTTGGGTAATCTACTGCCGTCTTGGTCACCGTCTATAACATCATCATCTGATTCCGTCTCTCTTTCATTCTCACTTTCTGTCTGTGTGTGTATTCTTATGTACTCGACTGGATCACACACAGGTTTGCTATCATCTTTTGCTCGCAGATCACAGCACGACGGAGAAATTTCAAAAGAGAAGGTTTGCCGGTAAAGACACCGCAGCCCCTTACTGGAATCTCTCTTGTATAAACTGATATAATTATGATGACCCAAGAGGTGTTGAGCAGCCTCCTCCATTATCTGGAAATATTTACACAAAATAAATACAGTACTCTAATATAAACAAAATGTGGATAAATATTGTACAAGCAAGAGATGACTCAGGTACAGATCTGTTCACTCAAGCCTTTTATCTTTTATATAAAACATCAAACACTCTTTTTCAACTACACTATACAGCAGCTATCAAACTATCAGCCAGTGACAATCTTCAAGCTTTCAAGAGTTAATGAGTTTGCAGCTGCTCACTAATATATTGTGACTAATTATATGCTATGCTATGCTGTGCTGTGCTGTGCTGTGCTGTACTGGGTTGTATGCTTACACACCTTGCAGCTGGAAGTTGAGTCCGATTAAAATTTTGGTTTAAATTAATGTCTTGGGACAGCTCAAATAGTTAACATAAAGATCTTCATCATTTAAGGATTATTTCATCACTACATATTGTGAAGATAAATGAAATTCAGTACAAAAAAGGAGATAACAAATAAAATGTTTTACTAACTTGTATGTTTAAATTTCCTCTCGGAAAGAAATACTTGTATGTACGGATGGGGCTGTCAAACCTCTCGGAGAGTCCTGGTTGTACCTTTATTGGAGACCAAGCTAGCACTCTTATCTCCGGAGGAAGAACTGGAAAAAATTAAAGATATAAATTTGGATAAAATGGGATGAACAGATATTCAATAAAATGTCATACAAGTTTACAGTGACTAAGTTAGTGCACAGGCAATACAGGTATACAACATACCTAGACAGGATAGCCAATAAAGTCATCATATACTTACTTCCAATCAGATCCTTTGATAATATTCTTACAAGAAAAATTTTCATAATGAACACTATGAAATCCTCATAGTTTATAACAAAAGGATTTCAATTCAGTCTTGGTAACACAAAAAAAATCCTATATCAAGTTTAATACCTCAAAAGATATTAGTTTACTCTTGTTGACATTTGCTTTAATCTCCTTCTATCAGAATCTATCACACACCTTGTCAAAGCTATTTCAGTAAAGGGTTGAGCCCAAAACCTACTGGAAACACTTATTTTACTTTATACAGACACATTACAAATACAGTAAGTAATTAATCTTATGAAAAAGGAAATGTTTCACACTTAACTCTACAGGTGATAGGTAATTCATCTTTAATCACCTCAGGGAGTAGCAACCCTCCCATGCCAGCTAAGAGAGCATTTAGAAGTCCCAGTTCCCACTCTGTAAATGTGAGTTGGTTATAGGGAGGGGATCCAGCCATTCAACTCGCTTCAAATATGAGTGATGGTTGCCGGGGGACACCATGCCATTGATAACCCAGACCTCCGTAAAACAGTGACGGTGGTGACGATACTTAACTACGGCACGGATCTAATGTAAGAGTGATCCTATGTAAGGAGTGAAATAATGTTATACAGTATAGGGTAAAAATTACAATAATATTCACCTTCATTCACAAGGTCTGTATACTTTATCTCATGGTCAATATTGTCATCATCGTGTTGGTCCTCGTCGTGTGGTTCTTCTTTGATTGTCACTCCATTTCTCTCAAAGGGAATAACACCGAGACCAGAAGCCAGACGACTACGAAGAACAATGGAAACAACTTGGTCAAATGAGTTAAATCCTTGACTGGCTTTTCCACATCTGTAATTCCAAAACACCACATGAATAAAAAGGACCACCATCTCTTAAGTACACACCAATAGACACATACATAAAACACACACCTTTAATTACACACATAAACACATGAGACATCAGTTTAAACTAGGAGGCAACAGGAGACCACAGAGTAGGCCCCCAGTCTCATTCCTGCCAAGACACAAAGATGATTATGGTAAACCTCAATAATTTCTTTTCATTCCCTACTAAACACTGCAACTCCAGTAACCACTTGTGTACAGGGGTCCCCTTTCCGGTGAAGAAAACCGTCTTGCGTTAGCTAAATAAAATATTAAAAGTGGTGTCCCCATAGTGAAGGGGTTAAATCAGTAGCCCATCTTATTATAAAATGTATATATATGTGTTATTGTCACCACATATTACACTGCCTCTTCCCAAATATTCTCTATTGAACAGTAATGTGTCCTCTCCAGATCCACAAATGCTATACAGTATACAAGTGATCAGGAAAAGAGAGGCATTTAAATCTTACACAGACCATTAAATAGTTTACTAACCTTTGAAATTTAGAAGTGTCAAGAGCATCTATTAAGCTAATCTTCAGGAGGGCTTGCAGCAGTTTATCTTCAACAGTCTTTTGTATATCCTCCTGAGATGCACAGCTCTGGTAGTCCCATCCAAGGTAAGCAATCTTCAGAAGTACTTGTCGCTTTGGGTAACTGTACAAAAGGTTAGAGCATCAATTGCTATATACTGTACTCAGGATTAAATGTACAGTATTTACTTATAAGTTACACATATACTGTACCAATAACAATAACCTTTTGTGAGGTGTTTCATGACATAATTATTCTACACCTGCATTCTGTAAGTGAGAAAATATAATACAACTCTCACATTGTAAACTGAATTCAAAATTGACTTAATACCTCCTACCATCATTATTCAACATAGTATGTATAGCTAGCACAGTATATGCATATCAACCATGCCTCAGAAGTTGTATGTGGTAAATAAATCTAACAGTAACTACAGTATAAGACAACACTTATCTTAACCAAGTCTTCAATGTACCTCTCTACTGTTACCTGCCTCTTCCTTACTGCCTCACACTCTTCTATCATTTAAATAAGGATTTTCTCCTGCTCAAACATTTTCACGAATGTGGTGAATAACTCACTTTCCACCTGAGACAGAATAAACTATTGTAGGTTTCTATCTTGTCCAGATAATTCAAGAACAGCTACTTGGTACTGTACTCTCTCAAACATTACCCACTGTAAGAAATAAACATAAAATACACACACCTAAATACTGTAAAGCATAACTACTATCACCATATCCAGTCCAACTATTACTCAGGATAACAGAAAATTGATTCTCATTTCCACGAACCACAAATTTGGAGACCTTCAAGTAGTACCAGGACAGTAATATACTCACCAGGCAATATTTTTTGTTTTCTTTCTCTTTTCTAACTTCTCAGTTTCATAAACCATAGGTGACACTGGACCCCTTGAAAGAAGTTTGGTTAATTTCTTATTATTTTCTTCTAAAATCTGCACCTTAGCTTGTAGCTCCTGTAAGGACAAATACAGTCAGGTGATGTCTCAATAAATCCTAAACAATACTTCTTAAACATGTTAAAGCAGTGTGGCAAAAAGAACTGCCTGTACTAGAGTGAGGCCACTGTGTATAACTAAAGGCAGCACCAATTCTCTCTGGAGGAAGGCTAACAGGCTGTGGTGTAGAGGTTAGTGTACCATCCAGGCAAAATGGACGTCCTGGGCTTGATTCACAGATGGTTCAGATCTTGCTCAGAGGGGCAGCCAAGTCATATATCACTGAAAACATCAACAAGGTTCCAAGGTCTGATGTATTGTGGTAGAGAGAAAGGTTCATCAGTGTAAAAGAGAGTGTTGAAATTCCAGCTAAGTTACCAGTCCTGTTAATGAACAACATGACCTACACAAGTAACCTGGGAGTCTGAACAGATGGAGTTAATCTCTAAGTGAAGGTGGAACATAACATGGCTCCTCACATGACTACCACCAAATATATTTAGATACCTGTACTGTACTGCACAATATTAATAACAATACATTTTTGCAAATAAAGTTATCATTATAACAAATATTCATTATCCAGACAGACACTAATTTACAAGAATATAACTTACCCAAACTTACAGTCACGGAAAAAAATACTCATGCTTTGATTTACAAGCAAAAACCCCCAAGTTAAAAAAACAAACATGAACTAACAATGAAACTATGCTAAAATAATGCAGTTCTTCTTATTACTAGTATGATAATTATTTCACTAACTTATTTCATTATTCTCTATCACTTAAATTGTTATTACATCTACAAACACTGGTAAACTTTCAATGTGTCATCATTCTCCTACAATCACTATATAACTTACTCCTCTCTCGACATGTTTGCAAATCAGAACAGAGTTAATTTCATAGGTTAGGTTAGGTTAGAGCACATCCCTGCCCATACAAAACAACAATAATATGCCATACATAATAAATAATATAAATACAATACTTGTAAATAAAGTGAAGCTAAATTGTAAAAAAAACTAACATTTTATTTACAGATTTTTTATATAAATATATTAGGATCCTGTCCATAGGCACTGTATGGGTGTTCATAACTCGGGGACTGCCTGTAGTAGGTAGTTTAGCCCAGAGTTTACTTGTTTCAAATCTCACACACATTTATATACACAGATACCAATAGTATATATAGTGTAATGCACACATAAAACTTAGGTTAAAGCAACAATAAAATACACACTGGTCACACACACTAACCTCGTATGAAACCATTTCTTCCGGTTCAATCTTTGGTTTCTTCCTCGGCCGGCCTCTTCTTCTACGCAATCCTTTACTCTCCATGGCTCTACTCTTCCTTCACACCTAAAGACAAGATTATCATGAATTATTAACAGTTAAACAGAATATTGTCTTTAAGATCTTTGAACTGAACTACCAATACTAAATGAGATGTTCTAATTTCCACATTACAGTCTAACTCTAGTAATAGTTAAGGAGACGGTCACAAATTCGTGCACTGAAATACCTTAAATATACCAGTACAGTATTTATGATCTTCACTGATTTGGTAATTTATGTAGAATGCAAATCAAGTTGGAAAATAAAAATAAAAAATCAAGAAGCGTAAAAATTTATTTACCGATATATTTTTCCGCGTATATTTCATTCAAATATTTCTTTTAAAGTATATAATGCAAATCTAATGGAGGAATGAGAAAAAATTAATATAAAAACCAATGCTGAAATATATCTCCCAAATTAACATAAATTTACCTCACTAACATTACCTATACCCAATTAGATTACACAGGTTAGGTTAGGTTAGGGAGTTACTTTGTTAACACATTGGCTATAGTTATTAAGTATCAAATGTTATATAAGATTATTGAATAATGTTATATGACAAGTAACTGAAGTAGGAGCTACCATAAAAGGTTCAATTTTGTTAGGTTTCATGTTCAGTTTTGGAAGACATGACTACTAAAAATTTGTATCAACTGAAGATTCATCCATCAAGCTTATTTCACCTAAATATTAACCACATTCTCTAGCAGGTTATTACATCAATTCACATTTACTCCAAGGAAGTTTTCTGAAAGCATATACAACTGATAAGTCTCATATTTCAGGCTGTGTCCTCTAGTGGAACCCTTCACAACCTTATTATATATTTCCAAGCTCATATACCACACCAATATCAAATTCCATCAGGTTAATACATTAAAAACAACCAAACTCCAAACCATTAATTTAATATCCCTCATAAATGCCGGATTTAACACTAGTGACGTCAAGGAAGTATTAACAAAACGTATTCCTCAATCCACACCATATAGAGGTATAACTTACACCTATCTTAAATCAAACGTATAGATTATATAATACAAATGATAAATTATAATGTAAAGTATATGATAATAATGAATAGAGGCATAAAATGTGGTTAAAATAGTTCACCTTAATAATGAAGCTACCACCTCCTCCTGCCTCTAACTTTATCTAAGAATATCTATATATTTAATAAAGAATGATGTTGTCTTTATGTAAATTGTATTTTTTTATATTTTTATATTGATTATTGATGACTAATTACTAATAGATTAATATACTTTACAAAACAGTAATGTATTATAATAAAAAAAAAAAAACGCTAACACTAAATAAAAAAAAAATCCCCTGAATAAACGGGAATAAATATTTGACACTTGTGGTAAGAGATGGAGTTTAATATATAATTACAGTATAAGAGACACAGTGGTTGGCATAATGAAGAACTGAAGACGTGTATGTGTGTGGTTGATGCTCTAAGTCATCTCGTGTACCTACAGGTTACTGGTTTTAATAGACAAACTCCTTTATTAGTAATCGGTAGGACTGGGAACTATCCAAAGTACTGTACTAGATAATATTACATTGTGTTAATCGTCATTCATAAAGTGACCCGAGTGAACCAGCCAAACATTTAATCCTATAATGGTGTCCCTGTGAGAGAACTTGTACACTGGATGAGTCAAAACAGATGGTTCAGAATCACCTAAACTGAGTTAGATAAATCTGTATGGTATTTTTATAGTGGCCAGTCCAAGAGAATAAAACGTTGAGAATTGTCATTGTGTGTGTCTCAGTATGGGTAGTTAGGTTAGGGTGGTTCAGTGAGGGCAGTTTAGGTGAGGGTGAACTTGTTATTTCCCAGGTTTATTAAATCTAAAAATATCCCCCATTCTGATTACACCCAGAAGTGTAGACAGTAACATTGAGAATGTTTTATGTTTTACAGTGTACAAGGATATTCACCAGTTAAATCAAGACACTTTGTTTGACCATAAAGGCTGTTCTGTTATATTGAAAATCCTTGTTGCCAATAAGTAAAGTGATTCAAGGACCTGATCTCAGTAGAAGTCAACTGGACTCCTATTATATAAATTATACTGTTCAGTTTTCTGTACTCTACATCAGAAATACAAGTACTGTACTGTAACCATAATAAGCCAGTGAGTGTTTGCATCAATTCATGTGAATCTTTGAGAAAATAACTGCTGTAGTAATTACTGTACTGATATTTAGTTAAAAAATGGAGCAGGAAGAAGAAAAGATGATGGACTCTTCACAAATTAAATTAGAAAACCAAGAAGATAGTAAAGCTGATGGTGTGTCTCAAGAGCAGAAGAAAGGCCGTATAGTTGCCAGTGACGCTAACACAAAAGTCTCTGTGGACCAAGGCCTCTATGAGAGTCTTGTCAGCATGGGCATGGACAAACGACTAGCAGCCAAGGTACAATAACTTAAGATACAGTTTTAAAAATTAGGAAGAAGAGTTATCTATTAAAATGGATAAATAGAATCAGTACTGTATGGTATGTTATTAGATCAAGGTAAAAGTATGAATACCATTATGATTTATGAGGCACTGGAGTAAGTGTTGGTGGTGCCATAAGTTATAGCAACCCTCCCCTGAAGTCCATTGCCCAGTTCTAATTCTGTAAAAGTAGGTTGGTGATAGGAAGGACATCCAGCCGTAAAACTTGCCTCACATTTGCCTAAAGACAACCAATTCACCATGCCATCAGGTATTCACAACTAACCCACGTGCAAAATTGTCATAAAACAGAGATGATGATGAGACAAGTTGTATGGTGCACTGTTAACATACTGGTTGTAGTTAAAAGATAACACTTGCTACCGCTACAAGTTCATCAGGCGGTCCCAGTTATTTTGGCAGTGTAATTATGAGAGAAACGATTTTTTCCCATCAATTTAATTTTTTTCTTAGGTTATTATCTTAATTACATTGCAGTGTCCTTTCTTGAACCTAGCAATGAAATTTAAAGAAATACAGTACAGTATAATATAGTATCATCCTTGAAATCCTGTCGGGAGGTGTAGGTGGCCTAGGACCAGTGTACTACAGTATCTTCAGTACCTCCACCCAGGTTAAGTGGGGAACTCACCTAGTTACCCATAATTTGGTTTTTACCGTACAGTACAAGTATTTGGAAATGCTAGAGCTCCTATTGTGCTGAATTTAGGTTTTATTGTAGCTGTTTGACTTTTGTCTTTGAAATAATTACATACCCTGTACATGTATAGTCATACAAATTGTAGGTATTTTATTTCTAATTTTTTGTTTCATTGATTAAATTTTCTGATATGCAATGTTCTTTTCCTCAGGCCTTAGTGTGTACAGGCAATAAAAATGTAGATGCTGCTCTATCATGGATAGCTGAGTTGGGGGCAGATGAAATGGAGGCCCTGTGTGGGAACAGTGATCATGGTAAGAACAGTTTTCATCCAAATGTTCTCACAGCCACTATTTTGCTCCTTCCTCCCACCTGTACTGTATTGTGTTATATGGTTAACCTCTTGAGTAATGTCACCAATCTTGAAGAAATAGACCAATGTGTTCAAAGGGTTAATGCATGTATTCAAGTCTGTATTGTTATTGTAAATAAATCTTTACCCTTCTAGGATCTAATGAAAGTGATGAATGGGAAGACTGTGAAGAGGATGATGATGATGATGAGGACACTTATTACAAGATGGTGTTTGTGGTCAACACAGACCTCTCTATGGGAGCTGGCAAAGTGGCCGCTCAGGTCAGTACTGTACTAGAGGTTTAATGTACTGTGTCATCTAATATTAAAAATAATTTACCTATGTCCACACACACTCAATGATCACCATTTCAGAGTACAGTACTGTCATCCCTGAATGAGTTTCATCAGCGCTTCAGTCATATCCAGTTTCTTAGATGCATAGAAATCATACACCTATGTCACCATGAGCTAAGAATGTCACGGAGCTAGGGCTTGAGGAGAAAGATTGTGAGATGCATCACCCAATCATAGGCATCCCATGCAGTCACATGACAGTAGTAGCCAATTGTAGCACATGAGCACTCTGAGCCGACCCACCCACTCTCTTGGCACGCGTCAGCACATGATGCAATCACTCAAAATTTCGTTTGAATGCCCGGAACAGAAACTTTTTACAGAATTTCTCGGAATGCTAAAATTTTATTTTCCAGGTAATGGAAAGTTCCAGAATCAAAGATTCCGGCTAATGGGGATATTACTGTCTTTCACTTGTTTTCTTTGTTTGATAATTTATGATCATATTATTCATTCTGGGGTCATCTGGGTTTGTTTTGAAGAAAATGTGATACAAGGTGGCCACATAGAGCTAAAATGTGTGTTGCTTCAGGTGGGACATGCTGCACTGGGCCTGTACCGGCTCCTGAGGGAGGATGAAGAGAAGTACGAGGCCAGTGTTGAGGAATGGGAGGAGTTTGGGTGAGTATTAGTGTTTTCATTATAATGTACAATAGATGTAATATACTCTGCTTATAGATATGTACAGTACAGTGAGGCAGACATCACCCACAACAGTTGTGTGATGGAGGGTAACACTGTCCTGGGTAATGAACTCTATTAACACACCAACATACAAGGTCAGATAATCACTCCAGCACTGGAGGGATAAAATAGAAGTGAAATATTTTAGTTCAATAATCAGAAGAAAATTTTTTAAAGGAACCGAGTCTTATAAAATACTGTAATTAATTTTATTTCATGTTATCAAAAGTGTTTTTAATATCAAACTTTTACTGTAGAAAAATAAATCAATAAAATATAATGACTATACAGTACTATTTTACAAAATAATAAAACAGCAAATCATAGAATACTGGCGGCAGTGGCCATCTTAGGAATAGTAGTCATTTTGAATAAAAATTAATTAGTGTTCCATAGTTTACCACTGTGTCATGCTTCACCACTCTTCTGGACTTATGAATGTTACCTATTGTTTCTTGTTCTTCTCCATTATTTTTATTTCCAGAGAGAGGAAGATAGCATTAAAAGGTAAAAATTCTCAAGAACTTATTGAACTTCAAAAGAAAGCAGAAGCACTGTACCTTCCCACATACCTGGTACAAGATGCTGGCAAAACTCAAGTTCCAGCGGGATCTACAACTGTCTTGGCAATATTTGGTGATGAGGAAGCAGTCAATGAGGTTACGGGGAAACTGAAGCTCTTGTGATAGTGTTCAAGTAAATATGTTTATTAAGTCTTATAAAGAAGTGTTTTAGTTGTGTTTATATATACAGTAAGTACTGTATTTTACTGTAATGTTCTTTTAATTGTCAATGATATTTAGAAACTGAAAAAGTACATAATAATGATGTCTCTGAGGCATTACAGTCTGTTGTCATCAAACTGATATGAAATAGTTGGTAACTTAGAACAACTGATTTATGATAACGGTTTTACTGTAATAGATACCATGCTGAGTAACGAAGCTGTAGTAAACATCAAGTATATTGTGAGAGATCGAAGGTTGGGGATATTTTCTGACTATATGGTACAAGCCATTTACTGTACCACTATACAACAATTGCCTCCTTCTAGCACTTCATTACTACATGACCCAACTCCTGGTACATTGTGTTGGTATATTTCAATATCATAGGTCAAATTATTAAGGCTGATTAGACTTTCACTTTCATCTTAGCTCCCAACAATATAAATTGCTAATTGAGATGCTCGGCATGATTGGCAAACCTGCCAATATTAAGTTTTAAGGAAACAGGCCCCTAAGTTTTCTCAGTACAAATAATCAGAAATTTATCAAAGCTTAATGGATGTGGATGGAATTTGTTTCATTAGGACTGTAAATTGGTTTGAATTAACACAGTAGTTGCATTCTTGAAAATGACTGCGGAACTCAGAAACGCATAAATCAAACAGAATTTTCCTGTGAGGAATAAAGGAAATGGTGGGGTAAGGGGGAGTGCTTCCTCTAAACTCATTCATACGTCTAAACTGTATACTGTACTCATTCCCTTCACTGTGTTTTATTTTTACTATGTATTTGTTACTCACAATAATAAAGACATTAAAAATAAAAGAATACAGCCTATATATATATATATATATATATATATATATATATATATATATAGCCTATCTACATTAAGAAAATAATATTGTAATGAAAACATTTTTAACTTACATTGAACGTTAATTCCGATGGCTTGAAGTGGGTCATCTGGGTCAGATAACCGAGTAGGTGATGGTGGTGAGAAGTGACAGGTGAAGACGTCTCCTGGCCAAGTATGGGCAGCTACATGTTGTCCTCTCTCAATGCAGCTTATTACTCCTAATTTAACACCAACAGTGATGGCCTTTTGCTGCTTCTGGGGCTAAGTGGCTTCCTTGGATGTAGTTGGGCATTTGCCAGTCATAGGAAGGGCCAAAAGTTACACAAAAATGAAATGGCATAGACAATCACTTTCACTCTGACAATGGTTGTGAGGCTGCAGCATGCTAATCCTACCTCATGCTGCAAGTGTCGTACCTTGCCGACGCGCTCACTCAACTATGATGCCAGCCTGTGACCGTTTGGTGTTCAATTCAAAACATGTAAATCCCCCGAAAAATTCCACATAAGTTAACAAATGGTATAAATACAACACCAGTGTTATTCCAAAAAATGCTTATATTAAATTCATATAAATTGAGAGGCAGATATTCAAGTATACCTCGATGTACGATATTTTTTTCTATGACCATACAGTACAGTAAATAAGGTACACGCACATTTATTTCAATCTATAATAAATTTGATTATGGTATTTTTTTAATTCACATTGACTTTTATGAGAAGAAAACAAGCGGTTACCCGTTGAATATAAAGAAAATGAATGTTCCAGATGTTCCCGACAGATTGAATGGCAACGGTAGGTCATACCAAAAGTGTTTACAAGCCAACGAAATCTTTCAAAACCGGTTCCTCGCTTCGACATAACTCACCAGAAATTTCTTGCATTTTCAAGTGATTTACTTTACTTGGAGATGTAGGGAAAGTAACCAGCTGGTGAAATGAGCAGCAGCAATACCTTAAGTGGCCACTACTTTAAATATTAAGTTGAAGGTGATGAGGCACATTTAGGCCGGTGAAAACACACTTAGTCATCAGTCAAGTTTTAGGATTATCTTGGTCGACTGTGGCACTTGTTAAACAAATTAGAATCTTGTTTTTTATTCAGTTGTTGCCTATGTACACTCCATTTTAAATTTGTATGCATGCATAAATTTAGGCTGTGTTGCAAAGTGTCATTTTATTACGTATTGGAGAGTTCTTCATTTTCCGAGGAACGTATACCCCTATTAATAACGGTAGTCAATAGATAATACAGTTTGATTTACTGTACGGTCATTTGAATTACGATATGATTTTCAGGAATGCAACCTTACTGTATATGGTACATAATAAATCAATGATTTTTAACACAGTACAGTAAATTATAAAAACAATTACTCTCATTAATATTATGTGGGTTAATGTGTAATTACCAGTAAATAAATTGTGGTACGGTACTTAAATATGCTGGTGATGTTCTCTTGCTCGCCTGATGTTGGTAACTAATACTGTACTCAATTCATTGTCAGGAGCTTCTTTCCACTTGATGGCTGCTGTATCACTGCCACTCTCCTATATATTTCCAAAATTTGTCAAATATCTCTCTTTATCTTGTCCACGCTCAGTTTACCAAAACACCCACGCTCACACACTGGACCAATAGTGTGGTGGCAGATACCATCAATCTTCTTTTCTCCACTGGTCAACATCTCTCACTTACCGTCTACAGTGACCTGAAGCACCAGGCGCCACATCACTCTCTCATTAACTCATTATGTACTGTATAAAGTATATCCACAAAATACTGCAAATAAAGGCTAACACAATATAATGGGAGTGACCCGTGGCTGGAGTAATGTGCCAGCCTAGCTTTAAAGCTCCTCTGACTCATCATTACATTTCAGATTAACCTTTGAGCTGTGTTTCAAATTATCTGCCACCCCAAGGATAGTGAATTTTGGAAGTACAGGGGGTCCCCGGGTTATGAACGGGTTCCATTCCTGAGGACGTTCTTAAGTCGGAACACATGCCTATATGCATACCGTACTTAGAGAACGATGTTTAAAATCCCACTATATCATAGCCTAAGTCCTTATAGGCATCTAAAATCACAGAATTTAAGACAAAAGAAGAAATAGAATGACAAAATACAGTAAATGAAAGTAAAAAATAAGTTATCAGGTAAATAGATACTGTAAATTTCAAGTTCAACCCCGTTCGTAAGTCGGGGACCCCCTGTACTGAAAAGAATAATATTTTAGCCATATAAAGATATAGAAGAACACTCATAATACATAAAACAATACCTGTATGTAGAAACAAATCCAATGTATCACTAAGAGTTAACTTCATATTAAGCCGAGTACAGTATATCCTCATGAGTGTGTACAGATACTTCCCACCTCCTTGACACTGTACCTGCTGGAGACCTAGATTGATGACAGGTATTGTAGGCATCCATAGAAGCCAAAATTCAACAATTTTTCAACTTCTTTCTCTGAATTATGGGGGAATAATTTAAATATAATATATACTGTATACTCTGCCAGTTTTAAACTAACACTGTCAGGTATGTAATTTGATGCTTGTACTGTACAGGTTAATGTTAATAGTCAAGGAAAACTTTCATATGTGTTCTTTAACTTGAGGTGAGTGTGTATACAGTATCCCAGAATCTCGGACTTGTGCGATTCAGTGGACCAAACACTTGTCCCATCTGTCACTATGTTCTTAAGACTATTATGATCTCTTGGTATAACAGATTATTATTACTATTAGAGTTAAGTTTTTTATATTTAAGTAATTTGTATTTACAGTACATTTTAATATTTCATACGATTGTATTTAAGATGTTATGGAAGAAAAACACATTTTGTTGTTATTTGAAATGTGTAGAAGTGTTCTGATTTTAGTACTGTACAGTCTTTGCTATGTAACTTTATATTGTAAACTATAAATACACCAATTGATAAACTGCCTAAAGACTGTTTAGTCTTGGTTCCCTCTGTCCATCACCTGTTTGTTTATTGGCAGCATTATCGTCCTCTACTGACATTGTCCATAGTGTAGTTTTTAATTAATAATGTGTCATGTTCCTACTTGGTATTTCTTTGTTTCACTTTCTAAACTTTTCTTACATATCTCTCCTGACTATTTCCTTCCTCTTGTGGTTTATTTCCCCTTTGCTCTGCCCTCATGTGTGGAAGAAAGATAGTGGACACATTATCATCATGAGTCACATAAGAATGATATTATTATTAATATAGCCTGAGAGAAAAAAAGGTATGGTATTTTTAGCTGATGAATACATAGACAATATTATGAAATACAGAACTAGACCAATATGCAGCCAGGGGTCTGCCTATGGTGTCAACAGTGTTGGGCGCACCGACAGGAAAATCAACTACCTGTACCTATTTTGGTACAAATGTTGTAATATCTTACCCCCAAGTCAGCCTCATCTGTTTATCAGACTATTTAATATACAAAAATAATAATATGATTGAGTTTTATTTGTGAAAACAAACCCACTTCACCAGGCCATCTACCCACAGTCATCATAGTGTTAAGCAAAACCCAGTTTGCTCATCCCAGTTTTCTGCAAAGATTTGCTTCACAAGCCTTTGCTGTGTACTGGTAAGGTAACAAACATATGCTGTTCTTTTTTATATTATTCTCAAGGTATGATCTTTGTCTGTTTAAAGCACCCTGTGTACCACCCGGACAAGGATCTGGGAACCCTTAAAGAATGATGACTGGTACTAAATTCTAAAGGTGTTATACATTCTAGTTGTAACTGTAGTCCTTAAAAGGGGCTTTATGAAGGAACAAGCTGTGCCTACAATACAGTTCCAGTACTGGTCACATCAAGCATCAGCCAGTTCCAGCAGTCTCCTTATTTAATGTAGATATGTTCCTGAGCCACACTAAACTTTTTTGTTGTTGCAGTATAATAAAGGCAAGATTTACCTTTGTTTACTTAATTTTGTAATAAATTTGGTAATGACCCAATTTAAATTCCCGAGGTAATAATATCTTGACCATGTAATACAAAAGCATATAAGACAAGGGACTCCTGTATTTAAAGTTCTTATATTCTAGTCCGAAGGTAATTAATTGGCCCAACAAAAATTAACACTTTCTTCAAACCCTGATGTACAGTATATGAAGGTGTCTCAAGGAAGACTGGTACAATGTATATACAATAAATATGTTACTTTTATGACTGACATTTATACAAAAATATGATGCTAGATTTATGTACTGACAACCTTATGAAAAAGAGTTTTTCCCATCACTGATTCTAAGTACTGTACAATTATTAGCATTTCCTGTTGTGAGATCTTGGTTGTCATGACTTGCAGACTACTATACTGTACTCATATTTAGTAGAACAATTCCTAAACTAAACTTCAACAAACTGCTAACACCAAGCATTACCATGAATATACATAAAACTGTACAGTATAATTATGAATTAATAAATTTATATAAATAAATCTTACTCAAGTGACTAGACAATACTTGTAGCTATAAACATACAAAACTTACTCTTGTCCTTGAGGTTGTTGGTAAGCTGTCTCTTGTAAACTGGCTCCCAAGATCTCTGGATCATAGGAAACACTTGAGAGGAAAACCTGGGGCTGCAAGTTGGATGAGCGAGAATTACTATCTGCTCTACTGCTTATTAAAAGTTGTTGGTGTTGAGTTTGTCCTACTGTAACAGTGTGTAGTGACTGTGTGTTCTGCAGGTGGTGTGTGTGTTGTTGAGAAACTCCTCCAAGATAACTGTCGCCGCTACAAGCCTGTTGGTTGTTGTTCATCTGTGACGTCGTCCGAGCCTGTTGAAAAAGTGACGACTTCTTCTCGGATATGAAGCAGGCTGCATCTGACTGCTGGAGTGTACTTAGACCCTGACTCAGCTGACTACCTGTGGCATCACTGTTGCAGTCCTTTGTCTGACTTGCAGGAAGTGACTGAGTGCTGTTCTGTTGATGGAATGTTGAATGTGTATGAGTAGCAAGGTGGCGAGACAGGTGAGATTCCTGTACAAACATTTTATTGCATACGTGACATCTGTGGGATGTTGACATAGGGGACTGCTGGTGCTGACTCTGATGAGCTGTTAACTGCTGATGGTTGACGAAATCTTGGCCACATACACTACACTTGTGGGTGTTTTGGCGTTCATGACTCTGAGAAAAAAATATTGAACATTAATTACAGTAATTTGATTTTAACTTCTTTATTAGTACATATGTGGAAGTCAGCTTGAAACTATTTTGAGACATCCTAAATGAGGCAACTCCTGTATTATCAGCTAAAGTGTAAGGCTTGAAACCCCACAACAATGGAGGTGAAACAAACTGAATATAATATTAAAAACCTTCCCTTCACAACCATAGCTCTTATAGTAAGTCTTGGAATCACCAGCTGAGACTTAAGGCTGAAGGCTAGAGTCTTATCACTGCACTAACTCTACTGTATGTCCCCTCATTTGGCTTGGTAATAAACATTCTGATTACCAGGTCAAACCCCAGTTCCAGTCAATCTCAGTGCTACACCAAATAAAGTTCAGGATTTTGTATTCCTTTATAACTTAATATTTAGTGTGGTTGACTTCATTGTTCTAAAGCCAGTTAGAAATAGGAAGGAAAATGGTAAAAATGGAGGATTCAATTTGAAGTCCTCTGTCTTGGTGGAATCCAAAGTTACATGGTTTGGATTTGTCTCTTAATCCTTTAGATAAACTGATTACACACCCCTTCCCCTGTACTGTCAACTTCATACTGGGGGACATGACAGTTCTCCTTCCAGCTGTTTTTGTACCATTAGGTCTCCATAATACTCCTTCAGTAAGTCCAAAATACTTCATCATCTCTTAACAATTTCTCCTACAAAGTTTACTACATTATTTCAACACTAGCTATCTCTTTCCTTTCCTCCATAAACATCATTTTCTATAAACTCTCCCTCACTTTCTTTCCACTATTTTGACCAATTCTTTATTTACCCTCCCCTATCACCCTCTTTCACAATGTATAATACTCCCTAAGTTTATGCTTCTTCACACACACACACACTAGTAAGAAGTACATACAGCAGCATGTCTCTTGAGTAGGCTGGGTGTTGCAAACTTCTTATTACAGATATGACAGGTAGGGAGCATAGGATTCTTGCCAGAGCCCTCATGCAGTCTCTGGTGTCGCCCGAGGGAATCCTGCAAAGATAAGTTTATATCACTGCTGGTGAGGAATAACTTGTCTTCACTATAACATTACAGGGGTATTTAAGGTCTTTAGATTACAGTACATGTAAAATGAATCAACATTAATTTAAACATAATCAGTCAGTTAGTTGTAGTAATCCATGGAAATGTCACCATGGCAAAATTAACAAGTTTCTCTCAATGTTCCATTTATTACCATAACTGTAGAATCCCAATTGTTGGTTGACCACAATCTAAAATCCAAACTATCATCAATAAAGGAGATTGTGATTCCCAATTTTGTTTTGATTGTTAGGGATAAAGATTGTGAGCCTCCCACAGTACAGGTATTGTGATGAAAGGTCTAAATAGATTAAAGCTGCTTAACTATCATATACCCAGTACTGTACCACTTTCATAGTGTCCCTGGTTCAACATTCTTGCTATCTCTTTAGGCAAAAGTTAGCCATACGTTAATGAGAGTTGAAAAAGGCGATGGAAGTTCAAATAAAAAAAATACTGGATCATCATTGACATTATGAGAGATATTTTAAGATGAAATGTGATAAATGAAACATACCTGCGAGGTAAACTGACGGCCACACACAGAACACACCAGTTCTCCGGTGTGAGCCTTCATGTGAGCGCGTAACTTGTATTTAGTTACATAGGAGCGACCACAGACACTGCAGGCCCAAGGACGGCTGCCTGTCATTGAAAACAAAAAACATTTAACTAACATTTTAATAAAGTAACATTTGGTGACATACTTGAGAATCAAAACTTTGCTACATTTATTTTACAGTGTTGTTCATTTCTGTTAAATTCTTTTCCTTCTCACAAACATTTTACCTCTTAGACACACATCACCTCTGAAATTCTTACATACCACCTAATTAATACTCCTCTGCTAACAAACTTCTATCCAGTATTATTAAGTCAAGATGTTACTTCACCAATTACTGTACTTACTGTCATATCCCATCTGTTTTATTTGATATTTTATTATGGGTCTGTCTCTCTAATGATCTAAGAACAACACAACTACCCACAGCTGAACTAACTGTAAACATCAAGTATCCACTTACAACAGATGAATAAATGTGAGTTTTTCTAGATATTGGGCAGTTACTTTTATCAGAATTGTTGATGAGATCCCACTGTATCTGCAACATTCACAGGCTTTATACAACAAACTCTGAAGAAACAAAGTGTCAAAAGTTTCCTCCCTCCCAGAATGAAGCAGCATCGACCCCAAAACGAGATACCAGTTTGGATAAGTCAGTTCATAGACTCATTCCCATGACTCAGTTTCACCGTGGGGAGCGAACTTTTCTCACCGATTGTGCAGAACAAAATATTGACCTAATGCTCACCTTTATGGGAAATACAACAAGCTAAAATGAATCCAATGATATCACTTATTTTCTATGTTGTAACCTGCACATGATACAAATATACCATACATTTATTACTACAGTACTAAAGTAACATACAGGGCAATAGCATCCTGAATGTTAAAATCTACAAAATCAGCTAATTAGGTATTGGCCATCCAGAAAGTTTGGGGAAAATTCTGTGTGGCTTCTTCTCCTAAGACAACCAACTACGTATCTTCTTTTAGTACCTGTGTGCTGCGCCTTGTGGGTGTCTCGGGTAAACTTGAGGGCAAATGACTGGCCACAGATATCACAGGTGAAGGGCTTGTTAGTAGCATGAGTGGCCAGGTGTGTCTGTAAGGAACTTCGCAGCCCAAACCCTCGGTGACACACATCTTTGAGATAAAATATAATACCAGTAAAGTTTATTCTCAGTGCAAAAAATATAATGTTCAATAAAGGTCGAGATGAGAAACAAAGGTAAGATGAAAGGAGTACAGGAATATGTGTGATGGGGGTCTTAAAGGGTTAAAAAGAGAGAAATCTTCCCGAACATAACACTTTTGATGACTACTGCCATCCTCTTCACTTGTGAGTAGGAGAGTTCACTCACATTTGCACTGACACAAGTGAGCATCAAACCTGTAATGTTTAGTTTCTGATTTCTAATGTGGGTTTGATTTCCAGAGTTGATATCTTTGTTACTGTGAATCTTTCCAGGATCTGTAACACCAAGGATATGTCCTGAGACTCTACTACTGTCTGCCTGTCAGCTCTTGATCCCAAGCAGTTTATGACCAGCAACACTGTCACTTTAAAATGGCATTACTGTACTGTATTATTTAGATGAGGAAAATTAAAATATCTGCGCTTGGCTTTACATAACTACAAAGGTCTATAAACTCATCAAGAAATTATACACACCATTATTTCAAATACCTCTTTATAAATATTTCAATAAATAAACATTTGTGGATATTTTTGGGGGCATATTTTACTTATTTGAGGAATGACAAGCGATCACTCATTCCAGTAATAAAAACACAATCTCGAGCAAACTTAGTAAATAGGGGAAAAGAGTCGACTGCATGCTAATAATCTGAAGAAAAAAGAATCAAACATCTACATCACAGATCATTAACTTCTTACAGCATGAGAACTGTCGCTGGTGTGCGGGTACATGGCAGGTAAGGCGGTGCTTCTGGAGGTAGGATGCAGTACTGAAAGTCTTCCCGCATGTGCTGCAACCCCACGGTCGCTCCCCGGTGTGTGTCCGGTGATGTTGCTTCAGTTTTAGGAGGCGGTTGAACACTTTTCCACACACTACGCACTCTAAGCCTTTCCCTCCAACAGAGCGACGAATTTCAAGAGGAATCTGAAAAATATATGACTCGGTAATACTGTACTGTACTGTATGGCCTCACTTCATACTGCACAGGGCCTCTATAAATCTGTGTTATGTAAATGTAATATATTTTCTTGACAGTCAAAGGTCACAGATCTTGGCCTCAAACCACTCAACTCTTGATCCTACTACCAGGTTTATCACTTAATCACCAGCACTCAAAGACAATGAATGAGATCACCCAATTATAAAACAAGTAAGTGTGGTACAATGGAGGTCGGTTCAGAAGCTCTGGTACAAGGCAAATATCCCACCACACTACACCTACATCCAAGGAGCCATGACTGTATATTTAAGAGGAAAAATGATGACTGAAGAGCTCACCTGGGGTCATGATCTGTATAACTTCCGTATGCCTATGGATGTGAGCGCAGTATCCAATCAGCTGCTGTACTGTACCCCATATATGAAGTACTGTACTATACTTCAATTTTCATAAAGTTTTTAGGTAACTCACCTCGTGAAGCTCATTCACCATAAAGGTCAATGGGTTAGATGTAGAGCCTGATGGGTTACTGTTGAGGTTCAGATTCTGACCCCTCTGTAGGTCAGCCAAGCCCTGAGCTGCCTGCAAGTCTGCTGGGTCACGGCCACTGTGCTCAACCTCAACAGGCTCTGAACATGTTAGATGTGGAGTTAGATTGAGGGAGCCTGAAGGAGGGTCCACATACACAGAGGCAGTGGATGTTGTTACTGCAGCAGCATCTTCACTGCTGTGTGGCACAATCTCTTCTGAGGAAGAAGCTGTTGAGTCTGATCCCAGTTCCTCTTCCATGTGGGTGTCTAGTTGACCCTGATCTCCTAGTTTCTGGTCAAGGCAAACTTGGCTTGTTAACTGTGTATGGTGACCATCATTAACTCCTGATGCTTCTTGGTTAATAACACTGGCAGACAGTAGAGCTGCAGCTGATGCTTCCGCTTCCCGAGCAGCTTGAGCCGCTCTCTCAACTGTAAGAAAATCCAGTGTTAGTCTGTAAACAGTGTACCGGTCATTCAACAGGTGAATTGCAAGAGCATCCCATCTCTAATTACAGTACAGTACATGCAACTTTAAGCTTCATTAATTGTTCTATTCTGCACCAAAAACTGTTGACACACATAATCTTGTCTTACCTCTTTGCTTAAAACTTATTCTATCATCATCATCACTACTGGAGGAGGAGGATGATGATGATGAACTACTGGAGGTGACTGAGCTGGAGTCATCATCATCACTCTCATCATCATCATCATCATAGTCATTATGCTGTTCATCATCATAACTCTGTTCACCGGTAATCTTCTCCAACTCAACATTATTGCCACATAAGCTGTTTTCATTCTGTAACCCAAAAGGTTCAGGATTACACTTCTTGTCCTTAACTAGTGAACAATAACCCACCGTCTCTAACCCTTCTTCCTTCAGTGTCCGGTTCACTTTGTCAACGCCACACTTGTCGGAGATGATTCTCTCCTCTTCGTCGGTGTCCTGCTTAAGAGGTTCATTGGCTTTTATCACATTTGGACTGGACATTCCATCACTCATCTCCTCTCTAGAGTTGCCCTCCCTAGTATCCTCCTCGTGAATGATAAGGGTACAGCTGTTGTCCCCGTCAATACTGTCCTCGCTGACGATGGATCCCACAGCCGACGAACTGCCATCCACGAAGGAACTATCTGCATCTGATGCCTTCATGGGACTTAATGGTAGGATCCCTGACCTGCTTTTCTCTTCTTCACTATTACAGTTTTCAATCACAGTTTTGTCGTTCTCACTCACTATCTCCCGGTCACTCCTCCCAGCCTCGCTTCTCTCCTCTCCGTCACTTCTGTCATATTCACTCACTGGTTCCTCCTCACTACTCTGATATTCATTTGTGGTCTCCTTATCACCTCCATCTCCACTGTCCTCTGAGTCACTCTCCTTGTTTGCACTTACACTCACATGACTTCTCTGGGTCCTCATTGTATATACCTCTGCCCCACTACTTGTCACTGCACTCTTCCCTGTTTTATAGTCTTCATCTACATCTAATTCCCTTTTCAATGAATATTTTTTAATATTACAAGCAACTTCCCCATCATTGTCAGCACTCTCAACCTCTTGCTTAATGGAACACGACTCAGAGTGGTCCATCTCACAGTCAGCATCAACACATTCTTGGCCACAGCTGTGTTTTGACTTTTCTACACAGTCACCTTTCCCTGTCATTGTATCTAAAGACCTCTTTAAGAATTTCCTCTGTGATTTTTTCCATTTACTGAGATCATACTTTCCCCCTTTTGTGGAGCACGAGTGAATCTGGCAGCCTGACCAAACACTCGGTAAATCTTTGGAGTCAGTTTGAAGCCTTGTATCAGGACTATTATTTTCTTTATCAACTACCTGTAAAAAATCTCCAGATTCAAGAGTGTCCGGGGCAGAACTATGGCAGTGTTCCGTTTCTTCACCATCTTGACAGAATTCAGCATCATCTCTGTGCTCAACATCATTACTTGAAGCTTCAAAATTTGTAGGGATAGTATGTGGAGGGTCGGGTTCCTCCCCACTGTCCCTCAGTTGATTTTCTTCACACTCTTCTTGTCCTTGATGGTAACCATCCTTCATGTAGGTCTCCTCACTGGTGAGCTCTTGTGTATAGCCATCCTTATGGTCATTATCTGCATCACTTCCTGGTTTACCCTTATAGTCATCTTTGGCTTGGTCTTCCTGCTCCCCATCCTGGTCCTGGTACATGTGTGCCTCTGCCTCGGTGGATGCTAAAAGAACATAACACTCCCCCTGCACCCATCGCACCACGGTTCCTGAGGTGTACCTGTGGATATCAGTGTGCTGAGACTCAGGCAGCTGAGTAGTATCCCAACCACATCCACAAGCATCAGTGTACATCTCATGACCTAAGTCTTCCAGTTTCTGAAAATAAATGGGAATATTTCTTAAACAAAGTATTGATCCTAAAATAATATATATTAACAAAGCCAGCATCCTGTAACTCAAGTATTGTTAAGACCAGAAACTTGTTGCTGAAGATCAAAACACTGAGTAAATTTGAAAACTAGACAGACCTTCTGGTTAAGTGAGATATTACTCTGGTTATGTATTTGAGCACTAAACAAAATCTAAGTGTTGATGCCCTGTCTGGGAGTAAGGCAATGACTTCTAAGTGCAGGTTAGTTTCTGTGGGATTGTGTTACAAGGGGCTTTACTGTCAATGGTTCATTACAGTAACAGGTGAATCATCAGCACAGGGCAGTGTTAGGAGAACTGGTTAATAACATATGGCTGGATCTTGGTCATCATGTCATTTTAAAACACAGTAGCTTTCTTTACTAACATTACTGTTTAAATGGGCATATATTTGGGAGTGTGTACTGTAGAAGCTAAACTACAGTCGGGAAATATATATTGACCCCAAAAATAACATCAACGTACAATCCTGTCTTCTTAGTTTCAGTAAAAAAGGGTAAAAATAAAAAAATAAAAAAATAAATCAGATATTTGGGGACTTACTCTAGCCAGGAGGAGGAGGAGTGAGTGAAGCCCAAACAGAAGATGACCTTGAAAGTTGTCATCCTCGTGAAAAGACAAACTAACATTCTGAAGTATCATCTCTAGACCCCATGATTCAACCACACCATCTGCTGCAGCCTGAAATGAAGACCACACCATTTAAGTTTTTCTCTATGTCTACTGATAACATTATATCATTTATAGTGAATTATAATTGTGCTTATGCTGTAAATAAAGGTTATGGTCCAGTCCCAATGTGTCTTCTTTCAAGTCACTATAAACAGTCCAAAAATGAACTCATCCCAGGATAAGGAGGCTCATGTTCTAGTCATCACTAAGTATATTAGAAACCCAGGCTAACAGTAGGCTAATGGTGAGCACCAATCAAACAATTTGTGGAATTTCCCCCATTGCCATCACAAAAAACCCTTAGAAAGTCTCAATTCAAAGCAGGAAGTTGTTGAGTCAAGCACCACAGTACAGCCTAACCTTCCAATGTATAGTACAGGGCCACCAAACTATGCAAACAAAGACAAATACATTACCTTATTTTAATTCATACAGCTTTAAGAACCTCCACTATATTGCACATACATGTACTGTACAGTGCTATAGGTAATAATATAGATATCTGACTCAGAAGGATTCACTTTGAGAAATTTTTCTATGAAAGAAAACTTGTTTCTTGCCTTTAGACTATCATAAAAGACGGTGGAAGAATTACAATTTACTTCTGGTATTTCTTTGTTTTTATTTAGAATAGACATAAAACTTTGGACAATGATACCACATTTGCCCTCCTCCTAACCTAGCCTAACCTAACTTAACCTTACCTAACCTAAACTAACTCAACCCAACCCAACTCAAAAGCCTAACCTAACTGATAAATATAAGTCACAGTGCTGCCTCTCAAATGCAACCTAACAGGGTGACCGAAACAATAATAATACCTACGGAGTACCTCTGAGAAGCTACACCGGCCACAAGTTTCCCGGTCACCAGTTTACTCCTGAACTAACACTGGACAGACCAATAGACCAACCACCCAAAAAGCTATTAGGTAAAATTATCGTTTTGGTCATCCACCTATTTGGAAGTATAGTTCAAAACACATATAAAAAAATCATCGGAGACATAATTTCAACCTAACCTAACCTAAACTAACTTAACCTAAACTAAACTAACTTAACCTAACCTAACCTAAACTAACTTAACCTAACCTAAACTAACTTAACCGAACCTAAACTAACTTAACCTAACCTAAACTAACTTAACTTAACCTAACCTAAACTAACTTAACCTAACCTAAACTAACTTAACCTAACCTAAACTAACTTAACCTAACCTAAACTAACTTAACCGAACCTAAACTAACTTAACCTAACCCAAACTAACTTAACTTAACCTAACCTAAACTAAAACCTAACTTAAACTAACTTAACCTAACCTAAACTAACTTAACCTAATCTAAACTAACTTAACCTAACCTAAACTTAAAATCCAAAAATTCCCTGGATGACCAAAACGATAATGATACTAATGGCTATTATGCTGATAAATGATGAAATGATAAAATATATATATTATCTTATGGTACCGGATTACATGAAGATTTGACACCTCAGCTTGTTCCTTGATACTTAACCTTATTGGTAACTGTGGAGGCTAGGATAACATTTAGGTGGTTAATATTTAGGTGAAATAAGCTGGGGTGCATAACCTCCAAGTGACACTTACTGAAGGGTCACCTAGGAACAGACGCTCGACTGTTTAATATAATAATTATTTCTCTAATAATTACCAGCCTCATTAATTCCTGAAAGTGCTCAGATACTTCAATTAAGGTATGCAGAACACCTCCAGCCATAGTGCTGTCTTAACACTACAGCACCAGACGGCCGCCTCCTTCACCAGTACCTTCCCTCACTGGACTCTTCAGTGTTAACAACTTTACTTCTATCATCTTTACTTCCCTTATATACTTACTAAACAAATTTAATTAAACTTAAATTGAAGTATTTTAATTAATTGTCTTGAAAAATAAAATGATGTTCCTTGCCACTCGAGGTACTAATGGTGGCTTTTTTTTCTTTTCTTTTTTTAATTTTTTGTCACTTGTTAGCTTACTAGGATTTGTTTCCTTGCAACCAAGAGCACTAAACTAACTAAAGCCTTGCTAGCATATCCCACACCTTCCTACATTAAATATTTCTTCTATGCGAAATTTCTGAATAAATACTTATTCATAAAGTATAGTATCTGTCTACCTGTTAATTTATTTGATTTTCTTTCACTCCACACCTCCTGATTCTTAACATTTTCCATTGGAATAAGTAGAACATAAGTCTTAGCATTCATTCACGGGAGACTTAAGCTCCTTGAGTCTTCCCACTAAGCTTGGTCATGTCCTCTGTGTTTACTGTGATAAAGTCAATGCCCTCGAGATGACTCACACATCTTGTCTGATCATGACCACCAATGTCATTGTCTGACTCCTATTGTGTTGTGATGTCTCCTGGGGTCATTCACATATGTTACTCCTTCTTGGGTGACTATTGATTAAAGTGACTTATTTTTTGTCAGTATTTTTATGGTCGACACACTCTGTACAAGCTAAATTAATGTGAACTTGTGTGAGGATTTTATTAAATACCTGTAGTCTATTTATCTATCTCGGCTGGGTAGCATTTTCATTGTGATATCAAAGGGAATCTATAACTTCTGTTACACCTGAAAGTAATAATAATTAAAAGTAATTAAAGTTAGGTTTGGGGAAAGACCATCCAAGGAGAATGAAGCATTTTCTAGAGGTGCAGACTGGCCCTCAAGTGGAGCAACACAGCTTGACCTGTGTAGTAAGTGTGAGGTGCATCCTGCAGTCAACTAGTTTCTACAGTTTTACACTTGCAAGATTGTTTATGTAGTTCCTCACTGTCAACTCAGATTTCTTTTCCAGAATACAATATCTAGTTATTATCAGTCCAGTACAGTACAGTACCATGCATCCAGACACCAGTCCAGATATTTCTTGCTGTCTAATAAGCATCATCAAAATGTATCCCAAGTTGACATAGCTACAAGACATTGATTGGTCAGCATTGTAATCTCTTTCCCTCAAGGCAAAACTCAGTAGGTGAACTTCTCCACAGAATGATACAATTAAATCCAAAATGGCCTTAAAAAAAAGCCACTGGCTACTTACTTTTTTGAAAAGTTACAAAAACTAATATGGCAAAAATCCAATGGGACTTGACACTTAATCCTTTCACAAGCACACTTCAGTTGCCAATGGCCTTCACCACTCAAAAATTCAGAGAACAGATTTTCAGTTAATGTAAAGTTGTTTATAACTGTTATGTTCAGGTATTTTCACTACTGACACTTCTTTAATTCTCTAAAATACCTAAATAATATATGTAAATCAGTTAACATTCAAAAGATAAAACTTGATGTTAATGGACTTAAATTAAAAAGAACAGAATTTACAATTTTTATTTAGTTTTTTTATTAAATAAAAAAAATCTTGTACGTGAAGTAAATATTTACAGAAATATATGACGCAACAAAATACCTTTTAATATCACTATACAGTACAGTACAACTCCAAGATAAATTTATCCACTAATAAGCAGTCCCTGAAGAAGCATAAGCCATGGTTGTAATCTGAGGCAAATATTTCTTCTCTCAGCCAATTTCATTTTGATCTTCATTTTGGCCCAAGTTAAACTTTATAGCTAAAGTTGGACTTTCACCTGAATACAGGTATTCCATATATAAAAATCTTAATAACCTCCTATTGTTATTTTGGTTAACAAACACTCTCACATATTAAATGAGAGAAGTCATTCATAAGATTCGAAGCAAATCAAAATAGACTTGTTAATATTTTTTTCCACACGAGAGTTTACTGTATATCCTTCACGTGTCTCGTCTACAAAATCTAGGAGCTGATAAACACAACTTTTTTTCAAAATAAGTGGAAATTTACGTAACTATAATTATGCCACACGTCGGTGTCCAGGTTATATAATGGATGCATAAGAAGTAAGTCAATATTGATAGTCTCTCCGAGGCATAAGGAGATAATGTACACTCGCCATAAAAAGTTCTCCAACAGCTGGGCACAACAGATTTCAGGATGAGTCCTATGGCTCAAGTCTTCTCAGAATGGTTGCAAAGTGAGTCTCAATATTTCATAATGATATATGTTACTCACCTTTACAGTACTGTATTTACATGTGAAAAGAAGTAATTTAATGGACACTAAAACTTCCTCAGAGAGCAGTATTCAGATTTCTCTTTCATTTTGTCATCTTGTATGACCCTTAGAGAGTACGAGAACTTTTTGTGGGGAGTGTACCTCACACACAACAACCAATAAGCTTTCACTAATGGTTCAATAATACATGTATGCAAAATTTAAAGAGAAAGGAACAATAATTTGGCCCATTTTCAACATCATTTGTTGTTACATTGGAATTTGTTTAAATGGCTTTTCTCGGACTTTACCCACATAACCTGTTCTTATCACGGTCAAAACACACTGGCAATTGTTTATATGTAGTGAATAAGTATAATGGCCCTATTAAAATCTATGTGCATACTGATCCTTCAACTTATCCCGCGATGAAAAGGCAATGTATGCAGCAGATAAGCCCAGTCCTATCAGTCCTCCCACAGCACACTTCTTTAGTCCAGCAGTTGATTTGTAGAGAAGCCCGGTCATGGTCGCAGCACCCGCAGTATTCAGATCATCTTCGTGGCTACCGCGAGCATAGTACAAGAGACATCCTAAACCAGAGTACATAAATGCTACGACTCCGAGAGTATTAGCAGAGGCAGACCCACGCTTCATCAGGTAGTTAATCAATCTGGAGAGAAAAAACATTAAATATAAATGCTGATCAACAAAAGTCTTTAGTGAAGTTACATGTGGGTAAATTATAGCTAGTACAATATGAGAACTCTAAGAGAAACTCCTTTCTACAGCGAGTTTTCAGACAGACAACAGTAGGTGTGAGAAGTGTTAGAACACAAACTGTTCCATAATGAAAATAGGTCAATTCAAACTATAGATGATCCTTTGGTCACTGAAGGGAAACAAATTAAAACAAAACTTAGGGGCCACTACTGATTCCACTTTTGATAGGCACATCAATAGATCACCAGAATTCAGAAAATAAAATCTTTTACCCTGTTGATTTATCCTTATTGGAGAAACTACACTGAAAAAATGTGAACGGATAGACAGACATAAGGTTGTGATGTGTTATTACACTATATCTGTGACTCAGGGTAAATATAAGTTATCTTTTTTGCTATTTGTTGGTCTATTTAGATGAATCATACAAGACCTTGCCCCCTTCATATACAGTACAGTCCTATTCCTTAAAAACTTACTGTGTTCTCCTGATTTTGCCTGTGTGACCTGCGGCTGCTGTCTCCTGGAGCCCTCCGTACAGCCCCTGCGCCCCACCAAGACCAGCGCCAATCAAACATGATCCTGAAACCAACAACATTATAAGACTACAGACTGTGACTGCCACACTAATATGTTTCAACAAAAAGAACAATTAATAACTACTGAATTTTCAACTATACTTTATCCCTTCATCATTATTATTGTCGGTGCTGTACTGTATTAGTAAAAAACATAATATTACATGCAAGAAACACACAATGATACATTTTTATTTCTACAATACAGAACAAGTACAGTACTACAAACACCAAGGAGGTAAAGTGAGACTCACCGCCAATCTGCGAGAAAGCCAACTCAAAACGTCCCCGTTTCTGTGAAGCTCCTTCTAAGGCTATAAATTCTGGTTGAGTTGTTTGTAAATATGCAGGATCAAAGTTCAAATAAGGTGATAGTTGAGACAACCCGGGGTTTGATGTTACTGGAAAAAATATAATTACCAGCAGGATAACTGTAAGGGTATTACAGTTACAGGTTACAGTATCTCTAAGAAAGACATCCTTCACAATACAGTATACCTTTAACATCATTGTTTGATTTGTGCATTTCAAAATTGTCACACATCCCTGTTCAGGAGAGGCTGGATAAAACTGAACAACTTGTGGATAAGATAATGAATACAGTATTTCTACTTGTCATTGATTGGCAGAAACACATTAATTCAATTTTAGAAACTAATCGATGTTCTGTGGCTGATCACTTGTGACAACTAAGAGGTACAATGGGACTGAATAAAATAACCCAGTTGTTACAATGTAAATCAGAGTCAATATTAGTTAATATTGGTAGCTGTGAGGCAGACGGTTAACACCAGAAGGAGTTTGTGGATTTTGTTCAAATTTTCTACTTTTGTTGTTTGGATGATATTAATGAATAAAATCAATATAACTTTTTATTTTAATTATAATTATTAATTTTTCTTCTCTATCTAGTCATAAATCACCAGTAGTGGGCAGGGCATGAAAGATGAGGGACATTGTGGGGTTATAAACCAGCGATAAACTGATCATACGACACTAATTTCATGTCTCTACCTATGTGGTGTATGTGTAGAAATGAATTAATTAGCGTAAATTTTCCATCGATAAATATCCCGTGATGCAGTTCGTTTACTTACTTAAAATAATAAATTCTTAATCTGGTCACCTTTAAATTGTAACTAAATAACAGAGCCTCATAAGGAGAGTTTTAGTACCGTATATATTCGCTTCATTGTCTTTTTTCATATTATGGGCTTCAGTTTTCACACTCATGCATTGATCGGGTGCACAAATCCCTCCATTTTTTTTTCTTTTGGCACAACGGGTTCTAAACCTATTGCATGTATAAATGATGAGACTCATATAGTTGGATTTGTACCCCATCTTTTGGATATGGATGCATTTCTAATTTCTTTGGAATATAATTGGCGTATAAGTAAACTAAGTTTCTATACTGTACTTATTGTTTTTCTCCAAGGGGACAGACTCTTGATTCAGAGACAAGCTCGCTATCTTGAATTTAATTACGTAGTTACGGTGACCTGTGTGGGTTGTTTATTATTTCGCAAATTATCTGTTTGTTAAGGATGAAGACAGTCTCAAAGAGTTCTTCTATCAACATGGACTAGTTGGCAGGGCATCCAAGTGTTCAAAATGCTGCAGAGAGCCGACTGAAGAAATTTAACAGACAAACGTAAAATTACACAATGCCACTTCAAGAAAGTTGCTTTCATTGGTAATAGATGTCAAAGTCAGCTGTTTCTGCTTATCATGCAGGGGGGGGGACCAAGGGGCAGAGCTCCCCAGTTAAGTAGGGTTTGTTGGTTAGGTCAGGTTCTAATAGGTTCTGTGCATTTTTGCTTTAATTTTCATGTTCACTATCATACAAATAGTATCTCCAGAAATTGAGTTTCAATTCTATAAGTTATTTCTGGTGCTAATTGCCTATTCCACCTTTACCGCAAAAACTTTCCTGCATATGTCATCCCCCCCCACCAGTCTTTCTATTTGGTCAGTTTCTTAAATCAACAAAATGGGTCTTAAACATATGTTAACCACAGGTATGTGAGCCCGTCAAGCATTTACAAATACAAAATAACTTTAAAACACTTTTCAGTAAAAATAATTATGGCAGAAACATTCATTAAAGTGGCGGACAAATATATGACATTCCAAATTCAAAACGTCTTTGAATGAGTCGACAATTTACAAAAGACTGAAGGAGTTATCTTGAGATGCTACAGATGATACTTAACTCCACCTGAAACAAGAGTATAAGTCAGTTATGCAATAATGACGGTGAACAAGCTAGATTACACATGACCACCACACCTCACACCTCCAGGCCGGGTGTTAACTTACAGGGAACATTCATCCCAGGATCTGAGGCGCCGTAGGAAGGGTTAACAAGACCAAATATGCTTCCACTTCTATTATCCATAGCCATGATGAATGTTGGTGATGGCACGAGAGGGACACACACAGCTGATACGCCACAACCACTGTTTCAACATACAGTGGAGTACAACCTAGAATTAACCACAATTATTAGAATCATATTTTCATGGGAGTCCTATACTTAGAATGATAAGATCTTTGAAATAGAGTTTATGAAGTGAGAATATTGGTATGGGTTATATTGTAAATTTATAAATAAGTGAATAGGAGGTTATAGTGAAACTTTAATTGTATCAATAAGTAATGCTCTAACTAACACTACGTTGATTTAGTTTAGGTAAGAACAGTATTAAATCACCCTAGCTATCTAAAGTTTATTCAAAGTATAGTTAATATGTTATCACGACTTGTATAGGTTTAGTTAACTTTAGTACCCAAGCTTACAATGAACTAGTGTGGTAGACTGGTGGCGCACGCACACACTCAGGCCTTAAGACAAGTTAGTGTCGAGATGCACCCATGTTATGAAAAAAAATACATTCTTTATTATTATAGGTTAGGTTAACTTTTATTTTTATCCTCTTCACCACTGATTGGATCGTTAGCAGCTTGGGTGATCGGTCACGTCTCTGTTAATTACTGTTGGCAAGTACTGGGCATGTACTGGCTCCTGAATGTACCTGAACCTGCTCCAGTGTTGGTCAAGTCTTGTCTTATTAATTTCTTCTAATTTATGTTGCATCGGTTTCATTGAATAAAAAGTAATTTAATCTTTGTCAGCTCAAGGAGTTTCGTTCTGACCAAAATCCACCACAGAAAAACATAACGTTTTCTAGGTGCTGACGGATTCATTAGTTATCTTATGTATTACAGAATGATGGGATGAGTACACTAGTTTTTACCAAATTGAACCCTGGCTTATGGTTAAGTAACCCAGAAAAATAATCAATTGGTTTATTAAACAGAGGAAAATATAGATGGGCAGGTCATTCAGGTACAGGGGTTGGTTAAGTCGAGTCTGTTCATCCTCAGTCAGCTCTAAATTGCGTTGAGATTGGTGATTATAGTAATTTGTTGATCTTTTGTTTGGCATAATATTATTGCATTATTTCAGCAACAATAATACATGCTGACACGAATCCTAGAGACTATTGGACGGTTGGTCACGTCTCTGACAAGGCAGATTGATCCTCTGCACCTGTGGTACTCATGCAAGCAGGATTCATTTTTATATTCAAATAAGTAGGGTCGAATAGCGATGCTTTTACAGTACACGAATATAATGACTGATGCATATATTATCGTCTTGTATATGGAAAATAAACACTCAAGGATCCACTTCATTTTAGACATCAATATGATGTTATTGTCTGATTAAGATTATTTATCTCGATTGGGAATTTTGATAATCTAATTTGATAACGAATATATTTCAATTAGACGGGGATATATACTCACAGTGATGGGGAACATTACTCAGTGTGTGGTGTACAGCAGCTGGTGAACAGGACCATCAGCTGCTGGGTGGCGGGAACATTAACAGGTGTGTCAGCCGAGTCCTCTTAACCTCCCTCTCTACATAATTATTACACCAGGGTACAATAGTCTCTAAATCTAGAAGGTGGGATTAAAAATTACCACTGCCATGAGTCTTACGCCTATTAAGTACACACCTCTGGTTATCTTGTATTTAATAAGCATAATATCACGAGCACACTTGTATTAACTTGTCTTAAAACTTTGGAAATTGCCCACCCAGTACAGTATTAATAACCAAGAGTATTACATTACAGAGGGTAGTGAAGATGAGCCACCTGGAGCCCCCCAAGGAGTTTCCATTCCCCTTCCCTCCATACAACATCCAGGAGGACTTTATGAGGAACCTGTTCATTGTACTGGAGAAGGAAGGGCTGGGGATATTTGAGAGTCCAACAGGAACAGTGAGTGATTCCATGCAGTAATTCCTCAATGTCATTGGTATTAAAAGCTCAAATAAAACACTGAACATAATGAATCTTTAATGCCTATCACGTTGGTTATTGAACAAGTAAATGTTGACTGGTGGTATTATATTTGCTGTTACTATTGTACTGTTTCACCTCATAGGATCAGAAAATAAAGATTCCTCAGTGTTGCTACTTTTTTTTTTTTAACCATTCCAGCCACTGAGTACAATGTATTAGCTCACTGTTTGAGATATCTTCACCTATTGAGTACAGTGGTTCAGTATCCAAACCTTTTCTCATATAATGCAGGGTAGCCAGAAACAAGAGTAGACAAACATTTTTTTAATTTCTTTTAATCATTCAGTCTTACTTCATCATTATTTATATTTTCTACTTTTATGTTATTGCTGTGGTATTGTTACTATTAATTTTGTCTTGGTTTTATTATGACTGACAAATCTCTCATTGTGTTTTCGTGTTATGGCCGAGAATTCAATGAATCTCTAGAAAACTAACCTAGCCTAACCTTGAGGCAAAAACAATGTGATGCTGACAATATCTCAACCATCGCAAGAGGCAGGACGATGAGGTTTGTCCATTCAATTAGCCGCAGTGTTTTATTTTTGTTGATTTCAGGGGAAGTCGCTAAGCTTAATATGTGGAGCATTGACCTGGCTTAGAGATCACAGTGAACATTATAAGGTACAGTACAGTATACAGTACTGTCATTCCAGATAACTTAATTCTCAGCACAAAATGTGTATTCCATGAAATCTTTTATTGTTATATGTACGGCATATATAAAAATCATGATCACAGGTGAAAAGAAAAAATCCCACTTATTATTTATATAAAATTTCACAAAGACTCACCATAATGATGTACAAATTTTCAGTCCGAGTTAACGAGGAAGGTTGAGGAGAGTGAGAACACGACTGATGATGACGGTCCTGACTGGTTCACAGCTGCCACTAAGAGACGTGAGGAACAGGAGGAAGTGAGGAAATACAGGCAGACACTTTTACTACTAGAGAAACAAGAGCAGAGAGTGAAGGCTTTGAAGGAGCGGCGCCAGGTGATCAAGGTGAGTATTGGTGTGGATGTTTGACAGTACAGTACAGCACTGATATTGATTCTGTGATAGCATATGAGATAGTTCAATGTTTCAGTAGAAGAATAATGTGGGGTGTTTCTACTTGTTGTTGCAGCACTTTCCTGTTACTCTTTATACTGTATTAGTCTTATACGTGCAGTACTTCTCTCTTGTACCATAACCTTCTCGTTCTTCAAGGTTTATTACCCTAAGTTCCTCCCCACACAAGAGGAGTAAAGATGATAGATAAATGCAGTCATTGATTCTTATCATTACCTCATACTAGTTATGGTGTTTTCTAGGATGTTATAATCAGTATAGTATAGCATAGTACAATACAGTTACAGCACAGTACAATATTGGAACAATACTGTATACTGTATCCTTGTAATATTCTTTGCAGAAGTCAAAGGTTCAGAAAGTTGATGATGAATTTGAAGAATTGTTCCGTGACTTACACGAAGTTCGGGAAAATGTTCGACGAGAGTTGAGTGCTATGAGTGGTGAGGATATTTAACAAGTTATTAGGTTTTGATTTTAACAGCCCCACCAAGATGGGTTGATGTCTTTAAATGTTTGCTGTGTGTTCATATATCTGTCTACAGTATTCATTTGTAAATATGAAATACAATAATGTACTAAATCAATTATCAAATCTTATATTTTTGGAAATGAGATGTGGAGAGAATGCCATCAAGTGTCAACTATTTTTCTGTGCAAGTTAAATTTATCATACTGTATAGTTAAACAAATCTAACAAGTTTGTATTGATGTGATCGCAGGTGGAGATGTGTTGTCGGCTGAAGAGACATCCTTGTTAGTGGATGACTACTGCAGTGATGATGAGACAGAAACAGAGAAAGGTGATAATGAAGAGGATGAAGATGATGGATGTTTAAAAGTAAATCTGTTCCTTTTTTTATGCATTGAAAAATTATATTACAGGTAGATTTTATGATTGTAGAGTTGAGTTGTTTTAGGGGATGAACATACAGTACAGTACTGCTGGTGGGTGATGTTAGGTTGTTTGAAGGGGCTGAGAAGGCGTTTGGGACGTTGTGGAAGAGGAACACCATAATAGAACACACTTGTTAGACCAATTAGAGAGAATGAATGACAGTGAGTGGAGAGATGTTCAGAGTTGCTCATGACTCCAGCTACCTTCAGAGGAAAAGACTTGGAAAAGTGAATAAAAGAAGCATAGATCACCTGAGGATTAGCCCCTAGGTTATTTCACCTTAACATGAGCCAACCTAATTAATGTAATTCCTCATTTTATTCTGCAGATTTATTACTGCAGTCGCACACACTCACAGCTGTCACAGTTTGTCCATGAAGTACAAAAGACAGTGTTTGGGGAAGACGTGAGAGTTGTGTCTTTAGCTTCTCGACAGAACCTGTGTGTCAACGAGGCAGTCAGCAAGCTTGGTAATATGTCCCTCATTAACGACAGGTAAGGCTCAGGGTGAAACATATTTTGTTGTGGAAAGATAACGTTGAGGAATGCCCAGTTGTTCTCAGATTTTTTTTATAAAGATTTGTAGGAATGTTACCTGCACGGACCTTAAGCTAAAATACTGGTCCGCCCTTGTTCTCAGAGGTCTTGTGTGAAGTGCTTTTTACCTGGCAGCTACTCCAACTAGAAGGCAAGACAGGAAGAAGGTCAGCGTGTAGTGGCACAAATTCTTTCAGTTTAATATTCCATCTAAGCTGCCACTATTTGTACTGGGCTGAAGTTCTTTACTTCATATTTTATCATCCACATATTCTTTTCTGTTATTATTCTTCTATTTTTTATTTATAAATATACTTTATATTCTTATTTAGTATTCTTATATAAGTAATTCTCTTCTCAGTTATGTATGTTTTTGATATTAAACCTTCATGGTGTATTTATTTAATAATTTCTATGCTGTGGCTTTAGTTCCACAATGTACATACATGTCTTATGTTTCTTTTCTTGTACTTTCCAAGTCTTTCATTTCTTTTCATATACTGTATATTATATTTTCTAAATTTATATGTCCTTACCTTTCTGAAGTATTTACTCTGTTTTACTTATATTCTCACACATGGGTTAGTCTGGGGAACCATGTTATTCTTACTACAACACTTATTATACTTACAAGGGTAAGCTGCTACCACCCAGACTTTTCATTATATAACATAACTCATGGAAAGCTTTTGGGTAGTGTGGTAGATGTATAGGCATGTGAGTAAGTATTATTTTCTGGGAACCAATGTTTAGAAGGAGTAGAGAGGTGATACGCGTAGATTACTAATTCAATATTGATTAACACAGTGAGTGAATAAGATGTTACTTAAATTCACTCAGACCAGACTGTACCATTGATAGAATAGATCCACAATGTCTTATTAATTCATGAAACACTTCAAGTACTTATTATATCATTAAACACCTCCAAGTACTTATTACTTCATTAGACAATTGTTGTATTATTCCTCTGACAATTGAGATTCAGTAATTATTATACACGATAAGATAACACTGGACCCTCAGGTCTTACTTTATAAGTAACAAATTACATCTCCAATTCTTGGTTACAACATTTAACAATCATTATATTATTCCATTGTCACTACAGAGGGTTATATGACATTTGACAATATCCTTAATCAACTTATAACGTCACATTCTATCGGCATGAACATGATACTTTTCCTTCAGTTCATGTACTCAACTCACATAACATATTTCCTGGTTATATCAACATTTATGGGTTCACTGCTTAACCTGGGATTTCCATATTTCTGTTAGTTAATCCCTCAATCAAGATACAATAATACTTAGGCCCATGTAACTGTGAGGAGTGCACCAGGGTATATATCCCGGGTGTCTCCATAACAAATGAAGATCGCTGTTAGGGGGTCGGTTGTAGACCGACACACGCCAAGGGAGCTGGGGCCTGATTTGCAGGACTTCACAGTTTGATCCTGTCGAATTAACGGCATCGTCCAACCCGGCTACCGACCCACGGTAGCCGATGAGTATTCAGCTCAACACACTGGCCTGGAGATATGTTGAGGAAGAGTCACGAATGCGTGATTCTCCCTCGTGTAGAGGTATATACATGCACCTGCTGGGCAGCTTGGGCCCCCGTATTCATACCAGAAAGGTCGATCTTACCAACAACATACCTTCTCTACCATTTTGGATCATTGTATACTTAATTATGAACTTTGGTGTTCCTGATCAGTGTAATTTCCTATGTCTATTCATATAATCTAATCAGAGGTTGAGCTTGCCAGGAAAAAGTGGAATATACACGTTGATAACATTAATTCTGCGAGCTCAGGGCTGCTGCGAACAAGGAGCTATTCACGGGGAGACGTTAGATCTTGGAGATTATACAGGTTGACAGAATAGTTCAAGAGATTAATGACTTTCTTAAATAGACAACTGACAAACTCTAAACTACAACCATCAGATTCACTGATGTTTGGGCAACAAAATACTCTGACTTCAGTAGCAATTGGAAACTCATGGTCATTCTTAGGGAACGATACCGCGGGTATCGTTTGTACTGGCAGACTCAACACTCACTTACCTACCCAATGTTACTAACAATAAAGACAGTTAAAGCATTCAACATCACTCACAAAGGACCTTGTATGCTTTAACTGTAATCAAACATATCTAAGTTGACTCACAACAAGGGCGTTCTCTCTAACATTCAAATTCATTTTATAGAGGGGTTGGTTTCAGTAAGTTAGACAAAATGGGATAACGGAGGACTGAGGCGTCTTGAAGCGATGAGAAAACGGACTCCTCAGATGGAGGGCTCAAACGAAGGCAGAGTTACATGTTTTGTGGGCTATTGAGCGATATATGAATCGTCTGATTTTGGCGTTAACTGACGTGTATGACCGTGGTCATTACAAGTGGATTGTGTAGGATCTTTCTATTCCTCTTCAAAGTCTTGTCAAGAGCTATTTAAAAGCTCAGTACGTGTGTCACCCCCACAGCTTGAGCTGGTAAACAGTTCCACGGGTCTACCACCCTCTGCATGAAAAACTCTTCCTTATATTCGTCCTTCATGACACTGTGGCGAGCTTGAAATTGTGTTCTCATGTGTTGGTGGAGCATTATGGTGAGGGATTGTGTGTGTTGGGTGTTCAGTTGTTTTAGGGAGGATGACAGGTTGTTTAATCTCATGTAAAGCAACAGGGATAAACCAGAGGGATATCTTAATACAGTTCACAAATGAATGACAACAACAGAAGGGAGAGGTTATGTTTGTTTTTTATTCCAGCCATCCAGCAGCATAACAGGAAGAAGCTTGTAAGTGTGAAAAAAATTATGGTTAATGTTTCTTTTTATAAGTTTGTATATTTAGAAGGTACAGTACACCATTATTCACACTGTTCAGTTAAATTCATGATTTTTCCACAGATGTCTTGATCTTCAGCGTGGCAAGAAGGGTCAAGCCACCAAGTATGAGGACGACGGCAGCACCAGCAAGAAGAAGCGGTCGTCTGGCTGTCCATACTACAGACAGTCTGCACTGGAAGGCCTTGCTGATCAAGTAAGCAAACCTCAAGTGACACCTTTTGAAAATTTCTCATATAATAAGATCTTTGGTGAACTCCCTCCACTACCTAATGTCCAGCAGTAGATATTAATTTATGTTTAACAAATATACATTACCAGTAGTATAAGAAAACCAGTAACTCACTACTAATGCCACAGACCTGGCAAATTGTATTCAGATAATATTTCCTCATCTCATCCCATCTCATAATCTTGAAATGTTGTGAAAATTTTCTGTAAGTTGTAAGCTGAGTAGGTGATGGAGAACTTAGTCCATGTAATAAACAGCTACAGTTTCATTTCTAACACCAAAGCCAATAATTTATCAGGTGGCAACCTTGAGTCTAGAATAGTTAACTTAGCCTGGAGCTTTAACATGGTGAGTGACAGGACATACCAGAGCAAATAATGCTCCATTAACCATGCATGGAGTCTTCCTTGACTCTCACTCACCAAATAAACTTCTTTACAGAAACAGGAGATTAATCTTTACCCTTTTGTCCTCTGTAGTAAATATAGTGCATAATTAGTATATATTTGTGTGTTTTTGAGCAGTTGCTGTTGGAGGTTCAGGACATAGAGCAGATGGTAGCACTTGGAAGTAAGACCAAGAGCTGCCCGTACTATGGGGCGAGGTATGCAGTAAAGGATTCTCAGGTAAGATGACCTCACAGTAATAACTCATTCCTGGATTTTTATGTTCCCACTAAACAATATTGTTACCTCTGCCTGTCTGTCTCTCTATACAAAATGTCACATTCATTTAATAACTTAAGAAAGACCTTAAGGATTAAATTAAAATTTGGGATGTAGCTTTGTACTATGAATATCAAGATCTTGTTTGATAATTATCAGACTTTTCTGAATTTCTGGCTCTTGTTCATATCAGAAATTTTAGTGGGGTCACACATCACCTTCGCTGATTACCTACAGTAGTTTCACCTTTTCTTTGTTAATTTGTTTTATCACCATCTCAGCTGGTTGTTCTGCCATACAACACACTCCTCCACAAGGGCACGAGAGAGGCCAGCGGCATCAAGTTGAAGGGCAACGTTGTGATTGTTGATGAAGCTCACAACCTGTTAGAGACCATTGCCAACATCCACTCAGTGTTTGTCAGCCATGGACAGGTGGGTAAGACTTGTATACTGTATGTGTTTTAATTGTTAGCTGATAAAGGCTGGAAATGACTTTAGTTGTCATCCAATATGTAAAAGTTAGAGAACTGTAGGAATAGTGTGAAACTTTTTGAAAGATTCAGCTTATCAGTAACAGCAATTTCCTGTTCGAAGTATAGAGTAATTCTTGTGGTAATAATTTCAGTTACGTGGTGCTCACGCTCAGCTCAGCCAGTACATGCAGCGCTATGGCAAGAGGTTGTCACCAAGGAATTTGTTGTATATCAAGCAAATCCTTTTCTTCATGAATGCCTTGATAAAACTGATAGCAGGAGGTAGGTTTGTGCCCTTAGTTTATATACAGTAATGTAGTACACACAGCTATGTACACTTACTGTACTATTTTATGACAATATGAATGATGAGTTGAAATGGAGGCCATATGTTATTGTGCCAAGAACATCACAAAAAGGAATGTTGTTTCACTGTAAAGAAGTAAATTTCTATACACTCAAAAGTGATCAACTTTAAATCTTGGGCCAGCTCTCACAATCCACATGTTATTGTCTATGGAACACCTTGGTTCAGCTGAAGGATCACTAGTTGCTGCAAGGCCAAGGATCATCTATATATGCAGGATGACATAGTATAGTGCTCTGATGATGCTGTTGACTCCAGTAGTAATAAAGGGGTTGAGGCTAAGTTGTGTTTATAAATTACCCGTACATGTATTGTATATTAATAGCAACATAAACTATCTTCTCACTTTTAGGCAGCTGTAATAAGACCCATTATTTATGATTTCCTAACATAGTCTTTTGTTTCACAGGTTCAAAAGCTGGTAATGAGTTTAATATTGGCAGCAGCAGTGTCAGCAGCAGTCCTGGTGTCAGTGGTAATACTTCTACTTCACAGATGCTGACAGTATCAAAATTTTTATGTGACACCCTGACTGACAACCTTAATATTTTCAAACTTGTGCAATACATTGAAAAAAGCAAAATTGCTCATAAGGTAAGTACTGTATTCAGTATTAATATTTTATAACACATTCTAGTAAAATTTATCTTCATGTGTCCTTCTTGCATGTTTAAAAATCCATTTCTTTCATCTTAGAAATATTTCAGCTCTAGAGAAACATCAAGCCTTTGGTTTTAAGTTTCTTCCATGTTTATATATCCTAAACTTTTTATGGCTTCAGTGTCAATGATCATTGGTTGTTTATTGTTTAGTTCCTTGTATGTCTATAAGTCACTTTGCTTTAAACTGGCTTGGTAATGCTGTTTACATCATCAAATATATTTACAATAATTGTATGAAATGACCTGCTTAGTCAAATAATAATATTAAATTGTTTATCTATTGTGTTGTAATATGTGTACTGTACTGTACCTGGCCGCAGCTGCACTCCTTTAGTCAACACTTTGAGGGATCAGTGAAGATTCACCAGGACCAGAAGCCTCATGTGTCATCACCCACAGCATCTACTTCAGCTTTCCTGGCCAAGATGGCTGCCCAAAAATCTGCACAAAGTAAAGCCAAAGGTAAAGAAAGTTGTGCAGTTAGTGCCTCTCAGTCCAGGAAAGAGTAGGATGCACCTATGACCTGCCAGGCTGGAGGGGTATAATTATCCATGGCATCAGTTTCACTCACATTAAGGCACTGTGCCAAACTAACAGTTAATTTCATAATATCATACAATAATATAGTAATGTGAATACAGTAGTATACACTGGTGATTATAATATGCCTTCATCAAAATTAAAGTTTTGAAATACATTTGTCATGTGGATCATGACTCAGTAGGTAACCCTCCACCATAGTCAAGTGTAGTGTTTAACATACCATTCTAAGACTTACCTTTATCTTAACCTTAAAGGTAGCTCATAAAACTTGGCATCATATTTATTACAGTACAAAGACGGTCACCTTATGAAACTGTGAGAGACAAACTAAGGGTGTTGACTGTAATTACTGAAAGTGTGGGAATTGTGATGTTGTTGAAGTACAAGTATGGTCAAAGTCCCTCAACTTTTGGTAATATCTGGCAACTACTTGTGGCTTATATACCAGTACTGTATGTGACCATGAATAAATGGATGCTAATATCCCAGTACTCCTTACCTACATGACCTACTGCCAAATGTGTCATTAGCCCAACATGAAAATAAATATATATATATATATATATATATATATATATATATATATATATATATATATATATATATATATATATATATATATATATATATATATATATATATATATATATATATATATATATAATTTCACTGTGCCAATTACCGGAGTACACATTCTTTATGGTCTGAACAAGTCTACATCAACTTTATCTACAGAAAATATTCAGCCAGCAACACCTGAGGTTAAAAAGACTGATGAAGTGGAGACAGAAGAGGAGGAGGTCGTGATGGGCTCTCCCTTGATGCAGATAACTGAATTTCTGCGAGCTCTGCTACACTCAACTCAGGATGGTCGTGTTGTGGCGACTGTTGGAGCAACACCACGTAAATCTTCAATCAAATATTTACTCCTCAACCCTGCATCACACTTCCACGACGTTGTTACACAGTGCAGGTTGATAGATGCACTTTTGTGTATTTTGGTTTACAAGTGATACTGTATCTCTTTTATGTATATAAGGTTATAATTTTATAATCAATCTCGATTTTTATATTCAGTTATTTCTGTCACAAAATGAAATGAAGATTCTGATGAACCCAAAGGTGTTCAATTTTGGATGTTTAAAATGACTCGCTAGATTTTTTAATGTTGAATACTTCAAATACTGTAAAGGACTTTTTTGTGGCATTTGTATAAAGTTTTAGCTGACCAATTGGCTCAGTGAGCATATTGTTCAGTACAGTATAGTACAACATTATACTGTTGTTTAGGTTATGGTACAGTATAGTACTCCAAAATATTTTCAGGTAGTGTTCACTGCTGGTATATGAAGAATGACGTGTGTGAACCCCCAGATAATGTAACACTGAATATACTGTATCTCTCTATAGGTCAGTGATTGTTGCTGGTGGGACCATGAGACCTGTGAGTGAGTTCCGGGACCAGCTCTTCCTCTCCGCAGGTGCCGAGGCTAGTCGAGTGCACGAGTTTTCATGTGGTCATGTTGTACCTGGAGAACAGATCATGCCTATTGCTCTTTCTCAAGGCCCTACAAATGTTACTTTAGACTTTACTTATCAGCACAGAGGAGACACCAAGGTGGTGAGCATAGAGACATTGTGTTCTTTAGTACAGTACAATACTGTACATACCTGCATTTTTTAGTTCCACTTCTTGTTGATGATAAATAGTTTTGCTTCTCTACATACGAGACTCCTAACTCCCCTGAGGCCTTAGACATCTCTTCTCTTGTCATCTTGTAGCTCCTCAGCTCTGTTAATCTGTCTGTTATATTTACTGTCCAGGTAAGTGGGAAAGTAGAAGTGCAAAAACATGAACCACAGTGAATATGTTGACCAAGATAAGCATCTTCCACTATTTCCTCCCTTTCTTTAGTACAGTATTTATAACTTAATCCACTTCACACAAAGGAGGGAAGAGGAGTCATTACAATAGATAGATTAGGCTGAATAATTATATATTTTCCTCTACACAGCTGGATGAGCTCGGACGTGTCCTGGTAAATGTCTGTACAGTAGTGCCGGGAGGAGTTGTTTGTTTCCTGCCATCGTACGATTACGAACAACGTGTGTTTTCCTACTTTAACACCTCTGGGGTAATAGCTAGACTATCAACAAGGAAGAAGGTAAATGTACCGCATATTAAGTAAATTGTGTTGTACAAGTAGACCAGCACTTGGAAGACTCACAGTATATGCCTGCCCTGTTATCTACATACTTAGATAAAACCATAATATATATTGTATTGGGGAATGTCAACAAAAACAAAACAAAATTGATCATGTTATTCGAGCAACTATATGTAACATTCCCTATTTTTTTACAGGTTTTCCGTGAACCCAAGAAATCAAATCAACTGGACAGTGTGTTGAGTGATTATGCCAAAACTGTGCGATTAACAGCATCCAATACAAGTGGACTTACCGGGTCATTGCTCCTCAGTGTTGTTGGTAAGTGACACAATGACTGTAATTAAAAGACAGTGACTAATACTGTAAGTCTTCCTGAAGATACAAAATAACCCGTGTCTGAAACTACATTATGTGTGTATCATAATTACAATTGTTCAGGTGGGAAGATGAGTGAAGGCATCAACTTCAGTGATGGTCTAGGGCGATGTGTGGTAATGGTTGGGCTCCCATACCCCAACACACAGTCTCCTGAACTGAAAGAAAAGATGCAATTTCTTAATAAAAATGTGGTAAGTTACAATTATATGTAATTTTAGATGTCGAACTTTTAGAAAGGAAAACTGACTTCACACACGTGTCAACAATATCTAGTGGAAGGAGCTTTATATACAAATTTTGAAAGGTTAATTTTAATGTAAATTATTTAGTCTCCAGGACCTGATGGAAAACCTGCTGGTTCTGTCTTCTATGAGAACCTTTGCTTCAAGGCTGTAAACCAGTCCATCGGCAGAGCCATCCGTCATAGGTGAGGAGGTTGATGTTTTTTAAGAGTATAGAAAATAAATATACAATACAGTACTGTACTTTACTTAGGGGATGTAGAGGACACAGGCATAATACATTAACTAGTTTTAAGACTTCAGGAAGTTCTTCTAATTTTACTGGATACAAATGAAGTGTAAATTTCTCACTGATACACAAGTACTGTAAACCTTTTTTAAAACGTTTCTTACCTGTCACCCTACCACACGCTTCTTCCTAATCCCGTTTGGTTACCTTGTACAGTACACATGTTTGCTTACTTGGTTACATTTAATCATTCTTGCCATGTCTTTTTCCTAATTTGTAAACCAATGACCTGTTAAGTACAGATATGGAATAATGAACTTAACTTTTAAATCGGCCATCATCAATGGAGGTTAGCTGCAAAGACGGTGGCCATCATCAATGGAAGTTGCTGTTCCTTCCTTTCCATTTTTGCAGTGATGGTGGGAAAGGCAGTCCTTAGCCTTCAGTTAAGGGTTAATGTACCATGGGGATCCTATCTCTAAAATATGCATCATGAACTTGGGATAAGGTGACTAGCAGTTTATCAGCATAATTGTTTCCTGTTAACTGTATTCATGTTTAAGAGTTACAATGTCTAATGTTTCCCTCAGGAATGACTATGCCAGCATCCTCCTGTTAGATCATCGGTACAGTCGTCCTTCATCCATTCAGGCTCTTCCAGAATGGATATCCAAACATGTGCATCAGTGTGTCAAGTTTGGACAAGCATTTGGTCTTCTGAGGAAGGTACGTTTAGTGTTACAACAATGGTGGTCATTCCTGTATGTTTTGTTTTCCAGTGATTCACACATTGCTTAAAATTTGGTTTATTCTCTTTTAAAACTTTTAGAAAATGATTTGCTGTATTAAATTCAAATTAATTAAACTTTGCTACAATTCATGAAGAACCAAAATGAAAAATAATGTCAATGCTTGAGGTTGTGAATGACAATAATGCCACAGCCGAAAGTGGGAGGAGGTTATTAAGTCTAATATTTCCTTCTCTAGTTTATGCCACAATGATGGTCAATAGTGAATACCTTTATGAAATATGAGTGTAGCGTAATCTCCTGGTACCAGATATTAAAGCCACATCTACTGGTAATCCTTTTATTATTCATAAACCTCGTATTTTTTTCACTCTTGCAACCTTTTCCCACTATGGTGTGTGGCGGCCATTATAAAGAGCAAAAATAGACACTTGTTTTCTATCCTTCAGTTAATCTTGATGCTATAAGTAGTATTTAATAATATTATTTATCTTCTAGTATTAACATGTCATGTATAACAATACTTAATTACTATACATCTATTTTCAGTTTTTTGTGGAGAAGTTACTGAAAAAGGCTTAGAAGAAATGTTTCCATTCATCTCACTTGATGAGTTTACAATTCTGTGTAATATTAGTTATAAGCAGTTAATATATTGTTTTTTAATAAATATTTTCTTTAAAAACATTATTTCTTTAAATACCTTAATTACACTCAAATATAATTAGACTATTAACAGCCACACTGAAAGGTTGTGAAACTTGACTTTGGAGATAAGTGAAGTGTGTTCTGTTGGCGTGGTATGACATTTCTTCCATATGTATTGATTCATCTTTGTACACACACATTGACTACTTTAATACAGTTAGGTCCCGATGAATAAGAATGCAGTTTAATGAGCTTCCTGTTTTAGTGGATGAAAATTAATTGAACAAACTTCAACTCAAATAACTATTGAACCACCTTGCATTATCATCATCTGTGGCATGGGGCTGTCATTGGTTGAGCAGCTAGACTCGGTTTCCTATAAACTGAGGTGAAGTCAGTGGCAGACTGACCAAGCCTAGACAACTTGGTGTGGTCCACAGCTCTCTTGTGTCACCCAGAGAGCATTGTGGATTCTTACCAGGTGTGCTGCCCTGAAATTTCTAAAATCAACATTAAATGTGATGGTACTGAGTGAAGTAGTGCAAAATGAAAACAAAGTGCTTTGTATGGTTTCAAACGGGAGTCACAAAAATGTTTTTTGGACTCTTAAGATGCTCACAGCTGCCTCAAGTTACTCTCCTCCTCTTCATCCTATCTGCTCATCTTTCAACACTTCAACTTCAGTTAGCATTTACAAATAAGAAGATAAAGCATAACACAGTTACATATTGTTTTTCATACAAAACTTAAGAGTAATAGGAAAATATGGGCTATCCAGGCACTTAATGGTTTGACTGGCAGTGCATGGTAGAGTAGATGACCGTGTTTATAATGGCCAAGGCTCACAAGATGAATATATTTACATCTGGTGGGTATTTAGAGAGGAAATAATAGAATTAATACAATTTAACTACCCTTAAACACCAATACTTTTCACATTATATATGATATTATGATACGTAATAAACTGCTCATATCATACAGTATAAGTTTTCATGTTTCCCACTTCCATTTATACATTCATTCAACATTGAAATCTGTTTTCAGACTTAATATTTCTGCCCAAAATGTATCATGTCACCCAACATACAATACCTAACCAAGGAATGATGTTCCTACAAATATTAATAATGAGAACAAGTTGATTTTAATGATGAATTTATTGTTGATAAATATTTTTGTATGATAAGAAAATAACAATAATGAGAGTAAAAGATTGTGCCTATAAAGTTTCCATGTAATACACAAAGAAACTTAACTAATAAACATGAATATGGGATGAGAATGGGGCAGCAGCACTAAATCTGTACAAGGGTTGTTCTCACATAATGCAGCTTGTATGTGTACATGTAAAACATTGCTTTCATTCAAAACAAGAGCATTAACATGTACGGTGACTGACAGACACCCTTACATATTAACACCTTACAGTTAAGATATTTATCACATGATAAAGATTTTATAAAGCCTTACGTATTTACAGTGGCTTCTAACACGCCTCTCTTAGACACGGAAAAAAATATATTTAAACGAGTTACACATTCAATGGGGAGGGTCAATTATGCTCTTGAAAATATATAATTTCCCAAGTTAACAATAATTTGGCATTTACATGTATAAAGAGAATGTGATTACTATATTAAAACACCTGTTCATTAATATATATATATATGTACATTTCACCATAAGCCATCTTCATTAGGAGGGTAAAAACTCATAATACAGTACAGGGCATAAGTAACATTACTAGTTCCCTTACACTGACAGCAGAGGTTGGAATGAATACCTAATAAAACTTAACTGCTGTCGGTAAATTAGGAACAGCGATTAATGGTACCGTACGTTTTATCCCGTTTAGGTGGGGTCGACTCCGGTGGGGGCTGTTCACAACTGATGACACGGAGGAGCTAATATTACAATATGCTATCTACTGTGATCAACATTGATGCAACATAACCAGTGCAAGCTTCCTCATTAAACTTTTAATTATATGTTCAATTTGAAAACTAATGTGAACAATGTAGGGGAAGATTCATGGAAGAAATAAGTGTCTAGAGATTCTCATACATGACTCAATCAAAGATATTTACTTTGTTACTACCAGCTATTTGCAATTCAGTACACAAACATCAATCAACAGCATCAGTCTTCATGTACTACACAACTGGTATACTATAATGTTGGTCATAATTAATAACTTGTAATCTTTTAAACAATACATTATTCAAATAGCTAAAACAATAAATTAATCAACAACAAAGCTGCAACAATAAGATCAACTATGTGTTCATTTATATTTGATTGATGATGTAAACATTTTAAAAGTTTTTAAACCAACTTCATACTCCAGTGGACTATACTGTATTGCATCACTTGCAATGAGAGCAATATTTCGTTGGGTTTGTCGTACATTATTTGACGCTAATCCTTCACTGTAATTAGCTTATAAGAATTGTCTTACAAAGTTTGGTACACACATTATGTGAATTAATACATTTTTCTGCATTAATAACATCCATAAAATATAGAAAACCTGGACAAGTGATTCATCGTTAACTAAAGTGTACCAAAGTTTAATCTGACCCTAAGTTCTCCAGTTTTCTGTGTTTACAATTTCCTAATTTAACACAAAGAAAGAAGTTCCTTCCTTCATTAAAATTTTTTCAGTAAATATTTTCTCCTGGGGAAGCACTTACAATAACCTTAATTCTTCCCATCTTATTCCCATGTTCTCTAAAGCAGTCATTAAAACTGTGTACCTGTATCACAATAATGAAGTAGTAAAGCCAAGTACCTCATCACCATGGATGGATTCCACCTTGTGTCAAGAGCCCTTACACAAGCTCCTGGCCACACTACCACACCCTTTCTATAAAACATATAACAATCACACCTCTAGTTTCTTTTCTGAACTAACTTAGGCAGTGGTTGTTCATCTTCATCACAGGGTCTGTCAGTCTTTGGTTTTGCTGTTCTAACTTACCAAATGGTACTGAAATAAAGCTAATGAGAATATAGTTTTCTGTGAAGCAATTGGAATCACCATAACAACACAGTTTTATATATTAATGGAACATACACTTCTCTGTAATCTGAATATGCACCATGTTAGATAAATGCTTCTATATAAAATTCAACACAGAATGTCCTATCAAAATATTACAAAAAGAATATTGTATTTGATATTCTGTCTGTATTACATCTCTTGAATATGGTATCACAACCACGATGACTGAGTTAAAATGAACCGATTCAGTTTTGGTCTTCATCCACTACTTTTCTGAAACATTCCCCTTTAAATATATTAATACGTCATAGAATAGTTTTTCATTAATCAAATGTTGCCCATTTGTTTTCACTTGCACCCCTGGTATCACTGTTAGACAAAGGGGCCTTATTATTATTTACTATTGTGTTATTGTTATTCCCTGCCGTTGCTGTCTTAGAAGGGCTGTTTAATGTAAGTTTTTGGAAGTCTTTGGAAAAGTCCCCTAACAAGTCTCTCTCAGATAGGCGAGGGGGTCGCTGTGGCTGGGAAGTGGTGCTGGAAGCTTTACCATGCTGTGCAAATGGTGGTTCAAACTGAACATAAGGGCTAGGCCTACCAGTCACTGTTCCTGTTGATGTCTCCTCTGAACTTTGGGACAACATGCTGGTTGCAAATGCTGCTGCTGCATTGCCTGCTCGAGTGGTACTTGGGAGGGAAGCTACTCCTGGAGGTTGATGCTGGTTGTAAATGGGATTTTGGCAACCAATTGGAGTGCCCATGCTAGTTTGTAAGGAGGAGAACTGACGGTACTCAGATCCACGTGGCTGGTACGATGCCAATAGGCGGTACTCTGAAGGGCGTTTTGGCGTGGCATTAGGTAGACCAGTAGTGTTGATGGCTGTGGAACGTGAGAGAGCCGGGTGAGGTGCAGTGGTACCAGGAAGCTGGGAGGTACTTAAACTGCCAACACCAACCCCTTTTTCAACAGCTGTTGATGCTCCTGTAAAGGACAACATATAGATATTAGCCTTTACAGTCAGAAAATAAACCTTGTAAATCACTGAATACCAAGCAGGGCTCCAGAGGACATAACTGTACCTGGTACATCCTTGTGAAATACTGTACTGTACTGCTCTATGTCATTGGTGGAACGAAATGATATCCCACTAGTTGTACTAACACTGAATATATATACAGTACAGTACTACCTGTACTGTATATATATATTCCCCATGTGTGTTAAGGTGAGTGTCGAGGTGGTGTCTGGGAGTGACTAGTAATACAGTCATAATAATGTTTGTAAGTGTGTAAGTAACTGAAATTTTACGCACCAAGAATTGGAGGGAAATCATTTCACGAATAGGAGAAACTTGTGGTGGCTCGCCATTGTTCTGTTCTGTTTTTTAATTTCATTCCACAGCCAATTATTTTAAAAAAGGAACCAGAAAAAAATAACTTTATTCCATTATCGCAATAAGTGTTGTAAATAATGTACGGTATACATGTATATTGTAAACATTCAGAGATATAATAAATAAGAGGGAGACAATACAACAGCCACCATAATAGAGTAATATAACAGAAATTAAACACTAAGCTGAGCACAGGTAAAACATGGTACCTCTGACGGGGGTTTAAGAGCCATATCAATCCCTTGGAGTGAAGGGGTTAAGAGCAACTGGGGGGGGGGGGGAAATCTCTATAGTACAATGCAGATAACAATGACAATTAATTTTAAAGCCTTGAGTTTATACCCTGATCAAGACTGCCCTCAAAAGTGGTGGCTAGATAGTCCCCAGCCCTAATAGGCTCTTCCCTCCCCTCACCTCACCATGTGGATTCAGGGCTACTCCTTGGGTTTTAATCTCTATCTGTCATCCAATTTACCATAAAGAGCATCACACATCAGTCACACTGGACCATGAATTTAATTTTATTCTTGCAAGCTGTGTTTTGTTATTTTACACAGCCATGAGCAGACAGACTCTTCATTTACTGTCATTCACTCAGTCTTGATGCTGTAACATCTCCATTAACCATTCATACTCTCCTGCTGCCACCGCTCCCTACATGTCTATTCCATTTACTTCCAGCACATCCTTCTGTCTCCCTGGTTTTTCTCTCCTCTTCCTCCTACCATCCACCTCTATACTGCACACTCTCTACCAGTCTTTTACTTTCCTTGTACCCAAAGTACTGAACTTGAATGAAATATAAAATAAAATAAAAATATAAGCAATTGGGCATCATTTTCCACTTTCTGCACTAAGTACACAAATATTCCTTGAAGTACAGCAGCATATATATTATTTTTTGTTTATATAGTATGGTATTGAACTCCAACAAATGAATCATGTGTTCTCATTTTTAGTATGTGAAGATGTGGGTACGATCTATTGACTGTGAAAACCTGTAATTGTAAGGAACACTATACACCACGTTACTTATGCGGAAAATCCTCTAAAACAACTTGCTTACTGAAAATAATAACATATTTACACAACAAAAACCTGTATTGGGGGTTTGACTCTTGACTTCAAAACTTTGCTTGTTCTACTGAGAGTATTTAGTAAAAAAAACTGTAAATGAATCAAGTTTTATAAATAATGTTGATTTAGTTATGTTAGCAGAGCAAAACTTTAAAAACATTATTGTGTACATTACACAACCACCAAGATCCCAACAACAACTGCTCATCAAACATGTGGGAGTGTTCAACCTGGTAGACTGGATGTTGATTTGCTTGTAGGGACAGGTGGTGGCGGTTGGGCAGGTCTTCCTCCGGGATGAGTCTTTTGGGGGAGGTCCTTGGCATACAGTGGATCGAAGATTTCATCCTGTGGAGACTCCAGGAAGATGAGGTCCTGAGATGACCCGTCCTGGAAGAGTCGAGAGTAAATAGAACGAGAGGTAGAAGCACGAGACAGTTATTGTGCAACTACTGAACTGTATATCTGGTAAAAGCTTTATCATGCACTGGATATTTCAGAGGTTTCAAACATGTAAAATATTTTCTTAATAATAATGTACTGAACAATATTTAGAAGCAAACCAAAGCATACATGAAGTTCAAGGGTGTATGAACAAAACTTTGTAACAATGCAGGACATTCGCCCAATGGACCTGAAAAAGCATGCACTGAAGCAGGCAAATAAAAAGCAATACTGGAACAAGCATATATACTATCATGAGGACACCTATTTACCATATCCTGTTTTAAAGTTTACAGTACAAAAAATAAAAATAAAAGACATAATTCAAATTAAAGCTTAAAAAAATTGCAACTATGCACCCTAAGAATCCAAAAAATAACTAAATAAATAATAAACTGCAACTCAAGGTCCCAGAGGCCTAAAGGGAAAATGATGAAAAATTTATTACCTCCTCACCCGACCCCTGATCTAAGCCAAGGTGCGGGCTAGGGCTCCTTGTGCGGCGGCCTAGGGATGGGGGAGGTGGGGGCAAGGGGCTCAGGGATGCCCGGGACGAGTCCCGAGACTTGCGAGGAAAGGTGGATGATGAATGAGGAGGAAATGGGCTGGAGGACCGTGAGGAAATAGGTGCATAGTAAGAATACTGAGGAGAGGGAGAGAGACTTCTCCCTTGAGGTGTGGGAGAGAGACTTCTCCCTTGTGGGGAAGGAGAGAGTGGGGGTGGAGAGATGCTGGTTAAAACAGCTGGGAGACTCATGGTCATGATGTCTGTGGGGTGAGAGGCAGAGGAGAAGAAGAGGAAGTTACCAGCATAGCCAGGTCTAATGGGAGAGGAAAAAGTGGCCTGTGGTATATTTACAGGAGAACATAGGAGAAAATCTTCTGAGTTTTCTATGGCTTCAAACTCAGCTACTGGCGCTCTGTCATCTATAGACTTGGTAAGCTTTGAGTAAAAATACCCGGGCGTGCCCCCTTTGGTGGAATATTTGGAGAGTGAAGCAGAGAAGGCTTTACTTGCACCATACTTGGGGTAATCAATGCAAGAGGAGGAAGGATCCAAACAGTCTACGTGACGTGATCTTTTTGAGGACTTTGTAGGAGAAATGAACTCATGCCCATGGTGAAAACACATCCTTGCAGAAGAGAAAACAGAAGATGCATTGCAAGTGCCAGTAGTATTAGATATGGTGGTTGTGGTTCTACGAGCAGAGGCAGAACATTCAGACGCAGGACAATCACAGAACTGCCTGAGCGTGCCTGATTTGCCACGGCCTCGGGGGGACGTCGACTGGCTCGTACATACAGCAGAGACGTTGGAGACAGAAGGACGAGGAGAAGGAGAATGTGGCGAGAGGTGGGTTTGTCCCCAGATATTTTCATCTAACACAGAGGAACCATCGTCCCCATAAACAGTGTCGACGGAATCAGATTCATTGTGCAGAAGCTTAGGTGAGCGAAAGTGCGAAGAGGAGGGGCTGCCTACAACATCCTCATCTTCACCACCACCACCACCACCATTGTCATCCTCAAAGGTGACAGGGAAACGGTAGCCAAAAGATGTCATAATGGGAGGAGGAAGTTCAATGTTTAAGGAGAGGTCAATGAGAGGGAGAGAGGTGAGGCTGGCACTCAGATGCTGCAAGAGATATACAATAGTGTCTTAGTTTCTCACCCTTCAATACCTCCTTTATCTTCTTGTATCAAACTCCAACTACATTAATTCTTACTCCAGTACTACAGTAGTTATACCCACATGAGTTGTCCCTTTAAAAGTTTGTACTGTACTGTATACAATGGAAAATTATGTGTAAAAAAATCATATTCTGATGACATCCAAACCCAATAGTATTCATATCAATCACTTATATTACATCGTTATACAAATATATTACAAACGTATAGTAATGCCTTTTCACAAGAATTCATTTTACAGTGAACGACTTATTTAATAAACGTGAGCAGCATACAACCCACAGACTGTTTATACCATGCAGACAATTAAAATACAGTCGTCTTATACAGTTTTATCAAGCATTAACTGCATACCTCTACTGTACTGTACTGTATTACCTAAACAATTACAGCACAGTACATTATCTTCCTTTTCCATGTTCACCATTAATTTATGATGACACTTTACAACCACTTCCAACTTTCTATTAACTTATAGGATCAGAATATGTGGCAGCTATGATTCTTTTCTCAGGAGGTCTGGTGGACATATCCAAATGACTTCATGTGATAATCATTTTACACAGTGAGAGGAAGTCTGTCTGTTATTACCACATGGCTACATCACACAGTACTGTACTTGCATTACATTTCAGTAGTACCAGAAGACCATCAGTCCTACCAATACAACTCACTAACAAGAAAAAACTAACCACAAGGAAATACTAACTCCCTCAACACCATGTAATATATGAGAATCTGTGAGCATGTGTGTGTGTATGTGATAGAGGCTTTGCTGAAATAAGGAACAAGGTAAGTGTACAACAAAGACTGGGAGAGCATTATGAAGGCAAGAAGATTATTTTCATGAAACACATAAAGACAATGGAAGCATGTTGGGCTGGCCACCATGTGAAGATAACACTTTTATTATCAACATGTGATGAAATATTGATGTATGTTACTCACGACGTTTTCAAGTAGAGATGATGACAGTTGAGGGCCTAAGTGAAGCAGTGTACTGAAGTAATACCATCTGTGTAACCTTACAAACACTGGGATCATCAAATATCATTTATTAAGAAGTGCTAATACTAAATACCATCAGTTCATGCATTCATAGCTACACCATCAGGATGCTGTATTCTATAGAGTAAACAAGGCAGTGGTGTTTCTCCAAGAGGGTCCCACTTTCTCCTCCCCCTAGTAGAACAAAACACAACCACACATTTTATGAAGATTATGATATGTTACAAGTTAGGGAAGGATATTTTAGGTGATACACTGATTATGGATCCAGGGTCACAATGTTGTATGGTACATTACTGCATACAGTATAAAATTGTTAATTAATGACCCTTAGAATAATTTAATTTGCTCTGCAACCCTAACTACTCGCCTCCAGTATTGATGATGGGGATGTATATATACAGTACTACCATGTCTTCTGGTAATGGCTACATATAAAATACTTCTTACCAAACACACAGTGACTGAACTGTTGAGCAGATAACATGTGTCTCACGTCTCATCTCACTAAAACAATCACCAAACCTTAATTGTAGCTACAGTGACCCTCATACACAATACAGTACTGTGCTCCTACTAGTAAAATAAACCACAATATCTATCATTTTCAAATTTCAATACATAATTCAAAGAAGAAGTTACTGTACTATAGTCTGTTGTACCATGGGAGGTACCCGACAACATTCTGGCTATGGTCGCTGCACTAAGACGAACATGATGGCCTCCGACTGACCTCCTACGACTATCCTACTCTATATACATGTGGTAAAAGATAACTCGTGTGAAATGAACAAGTAAGGCACTCCAAAATTACTGAAGGGAACAATGTGGCACTGTAAGACTTCCACCAGAGAAACATCGTGACTATATACAGTGCCAGAAGCCCAAGACCCAGAGTACACCACCACACAACACAAAACAAAACTACATTTAACTTGTTTAATGCATGTGTCTGTCAAGCATATCAACCAATTTTAAGCATAGGTTTATGGTTTTGTTTTTTGCATTCACTGAATTTTCTTAAAGCTTCGTTATTAAGTTTTTTTAAAGTTTTGTTTTAATGTACAAGATGTGCATAAGTTTTTTTACCCATTTTATAATTCCTAACTTAAAAAAATGTATATAAATAAAACACAACAGTTTTATTATACTTGAAGAACTCAAAAGACTGGGTTCTATCTTAATACTTTTGATATTATTAAGTTTTATATTGAGTCAAATAATTTATGGACACCCTGTACAGTATTACTTCAAAGATAATATAAATTTGTACAGCATTTTCTTATCAGATGCCAGAGTTAGAAGAGTTTCAATGTTAACACCTGGAGGATGGTACAGTACATGGGGGTAGTGAAACAATATCAACTTAACATGTGTTCCTTACTATAAACTCAGACCAACACTACATCACTCACATGCCATTACTGGTATAATGATATAATGGAGAAATACATAGAAACCTACATCTTAGGATAATATATTTTACTTGTTTGTTCCCTTTATTGTGAAACACCACCATGGTCCACTTTATCACTCAACACGTCAACTCATAAGTGGATTTACGATACTGTATATAAAAAATTACTCGTGATAAACAGATACAGTATTCTGAATAGGGTAGGAATTTTTTTAATTAATATTTTAAAAGAAATTTTTAGGTTACCAGTTTGGTTCAGGGAGGATTCTGTTCGATATCTTCCCTGCCCCAACACGTGATATCAGCCAGGGAAGGAAACTATCTGCTTATTGATGATTTTTCTCGAGATTTACCTGGTATATTTAGTATCCATGGGACTTGGAACTGACTTTACTGTTAATTAGGAAGTAGTTTTTGATAGTACTGGACCTTTACTGTACTACTTAACAATGAGGCAGTCCCAATACAGGGTTTATTGGGTAGAGAGAGAGTCGGACTTCCTGTTGATGCAAGAATCTGATTTAGGTGCCACTGGTTGATTCAATGGGAGCGCCTCATTTAAGACTCACTACAGCCGCCTCCAGTATTCATTTGGTATTCAAGAGTTTTTAATGTATTTTAGATTTCTTTATGTCACGTACTACTGTGTAATTCTTCTTATGTGGTCTGTTACACGTCTCAATACACTTTGTCAGGAATATATCAAAACAGAAATAAGACAGACAGATATGGCTATTATTCACAGATATAAGTTTTGGAGTCTTATTAGGTTAACTTAACAATACAAGCACAGGTATATGAAAGTATAAAATCTCAAATCGGAAGCATAACTCAATTACTGTACTATAACCCTCATGAAATCTTCAAGATGAGGAAAAAAACGAAAGAATAATCTAATCAAGAGAATGACAAATGGGAAAACACCCCACACTGAAGATAAGTTCCTTCGGCCTTATGACCCGAGTAGTGAAGACAAGTCAAACTAAACAATAAGCCGATGGTTCACAAGGAGGCAATGTAGCCGGATCTCCACTCACCTACCTTAACCTTCTCTTCACCCTCCCCTCCCCCAGTAGTAAGAAGCCGATCAGTGGCGAAGAGGATAAAAGTAAAATTACTAGAGACTGGATCCTGTACATGTAGCCTCAACCCATCAAACACTAACATTAGGAGAGTAAGATATAGCTCCTTTACTTCCTCCTGGTCTTGGCTTGTATGTCCACCTAAGACAACAAACCTCGCACCATGAACTACTAGAAACACAGGGATAAAATGTAAACCCACTAATGCAAGACCAAGAGGGAAGAAAGATGGTGGGAAGTCAAAACACAAGAGGAGAAAGACCATAGAGACAGAGAGAGAGAGAGAAAGGGAAGTTACAAGACAAAGAAGTGGAGGAGGAATAAGGATATAAAGTTAATGATAAAGATAGAATAGGAGAGATTAAGGAACAGAGAGAGAGAGAGTGTAAGAGAAATATAAAGTATGGACAAGAATGAGAAGTTAACCTGAGATAATAATTGGTTGTCATGTTAAAAAGTACCGGTAGTCATGTTAAAAAGTACCGGTAGTCATGTTAAAAAGTACCGGTAGTCATGTTAAAAAGTACCGGTAGTCATGTTAAAAAGTACTGGTAGTCATGTTAAAAAGTTCCGGTAGTCATGTTAAAAGCTCTCCTGTAAATAAATAAATATCTTCATCAATAAACAAATTAAATCATGTCATTCTTTTGTTTAATTTTCTGCCAACTTTCAAGCGCAAAAGCCAAGTATGACAAGCCTGAAAAAGCATAAGTCTAGAGTAACTGTTCTGTACTCTTGTTAGTAGTTTGGGTTCAGCTTTTGTTAATATTTCCTGTATTAAAAGATTCTCTTATCTTAATGACTCCTTCTTTTAACCTAATCCTCAGATGTTTAGAGTAACGTGGATTTTGTGCTCTGATGTTTCATTTGTCCATTAGCTAAAATAATCATCTTCCATCTGAAGTGGCGGCAGATATAACACAACCCCTCGACAGTCAGACCGGACACAGAGGAATAATTCTTTATGGCAGCTGATGTGTTTACAATGTTTTATGATTCCCAAACAATGTGAAGCTTTATGTAGAACATTTTATCACTATCAGTAGCATTCCATTAACCCTTTTGCCACGGGATGTTACCCTAAGCTGAATAAAATCATCTGGGGGTAGCCAGAATAATATGGCAAGTGCGTGAAATGCGGCAAAAAGGTTAAAGAAAAGGTTAAGTTATAAAATCAACACCAACAATGGCATCACTGTTTACTTCTTCATCCTACATGCTAAGAGGAGTGAGGTGATCATTCTCTCCTTTATATCTCAACTAACAGTACAACTCTGATCATCACGCCAGCTAATCATCAACACAGTACTGGAACATGAAGCTTGTATGGTGTTGGAACTGACAGTGACTATATTATGGTGTTGTGTCACTATCAAACAAAGATAACACAAACATACAAGTGACCACTGATACTCTTCACTACTGTATTTAACAAACTCATTTGCTCAAGAGGACAAAGTCAAGTACATTTTCCCTGCCGTCGTGCATTAATTATCACAGAAAGAGACGGACAAAACTTCTCTGGCTATGCAATGTTACCAAAGGGTATTAAGAAAAACTAATCTAGAAATTCTTTGTTTTTCCAAAGCCAAACTGAGGCAAGTTTCTGATTATCAAAGTTGTACTGAAATGTCACACAGTTTATGAGATTATATGTACATGTTGGTTTATAGATAATAATGTGAGCAATCCATACAGTTCATCTATCTATGTCATCACTGAGTGTATTGCATCCATAGCTGCATAGGCAATTAATGATGTACAAGGCTTAGCTGCAGCAGCAGTCAACACGAGGCAACTCACCCCACGGTACACATTGCCTTTGAACATCCAGGCTGCAGGTTCGTTATTAAAGGCCAAATAAGATGGGATAGTGAGTGACTTTCTTAGCTGAAATCACAAGAATATAATGAAGGAAAGTTGATTACACACAACAATTTTAAACATCAGAAAGAAATACGCCTTAAATAATAAAAATAAGGTATTATTCACACCATTCCAGGTACAGTGTATACTTCTTGCTTGATAATGAACCTCAATTTGTTCTCAATACAGAAAGAACTGTACCCACTCAAGAAGGCAGATGAAATAGGATGCTGGTGCTGAAAATCTTTATGTGAAGGTTATACCAAGACCTCAAGATAAAGGGTTGTGTTACACTGTACAGACAGGAGCCAAGCCATTACTGTGTCCTCTTGCTAATAACTGAGAGCAACACATGCACAGTTTTATAGACAAGTTGATTTCATTAACAGCCCAGAAACCAAACAAACTTGGTTAAGCCATAAGAAAAGAAATGAAGAGGCAGATGTAAACTATTCTGTGCCCAAAAAATTATTCACTATTATTAAGGGCAATGGATGCAAGGAACAATTACAGTACAGTATATTGTTCCTGCCATAATCAACCTGTACTCGCCATTATTATTCATAAAAATCATTCTTTAATTATTATTATTTTGGAATGAAAAAATTAGCAATTCTCTTGTATTTAAACAATTGCTCATCATTCTTTGGCTAAACAAGTATGCATAAATATTTTATCAAGTACTGTACTTAAAAAATTAATACTAATCATTATTACTTTTAACTCAACATCTAGCCATGATTAATATACACCTGAATTACTAATCAAATATAGTACCTGAACAATCTTTCATAATTATTTTGCACCAATCAATCATAATAACAAATGACTAAAATTGAAAGTGTGTCACTTGATCTCACACATAACAATTATATTTGAAACGTTCCAAACTTATGAGACAATTACATTCCTTAAAAAAATACAATTTCAAACACAGGAAACAGATTGTATGGTAAAATATATACGTACAGTATATAAATTAATTCCTTTATAAACTAAACCTGTACTTTGATAATATTGATCATGAAACATCAGCAGTACAGTAAACAATACAGACTTAAGAGATGGGTCAAGGCACTGTTATCAGACTGTGTATTAGTGTATGTTGGTCTGTCTGAGTTGAGGCAATAAATATGGTCAACTTGTACTACAGGAGGAGTCACAATATAAAGAGTAACAGAGAAGCATATGTTTCAGTGTCAAAATACTTCTGCATTAAATATAACATGAGATTAAACCACAGACGTCAACCCCACAGCTGCTCATTAATGACCCTTACACCCATGGTGACGTTCCAGAATGCACGCCTTTTCTCACCACTGTTTAAGTGCCCAGCGTGGGTTATCAGGTTCCAGTGTGACTATTTGCCTGTCACGCCACACCTCAGCCACAGGGAAGCTTCCTGAACGTAATTACCTACTTTTGTTTGTTTCATTTTCATTGTTTGTCCATTTTATCATGTTGTATCAAAGTAATATTACTAAAAGTAGTGTAGCTGTATTGTAGTGTAGTATTACTGGAAAATTATGCTATGATTATGTTATAAATGTATTTATTTATGGAATTATTATTATTTTATGCATTACTTGCTCTACCAAACACAAAGACAGCCAGACAGCCTGGCGACAGACTGTGTGTGTCGCCGAGCACTTCTTATGAAAATAATGCAAATGAAATATTCTAAATGAATTATTTATAACAAATAAGTATTATGATCGGTAAATATATGCATTACTGGCCATCCTGGACACAAAGGGGAGCAGAAAATGGCCGTTAAGTGCGTAGGTGACCACGAGCGCTCACCATCACAACAAGCTGTCCCCTTATCTCCCTCCCTCCCTCACACACACACACACACACACAGAGTAACTGTTTCTCCAGGCTTAATTTCTTCACTTATTTACATGTTTATTTAAATATATTGTTCTTCAACATTTCTATCTCCTCTCTCAGTTATTCTCAGTTCAGTATTCTTAATTACCCCCTCCTCCTCCTCCTCCCTTTTCATTAACTGATATACAACAAACTACAGCTAGACCCCGACTTACGACGGGGTTAGGGACCCAAATCCAGGTCGTAAGTCCGAATGGTCGTAAGTCCGACATAGATAAAAAAAAAAAAATTACATAAAAAAATCTACAATGAAATACAGTACAGTAAAAGTAATAAATAATGAGGAATGGATACAGTGTGACTGAGCACTTACCTTTAATGTAGTCAGCCGAATGCACATGGGGGCCCCCATAATTTTCTAATTATACATGGAGACTACATTAACTGGAAACGTTTCGGTATAGAAAATGTGTGTCATTTGGAAAAAAAAAATAAATAAATAAATAAAAAAAAAAATGGTCACAACTGCGGCGGTCGTAAGTCCCGACGGTCGTAAGTCGAAGCAGTCGTAAGTCGGGGTCTAGCTGTATATCATCCACTCGTAACTTATCCAATTTACATACTGAATATCAACAGCCTAGAATTTGGTAAGCTGAAATAACAGTTTTATACAGTATGCAAATTTAAACAAGAGTTCTTCATCTACTGCGTAACTAATCAACCTCTACGTCCACAACTTTACGACACAACTTAACCAATTACGGCCAGAGTCTCAACTTTAGGTATGCGTGCGGTTCATTTCAGGACAATAAGCAGGGAGGAGTTGAATTTCCTACACGGACCAGATGAACAACCTTGAATACTGTACCGCTCTTAGGATTAGCACATGAGCCAGGCAACAAACCCAAGCAGTACTGGTAGTATCTCTCTCTCTCTCACACACACACATCCCCGGCACCACAAGAGTGAAAGTTAGAGGAGGTGGCACGACTCAGTTTACAGTAAGCCAATGAATGAAAATTAGAAACAAAAATCCTATAAAATCCTAATAAGATCAGAATATCACCAGAGGAAGGCCAATACAGTACAGTCTCTCAGTATTTATCCACAACATTTTTACAAAGTCTTTTAAATTTCACAAATAGGAAAATTTTTCGTCTCTCCTTCTCCCACCCACTTTTTCCCATAGGTATTAAAAATAAAGCTGAAAATGAGCGTCAATGTAACTTGATAACTAAAAAATAAAAACAATGCGATTAAGAGCCTATTACAATGATATTAATGACGGCTTGAGTACCTGTATCTGTACGTAGGATGAATCTAATGTTAATGGGCCTGGGATAATGTTAGGTATGTCAATTGAGAACAAGAGATAAGTGTAAATAAAGACTTTAGCCAAGGCAGCACTGAGTGGAGACTGTCACACAATTCCTGGGTCTAGAAACTTGTTACATGTACTGTGAAGTGACTGACTGATTGTGGTAATTACTTCCCTGGCGATGCAACAGCCTAGGTCATATGCCTCCAAATTAAACTAAAGCCTAGAAGACTAAAAACAAATAATACAAAACAAAAATAATAATAAATAACCTAGAACTTTCATAAAAAAAAAACATTTAAAGTAAAGTGACTGAGAGAATGAACCTAACCAGACACTTTGATATTTTGGTGTATTCTGCAGAGGGTAAAATTCCAATACTAGACATTAAAAGGAGTGTAACAGTGAGACGTGTCTGAACCAACCATGTATACCGGTGTAGAAATTGTCAAATGGTTTTGGTGGTGAGACGATAAAGGTGTGAGCACTGTATAAATATTCACAACATCAGGAAATACGAGAAATAATGATGAAAGCGATGGTGTCCAGTATGTTGTAAGATCTGCCTGGTACATTATAGAAGGTGTTTACCATCATTGTAGAGGTGAAAGATTCATTTTGGTGTGTGTGTGTGTGTGTGTGTGTGTGTGTGTGTGTGTGTGTGTGTGTGTGTGTGTGTTTCTTCTGGTTATTTCAACATTCTCCTCCTGTCCTGCATCACTCACCCCTCCCCTTGTTTGTGCCCTTGATCCATTCTAAACAATTAGTATAGGAGCTGAGAAAAAAAAATATATACCTGAGTTAGAAATCGTTCCACAAGACAAAGACATACATCACACTCTTGTAATATGTGTTTATAACCTGTCAACCACACTGCTGACACCAATGGTAGGTTAAAATAAAATTGCTTAAAGTAAAATTTTCACAAAGTAGACATATTCAGAAGCATTATTGGGTCATTTCCACACCTTTAAGAGTTAAGTGTTAAGGCAATGTCAGAATCATTAACTGAAGGCTTCTACATGCTGGCTTTGCTTGGCTCACACATAAATGACAGTTTGGGTAGAATCTTTGTCACTCTTAATTCCAGCCATCCTGTGCAGTTGCAAAAACATTTGGCTTGGCTTGCATTTGTGAAAAATACAAATCAAATTGTTCCCAACTGCTTCAACTAAACAGTAAGACTGTGTGTGAAATGCCAAGGGCTGTCTCACACAACGGGAAATAAGAGACAGGAGAGAAAGGTAATCAGAGAGAGAGAAAATAGCGTTATTTAAAATGATTATGAGAATATGCAGCAGATCATCCAAAAGGAAGTCATCGTGAGAAGGAAGGACAAACCCTTTATATCAGGCATGGTAGTTGTTCCATGGAGGGCCACACACAAGTTGTTTGGTTCACCTCATTATCCTCCTAGCACTACGTATGATTAAAAATTCTTGTTTATTACAACCACTGTTTACCATGAAGGAAACTATCAATTTATATCTACACTATATAGAACCTACACATTAACAGCATCTCACTAAGGCATGTATAACAAAATATGTGTACTGTACAGGGTATTTCCAAGTGTCAATTGTAAATATTGTTATATATGGTCTCGAGTCTATCCATTTAATTTTGTTTCTTGGTATAGTATTCCTTAAGAAACAATATCTTCAAGAAAAAAAATGGATAAAAGAAAACAACACATTCTGATATGCCTCACCACTGCACCCAGCAGCTAAAAGGCATCCCTGTTATACAACAATTAAAGCTATACACAGGAGCTTCCCCAACATTAGTACCGTTAAAAAAACAAGAAGCTTGTTGTGACTGCAAAACCTGATGGTTACCAGTTATGTGAGGAAATTTAGTATGCTTGACAGGGACAAGTGATAACATGAAATACCAATTACTGTATTAGTCACACACATGTACACCTGTACAACCCAACACTTACTGTAGTGTACTCATGTCTATAAACACCTTAAAAGCTATTTTGTTGCTTTCATTACCAAAACAACTCAGTTATATGTAATGAAATAATCTTTGTAAGACTAAGAGGCAACTACTTGTTCACTCCAGAGTAAATAATGAATTCAGGAATTTGAAAACTAATTCTTGTATCAACATCTGAGTACAGTATAATGATGCCTCTTCAGTTTTTGCTTGACATGTCCTTCCTTCCTTCCACATGTGATATTATAAAAATTAATGAGTTAATCCTTAAGAGTTTAAGACCAAGTCAGAGATATTAAGCCAAACCACAAAATCATCTCACACGTTCAAACATCATTGACTTACCCTTTTTGAAGCCATGAGTGATGGAGGATGGTCTTTGAGAGACTGCAGCATGGTGACAGTAGAGGTTGACCCCGAGGCAGACTCTGAGCCAGGGCTGTTGTGTACGCTGCTCGTGGCACTGTTGCTACCTCCCGTGCTGCTGTGACCTGGTTCCCCATCCACCTCACTCTCCTGACCAAGCTTGGCACGGATAATCTCCTCCATCTCACCTCCAGGAAGAAGAGAATGACCGAGTGAATTTTGAACTTTTGTTCTTTTATGTTGTATAACTTTTTATGTACTGATAATATTGTCTCAAGAAAATTACTTCCTTTACATGTAGAAAAGAACAAGAAAACATCCTTAAAACATTAACTAACATTTCAAACTCATAATACTGCAGTACATCGTAGTCCACAAGGAGACTAACATACCTATGAGGTCGATGCTCTGAGGGGAGGGCGTGCTGAGGCTGTCTGTGGAGCCCGGAGACATCAACCCACTGTCAGTGTCAATTAGCTCATACTTAGGGGCCCTGTTAAAAATTGTCAGTGTAGAATTACCAATATAAAATGTAGGTATTATAATGAATCTGAGATGAAATTATTATTACGTATTAGTAGTTGTCGATATTATTATTATTATTATTATTATTATTTTACTAGAAATAGGTGAGTACTGATCTTGTTCCTCCCAACAAACTGGCTAAAAGTTCATTGGTCAAATACATGTATTATAACAAGAGACAGGTAGAGTAGGTCTTGTGATGAAGCTGAAGATGAAACTCAAAAAGATATAAAGTAATTTTGGAATGAACAAGATACTCTGAAGATGACAGTCAGACATACAGAGATATAGCTAGAAAGATGTTTATACTATCAAACTGTCATACTAGTTTACAGTGATTCGGTATGTATACAGGTAAACAGTTTAGCATGTATATGGACAATGCAGGTACTGTATGTATATAGTTCAGTATGTATGAAATTAACAATGCAAAATGTTAATTACCCGGGTAAAATGCAGTCTTCTCTAATATTAATCTGAGAAGCTCTCTTGTACGTAGCTTTAGCTGAGTATCCGGCCATGTTGCCACCGACCGTCCGTGGCCGCCGCTTCACACCGAGGACGGGAGATGAGGGCGCTGACCGAGGCTTTTGTGGGGACTCACCTGTCATCACAGATATTTGTTATAATAAGGTGATTAATTAAAGATATTGAGGAAACACTTCATCAACACCTTAACCAAAGACTACAATATTCTGCCAAAATTTCCTCCACTCCAAACAGTCTATCTCATACTGTTAAACAATACTGGGCCTTAAGGTGGTTACAGGTTCATCTTCCAGGGTCATTAACACTGCCAGCTCCCTTCCTAAGAAATATTCATTCTGCTGGCCATTCAATGACTTGTGACTCATGTAAAGATACACTCAACCTAGAATATCTCTCTACCACACACCATCTGGATTGTTAAACGCTGGCCATCAAGATACCACACCAACGACTAGAGACGTACCGACACCATTATTTTGGCCGATGCCGATACATCGGTACATCTCTACCGGTGACCACTCCTTACTTCCCCAGAACAAGTTAAAAGTCGGTGTTCACTAAGGTGGTGGTGTACCTTGTGATCTACTGAGGCACCAATAGTCACTATGGATCAATCATTCACTTCACCACACACAGCTAACTACTGATCTGCCACTTTAGTTCTCAATTTCCTCACATATACGTTCTTTCATCCGCTCATCTTCTCAACACAACCAAGGCAACACAAGAATCACAGACATAGATGGCACTGTACTATAATCCACTACGAGCTCAAGTTATCCCTTCTCTCAACACAACCAATGAAACACAAGTCAGCACCAACACTCACCATTGATCCAGGTTGGTGGCAGTGTACCATCCTCCACCCTAGGCTGCTGGAAGTCCTTTATCTTCCCTCTCAGGTCCTTGTACGTCTGTCTGCTCTTCTCTTTCACTTGTTTGCTACCTTTAGTTACCTACCAAAAACCACAGGAGTAAAGTCAGCATTTTTCTACCTTTATGCAACATTGGTAAATTAGAAGAGTCATTATGAAATACTAACCTCGACTGAAGTTTTATATATATAGCAAGTTATTTTAGACATCTCAGTTTAAAGCTTAAATACTACAGCAGAGATTTAGAGAAAGGTTTTACATCATGAGGCAGTTTATGAAGAATGCTATAAATATTTTCCTGGGGGGTCAAAGGATAAGAAAATAAAGCGTAACTTAGAGCAATCATAACGTGCGATAACTTACAGAAAAAAATGTGCCTCTTACCCCAGCCAAACCTCAACACAACGTTTCTTCCTAATGTTCATATAATACAGCACTGTCTCAATATGAACTATGTACTAATGTATTTTATAACTATTTTTTTAAGTCAAACTCTCTATTATACTCTCATCAAGGTAAATAAAGCCCCATGAATTATATTTTTACCCCAAACTTTCAAATCTAATGTAGTATCTTAATCAATAATGGTAAATCTCTTTTGATAAACCTTACTCTACTTTCATTCTTATTTATTTTTATGTTTTTGAGAGGAATACAACCTTTTGTTTCATCAGCTACACGATCCCATGGCTCATAGGGATCCAGTGTGAGCATCTCGGGTTTAATATGTATATAAATTGTGTTCAGGCCAGTCATGCAATTATAGTCACCAAGCATAAAATAACAGAAACTCATACTAAACTCTAATAAAAAAAAATAGTCAGGGGTAAAACAGGAAGCCAAGCAGAGAAAAGAGGCAAGAGAAATGGATCACGACAAACCCATTTACGTCGGCGAGGTGAAGGTATGTTAGTCCATCCTTATCATCAGAGGGAAATATGATTGAAGCAGATTTAATAACTAATTAACTAACTAGTCCCTTTGAGCATGCAGTATTAAGTCCCTGTTCTCTACTGACTACTATGCAGACTATACAGTACACTTAAAATACAAAGACGTCAAGAGACCAATATATTCTAACTCAATAATCGGTTACATAATACGTTTAATATCTACAGTGTAACCTCTATTTTACGGACTACATGGAGAGGAGAGTCCGTTATATCGAGGGTTCATTATATGGAGGTTTCACTATATCATACTTTCCACTTAACAATAAATAAAAATTAGGGACGATGAACTAAAAAAAAAAAATAGATTTGTTACTTTTTCATTTAAAATATAAAAGAAAATCCTCATAAACATTTAAGGCTCCACTTACTGTACTACGATAAAAGAAAATATCACAAGAAAACAATGAACTATTAATTACTGCCAACTATTATGACACTTTTATACTCCATAACTAACTTTAAGGACAGGGAATGGTGGGAACATTTAATATATATGGAAGAGGCGGACGACGTACTGTACAAGACTAAGGAGCCATAATTTACGTGTCCTGCTTACTGTAAGGTATAATAAGTCAGTGTTCTGTAAGATGTGTAGTTCTAAAAGAGTCGGCAATACAGGTGGAATTAAATTGACTCGCTGATTTTTTAGTGTGACCAAATACTTATCAATTCGAGCATGTGGTTGTGTTCCTAAATCCCTGTAATAGTGTGTGTGTGTGTGTTGTATGCTATTAACTATTGTGTAAATAAAGAAAATAGGGCACTGACCACATAGTTTGGGATGAGGGGATAATGGGAGGGATATTACTGGGTGTAAGAGAGGGGAGGAAGGGGGATGGTGAACAATACTATCGGTAAATGTAATTAGAAGCTGTGTGGTTGGTCCCCTCGGAGGTGCAATATCTATGAGGATTGGTAAGAAAGACCACTCGTGTAATGTTATCTAGTTCTCTCCGCCCATCGATCAGTCGCCACACATACCAACTGTACGATGCACTAACATACAGGTATAGTAATACATTGATATTACACACAGTTAACTACATCACAGACACTTCAGAATGTGACCTTCCTTGTACAACTTAAAAAAAAATATATATCCTACTCACTTTCTGTATAAGTTTATCATTAACTTTAAAATAATTGATATTAGTATGTAATGTCTCGTATAAAAATTTAAAAGTGTCTTCTATAACTACGAAGAAGACAATGTCAAACTTTTCTTCACAATTTTGCCAAGTTCTGGATTTTTTTTTAATTTGGAAGACACAGAGTAAATTACTTGACATAACTGATGGAGAGTGTCCCTGAAGAGCCTTGATTCTCAGTGGGTAAGACTACAGTACAGTATAGCATATATCTAAAAGATAGCATGGGTTTTGGAGGATGCAAAATACCAATGAAACATTTCTTGTATATAGTACAGTAATGTACTGTAGTAAATTTTAACATTTCCTGAAACATTTACTCCAAATACTTGAATTAAATAAAAACAAATCAACAGATATGACTTCTGGTATAGTCTAATATGAATGAACTGCAATTATTATTAAGGGTAAAATTAAAATGAGTGTTTGGGATGTTACAACCCACAATGAGGTCAACAGCATAGAATAAAATGTTAGTTCTGCAACACTACTTACACTTTTAACAGCAGATTTAACAGCAGGGTTGGTCTGCAAAGAACATGGTCCCATAATTATAAGAAGCAAGCCCAAAACAAGCCAAGTGAGCCCCTCAGCTGCCGGGAGTCGACTGGGCCTCGCGTTGAGTGACTCCTGACAACTGAAGGGCTGCCTCCCTTCTGCCCAACAAGTTTAGAAAATCAAACCAAATAATAGCAGCAGAATAAATGACTGACAAAATCTTCAAGTCCCACATTAAAAATAAACAAATAAAAACAGTGTAATTAATGGAAGAAAAATGTGATACCAAAACACATTCTGCAGAACCACCACAGCAGTACTCACGGTGTTACTGTTACTTTTCAGGTGTCTAAACGGGCTCTACAATGGATAAAGCAGAGGTATTTAATTACCTATGTGGACTACCCATTAATGTTGTCAGGCAGTTTAATGATTGCTACGCTCACACTATTTACACTAATACAAAATTTATGTACAATAAATATATCAGATACCATCATACTCTTCTGCATTACATCACCAACTTCAAAAGCTATGTCAATATTATAACACTTTTGTTTATAATTAATACAAATATATTACTGATAATACAACAAATGAGATATGAATCACTGAAAACAACTCTTTAAATTAATCTATATATTGTATCATTGATTATGTGGAAGTGTATGAACGTGTGCACAGGTGAGAGTAGAGTATACATGTAAGGTGTATATGTGAGCGCAGGTATACATAACACTCCCTACACTCCTTCACCGTGTGTATGTTAGTGAGTGTTTCCAGGACCAACCATGTCTGATATAAGACACCTCTTACTATTGGTTCACCTTAATAAAAATAATAACAAATAAAATAAAACCTAAACTTATGAGTAGTGTATTTTAATAGCCAGCACCAATTGGTAGTTAGCTTCTAGAGGTTACCCGCTTCATTAAATATCTGTAAATAAATATTAATTAGGCAAAGAAATTATGTATCATAGGATGGAGGGGTGGTGATGATGATAATGATGTTTATAATGGTGATGGTGGTGATAATGATGATGATATTATAATTATACAAGGTGTCCATAAATTATATCCAATTCATTTTACAGATTAATAACATCTGCAACATTATAGACAGAACAACCTATTTCATCATACTTGAAGAACACCTCAGAATTTTTCTCCTTGTTTTAGAAGCCTTCCACATGTGCAGTCTTCATCTGTGGTATAATAACTGTGAGATTACTGTATAGGTTATTAACTTTTACATTGGGTAATTTATGAACACCCTGGACAGTATATCAGCGGACAGGTTAATGCAGCGCTCAAAACCAACGTCCTGTAACTTCCTAAAAGCTACTCAACAAATTCCTCACCTACTATAGATGTCTCTCCCTGTGTTAGAAATGTTAATGTTTAATATCCATAAACTTTGACTAAAATTGGCATGAAACACATCTCAATTAGCTACCTGTAATTCTAATCTTATAAACGGTTGTTCCTCATAATTGTAATGGTACTCTAAAGCATAAATGTATTGCTACGCTAGAAAACCCAATCTGGTTACAATACCTAATTCAAGCTGTAATAACAGTGAGTGAAACATTACGCTAATATTCTTATCTCAGGTTGTTCCTCCTACAATCCCTCCCTCTCCCTAAATGAAAAATTCCTACATGGTTTTCTCTTATAGGTAGTTAGTGCCTACCTTGTTCTTCATGGTCTTCACTATAGCACCGCCCTCTTTGCGCACATTAGTGACAAACTGTTTGTACTGCTGCTTCACCTTGGACGACGACTTTTCACAATACACACTTACTTCTAGTTCAAACTCATCCGAAGTTTGCTTACCGGAGTTAAGGCGTTCTAATCTTTCTTCAATAAACTGCAATGAAAGTAATTTTTTTAATGAAATTTGTGTTACATTTAAATAATAATTTACATTGACTTTTAATTAACAGCTAAGGATTCCCTACCACCCCCAATATAGGCAAGTATAGACTGCAAGAAATAAGAAACTTCCAGACATGATGGCTGCTGTCCCTACAGTTAACTTCCACTAAGGACGGCTGCCATCTACAGGTGAATCACAATCTATTGATATATTTAGAGAAATACTTTACTGGGTATACCTGCATGTGAGCAATAAAAAGAGAGAGACAAATGTCTAGCACCACAAACAAAGGAATTAAAATAAACTTAAGTTGTTGTTTTTAAAAGCTGTTTTAAACACTAAATAATCTCCCAAACCTGTTGAAAAATCTGAAGTTCCAACATTTTCTCGACAAATGGCTGGAAATTTGGAGGACGGATTGCAACAAACTTCTCCCTATTAAAAGTTATTCTCGAATCTTCTTCTCTAAACTGTAATGCTTCTTTGTAGTTGCCTATGAGCTGGACGAGCGCGCGCAGGAACGCACGAGCAACACTGTCGCCGAGCATGTTGTTTGACGACTTCAGATTTCTTTTGAGATTAATAACCACCTCATCAGGCAAGGTGTCTACATCATTAAAGGGCGTCTTGACAGTATTGTTGTCAGCGTCTAATATCACAGCTTCCCCTACGTCATCCATTTGTACTTTCTGCAACGACACAAGAGATAGGATGAGATAGTCATCGTCCTGTGAGATATGATGCCTTCTGTTCCACCACCTTCATGCCGACACTTAACCCTCAAGCATATACAACAATTACACATAGTGACTAATAACATACACATCAACATCTACAATAACACATACAAGAGAGGAGAGTATCAATGGAACAATACTGCACATCATTACTGACATATTCCTAAGAGCCAATATCATGCCTTGTTTATGTGCAATAATTAATTTTTTTTTACAGTGAATTAAGAGTAAATTAACAAAAATATTATCCTTCCAATTCAATACAAAAAGAAACCCATGTTCAGTTTACTATTTCTTATTCAATGAACCAGAACTGAAAAAGTAAGATATATATAATAGTGTACGTAAAGTCTTCATACAACAAGCCGGACACTATTTATCATCCATATACTGTACTGCAGTTCTTGCTATTAATGTATACGGGAAAATTATCTAAATACAGTCATATAGTTCTAAATTATAAACACAATAATATCAATTCTGAGCCATAAACACTGCCACTTGGGCCAAACACAAACACACTGCTACTGGGACCAAACACAAACACACTGCTACTTAACACAAACACACTGCTACTTGGCCCAAACACAAACACACTGCTACTGGGACCAATTAAACACACTGCCAAGATTTCGAGAGGCAGTAAACTCACCGCCAAGAGTAAGGTGTTGACCCCTATTAAGAAAGGCATGGGGGCCAGGAGGTAATCGAGGAGGTGCTGCGGCAACACGGGTATAAAGATGTGCTGCCACTGCATGGGGTAGATGACAGAGTTGGCTGCCTGGACACACGCAGACAGCCTAGAGAGACGTTTAGACATCATGATGATCCGTCTTTCGTACAGCATCGATGCGAATATAATTATCATGTTGTTTGTATCCACGGCGTTGTAGTACTCCGAGAGGTTCCGCTGAAATGATGCGAGGGTTCCTGTAGTCTGAGTAATTGTATTATTTGGGTGAAATTTGTGTCTAGAATAGTGTATTATAATTCAAGCAAACTATTAGCTAATATATCCTTATATCATTTATTGATATTATTACTGTGTTATTATTACTGGGTACCGGGTATTACTATTATCATCATAACTATTTTCTTCAGTGATATTACTATTAATATCTCACTAGAGCACTATACTATAGCCTCTCTTTCCCCTTTAAACAGAATGGCCCCAGACAACAGCAGCAGCTAGACTTACCAACAAAGAGGACATATAACTTACATTTTCTGGGATGGTTGGAAGTTTTAGATGGTTTGGACACTGAGCTACAAAGAACTGCAAGGCAGAGCATCAAGGGTTAATATCTAGCCAAGAGTACTGTACTGATGCAAGTTACTTAGTATACAACATCAATGTCATCCATCATTATGTAGGGTAAAACTGGAGAGGAAAAGTTGATAAAATATGCATATAAAGAATCAAAAATACACTGAATGAATGTAGTAATGGCAGCTGGTGGAGAGAGCGTGTTAGGGCAGACATCAATAAGCGTAAACATTATCCTTGACCAATTATTTATCTGATAATATACAGGGTGTCTCGAATAGAATAAGGACAGACACTCAGCCTTACAGATCTTCCCAGAGATCGTACGGATGTTTGTACCACACCAGCAGCATCGTCCTCACTAGTTGGAGTCCTCGCACACCAACAGGCGAGGGCCCTGTAACACAAGCATCCGCACTTATCTCCACAAATATCCATAAAACAGCGTGTGTACAATTTTCCGAGACACCCTGTAGTACGCTGTTATATTACGAGATAAATCACCAATTAGGAATCAGGTTGTGAGAAGAACTGTGCAGGAGAGAGCTTATTCAGACCACTGTTACTTACTCATCAAACAAAAGCAGGGAGTAATACCATCTCAAGTCTATCTTCTCAAGACATTCACACACACGATAAACTCACATGTCAAAACTCGACTTTGTCTTAAGAGTCCAAATTTGTGGTCATTCCGTGGTCATCTACCTCCCAGTGACTGCTTCCTGGTGTAATTCAAGCTCTTCCTTTTAAGCAAATCCAGCAATCAAACACATCATGACAGGTTATAATGCTTGTAATGGCTGTAAACACACATTATACTCCTTGTGATGACTATAAACACACATTATACTCCTTGTGATGACTATAAACACACATTATACTCCTTGTGATGACTATAAACACACATTATACTCCTTGTGATGACTATAAACACACATTATACTCCTTGTGATGACTATAAACACACATTATACTCCTTGTGATGACTATAAACACACATTATACTCCTTGTGATGACTATAAACACACATTATACTCCTTGTGATGACTATAAACACACATTATACTCCTTGTGATGACTATAAACACACATTATACTCCTTGTGATGACTATAAACACACATTATACTCCTTGTGATGACTATAAACACACATTATACTCCTTGTGATGGCTATACAAATAACTGTAAACATACATTATGCTATTTGTGAAGAAAATACACATGCATTATACTGTTTGGCTATACTGTACACACATATATTGTTTGTGATGGCTATATTTTACAAACATTATTGAAACAAGTGCTGGATGAGAATTATTGAAGCACCCTTTCTTAAACCACAACTGTGAACTGAAATTAACTATACAATACAGTACTTAATTTATATAAACTTAAGTAACATTCACACTCTTCAGACAGTCAGCTGGAGCGATATATTCCACCATAATATTTTCCTGAATCACAACACACAATACAACTTCTCTCCCTAACCACATGCCAACTCTTTACAGTTCACTCAAAGTTCTTCCACTTGTGATTTAAGTCATGAACTATCATATTGCCCCATCCTGTGGTCCATTCAAACCTTAATGGAAAAAAAATCTCTCAATCATCTCCTGATAATTCCTCAACGCTTTAAATACTTCAGCCTCGTCTTTATCTCTGTTATGATACTGCACCTCCCTCATTCATTACTTTCTCTTTAGTCTTAATTCATTTTTAACTCATATATCAACTTTCGCCTGTCTCTTAATTATATTCGTACGACCTTCCTCGACTTACCTTGCTGTCCCCGTAAGGTACGGTAATCTCCGAGCCAGGATGAGGAACCGGCGACTTGTAGATGTTCTGGAGACACGAGGCCATGTCGCTCGTCCTGTCGGAGCTCATCATCTCCGACAGGTGGTTGAGAAGTCTGTGGAAAAAGTACAAGAATACATCAATAACAATCATGATGAAAAATGGCATGTCTTCCAAACAGCCACAAGAGCACTCCATCACCCTGAACAACACAAGTTCACTTTACTACACAAGTGGTTCAAACATGGGACTCACTGACCGACGTACCATCTGGATATAAATTCTTCCTTAAAACATCCATCTCTCTTATATACGTCTGACACCAACATGAAAATATCGATCATCTTATGTGTACTGTAACCCAATAAGGTCAAAAGGAATAATGTCAAGCCTACACCACGAAAACAGAGGTGGTTGGGGAGGAAGGAGTGATTCAATGTTTAAGACACACTCAGAGAATGGGTATGGTAAGGATGAATAAAAGTGTGAGTGAAAAAAACAGACAATATAAAAGGAGATGACCAAGACAGAAGTGAAGAGATGAAGGGGAGTATTATTTGGCCGATAGGGAGGGCACGCACACACACACACAATATAACCAAGGTTCTAAATAGACTAGCATGTAATTAATACTTCTTTATATATTATACAAAGATAATTAAACAGATACTTTCACAATACAGGGTTTAATCGTGTTTGTGACTCACTTGTAAAATGTCTCGTGCCATGGTAGATGTGAGAGCAACACAAGAGCAGTTTCTGCCCCTGGAGCGTGACGGCAGAACCCATACGTCCATTTTGAGTCCAGGCTTGTCAGTACAAAAGAAAAGTGTTGGACATTTGAGCTGTGAAAGAGAAGAGAAACATTAGTCAAAAGTTTAGTGGTTGTATTTTATAAGAACCTGCATGGAAGGTTTCTTAAATACAAGCTGCCAGTAACCACAAGGGCAGCTCACTCAACAAGCACCCCTCTTAATCATAATATACCCAGTTAGTTCAGTAGTTATGGGTAAGTCACAAACATTCTAAAAACTTAATCTTTGCCCTTCAGCTGTGACCTTCACATTTGTCTCTGTCTAGTAATGATAAATGGTCTTGTGAAGTTCCATGAATATATCTTTAATTACCATAAAGTTATACTCCACAAAAAGTTTAGAACCTTCACCTTCATATGTGGCTTTGACCTCTAATACTGTACAGTGACTTGACAGTAGCCTTTACCGCTTCACACCATGATGCTGCACATTCAAGGGTCATCTTAACAAAATATCTCTACAGATACCAGTGTCTCTATGAACACCCACACAATACACCCACACCATAATGCTCTACACTATTTATTCATTCTATTGGAACTGGCGCATAAAAATTTATTTAAAAATACAACAAAATACTCATGATTCTTTTCTTATATGCTAATTAAAGAACATTAATTCAAATCCAAAGTATTAGCCGTCAATAATTGATTCTCACATCAACACAATAATCATGCAGAATATTTCACACACAAATTTACAATAATTTATTTCTCTCCTCTCAAACAACTTCATACAACACCCCCCAACTTTCCCTCCCAAGACACAGACTGTCTCCCTCTACCTGAAGTACCTTGGTAATCAACACCTTAACTCCCACACCTGAACAACTGACCAGTAACCTTTAGTTTACCAGACAAATATCTGAATTTTTATGTAACCTCAATAATTTTTAACCTTCAACGACCTCAACATAGAAGTAAACTACCATTAACAAGGCTATACAGATCATGCCAAGTCTCACAGGGAACTTGTGTATAAGGTGCTGTCAGGTCTTACTATCCTTTCCCTGAACCTAACCTAACCTTTCCCTGAACCTAACAAGCTCTGTACCAAAGTTCTTATACCAATTAACTGAACAATTTCAACAACAGAAGCAACAATGCGGGACACGGCGGCAGCTGGGGGCCGGGCGATAGTTCATTCACAGAAGAAACACGTACCAAGAGAAACCATCACTAAACAAACACCGTATGACAAACCGTGACGCTCGTGTCCTCCCAACAGGCGTACAGTACCAGGAACTATCAGACCTCACCTTTCAAACGAACACGGGAAGGCAAACTGGGGAACACTTTTAAGGACCTCTTCGATGTCGTAGCTGTTGGGGAACTTCTGGATGATCCATGCCGGTCGCTCTCTTCCCTTGGGACCCACCACCTCGCACCAACACTCCAGGAGCCGTTTTGGGTTCTCTCTGCCGGGGAAAACATCACGTTAGATCGCTCTGTATATCACGTTATATCACTGTATGCCAAGGTTGACCCAATGAACAACTGTAGGGATAAAAGTTAACCTAATGAACAACAGACACACTTTAAAATCCTAGTAGAAACATCACTTAACTAAACATTATCTCAACAAATCTTTTCCAATATTATTTCTTTTTAAACATTTCAAAGTCAACATTTATTATTAGGTGTAGTTTTAATATTATAACGGTGAAGCAGCTCTCTACCGTACCCCGTATATATCAAGCTGTCGTGCCAACCGTTGTGCCGGACAGAGGTAAGACTAATTGAGCCGATTGTTTTCATTACTTTGACCTTGAACACTAGTTGAGTCCATCAGCCTTATTAATGTACACAAACCTGGGGAATGTTAACTGCTTACTCCACACTTGTACTGTACACCACCATTAGTGTATCTAATTTGAACAAAACATTATAATATGGCCAAGGTTTGATGCTTGACAATATGGAAATAGAGAAAACATAATTAACTTTATACTGTGTGTGTGTGTGTATTTGGTAATATACTTGAAATATAATATCTCTGGGTGAGGACTGCATTAAATATGACTCCTGGGTGAAAGGGTGAGCACCACTCTATATTAGGTACATCCCAGCATTATGTCCCCCCCCCCTCCCCATCTCACACTAGTTAAGTAGCACCCAGTGTGATCATCCAAGCAGAGACTCAAGTCATCATTCTCTTCCTCTCCCTACCACTTACAACTCCTCCCTCCCATCTCCCCTACATGTCTCCCCCACCTCTAGTTCCCCCCTCCCCCCCCAGTTCCCTCCCTCTAGTTCTCCTCCCACCTCCTCTAGTTCCCTCCCTCCCACCTCTAGTTCCCCCTCCCTCCCTCCCCATCTCTAGTTCCCCCTCCCCTTCCCTCCCTCCTCCTTATTTTACCCCACTCACATGCACACTTTCATCAATCCTTCACCAGAATATAATTAACTAGAGTGAGTTTCCTTCTCCACTAATTCCCCCCTTGTCTCTCCAACAACAGCATAGCGTGGCCGGTCAGGAGCAACACAGATATCAACCTAACTGGCTGTCTTCTACCTGCCTTACCAGACACACACACACATGTCAACAGTATATTTAGCTAAACTAACCATAAACATTAACCATATTTTGAGGAGTCCAGAAAATTAAATCATCATCAGGAAAATAAAAAAAAATTGAAGATTAAGATACACACACACACACACACACACACACACAAAATCCAAACTTGATGAAATTAGTATGATAAGAACACTATATACAGTACAATCATATGTCTCAGCCAATTATCACTCTTATCTTTCTTTTTACCCCCAAGTTAATTTTACAATGAACTGATAACTTTCACACCTCCACTTCTGCTTAACTCTCCACACACACACACAGTTATATTTCCTTCTCTATGTTGATATAATTTACTAACATATATGAATACCACACACCCACACATAACACCCATATACATCCCCACCCATACCCTCCCACACACATCCTCTCATTCACTCTTATTCTATCCCTCAGGCTACAGCACACCACCCTAAGACTCACTCAGGAGGACTCTTATCTGTAACCTCTTCGCTGCTTCCACTTATGATAACCCATCACGGTATATTAGTGATGGAAAACATGATATATTCCTGTATGGTCTATCAACACTGTTTATATACTTACACTGTCTATGTATACATGCTGAATCAACATTTGTGAGTGTTTATAAGTATGTATGTATGTATGTATGTATGTATGTATGTATGTATGTATGTATGTATGTATATATGTATGTATGTATCAACCTATCTATCTATTGTCAATGAGGATAAAAACCAGACAATTCACAGATGACCACTCAGCTGGCTACACTATGAACCTAACCTTTGACCCAGTGACCAATTTCCCCCTCCTCCTCAGGTCAACCGTACGATGTTCAGCGGTAAAAAAAAAAAAAGTCATCGTCCACACACACATACTTGCATTATTAAACAACAAACATCATGACTGAGTGACAAGGAAACGACAAAGACTAAATATGTACAAACAACAAAAAACTGACAGATGGGTTAAAAAAAGTAATGACTAAAAACATGTACAGCAATCTGGTTTCATAGTTCAGGAGAGGATGAGTGTGTTACAGAAATATATATATATATATGGGACCGTGTACTACATTATGGGGCATGGTACAGATAATTTTTTGGTGGAAGTATTAAAGTGAAATAGTGAAATAAAACAAAAATCTAATAAAAAAATGTTGAGAAGGTAATAGAAGACCTGTAATATATATGGGAAAAGGAGGGTGTGAAGGAGGGTGCATGGCTCACTAAGGGACAACAAAGGGTGTGTGGGGAATGGCCGCACAACAGGATTCAGTATTTAAATCAGGAAGGAAGTAAGAAACAGATAACAGGAAGGAAAAGAAAAAACTGAAATAATCCAAGAAAAGAACAGTTTATAATATTACAGGAAAAACATGAAACAGTACAGTAAATACATTGGTGGATGAGGACTGAGCAACAAAGTTCAGCAAAAAACCTAATCTAACCTAATATATCCTATCAACCTATCCTACCCTAACCTATCATTACCTAACCAAACCTAATCCACCCTACCTTAACCTAACCTAATCTAATCTACCCTACCCTAACCTATAATAACTGAAACTAATCTACCCTACCATAACTTAACCTATTGCAACCTGATCTACCCTACCCTAATCTAACTTAACCTAACCCAAAAAATTATTTCTTCCAATCACCTTAACCCCTTCACAACAGGGACGCCATTTTCAATACTTAATTCGTTTAACAATGGCCAGACGATGTTATTCAGCTCAGAGGGGGTCCTGTACACAAGGAATAAAGACTTACCCTCACACCAAGCTGAATACACCTGAAGATTGACCACCCTTACACTATTCTTAACCCCTTCAGGAAATCTTAGAGTAATCAACCTTCAGGAGAAATAAATGGGGTGACAAATCTTCAGAGGATACAATTCTTTTAAGACACATTTTTTTGTCAATTCAATAATATATGTGCTGATGTCTTCTGGAATTATACCATAAATAATAAATCTTGAGGGACAACTAAATATTACATGAAACATCAAAGTAATAATATTTTCATTAGGATCTGAAGGAAGGAAAATGGATGACTGCACAAGATATTTCAAGATCTATTTACTGTGAAGAAGTAACAAAGGTACTGTTTACTCTACACCCACACCATAAATATACACAGTACTATACTATATTAAACCAATCATAAAGTAACACTATCCATAGTTACCTTAACATATCGTACTAAGAATATAATTACTAGTTACATTCAAGAGATTCAGAAGAAAAACAGTGTATTGGTGTTTGTAAAGGTAAGCAAAGTTTCCTCATAAAACTATTAAGACAAATACTGTTAGTAATGGCCTGTTTTCTTTGGTATTTCCACGAATTTGTTGGTTTTTTTGCTAAGTGCATAAATCCTGTGAAGAAACAAGAAAAAAATAATAATTAATAAGAAGGTAACAAAGATCTCCATGCCTTCAGTACTGCAGGGACTTGAAAAAAGGCATCTCTGAACTTAGTCTGATTCTTGTGGAAATGGACAGTACTAATTGGGTCATTCCTGCTATTATCAACACATAGTTCAGGTCTTTTTGGTTTCTCTGGTTAGGTTAGGTTAGGTTAGGTTAGGTTAGACATTTATACTGTACAGTACTGATATTAAGAGGAGTTATGAACGTTTTGGTTTTGTCAGTTTGTGTGTTTTTAGCCCACAAATTGCCTCTACTTCAAAGCCCTGCCCACTTTGTGTGATCAAAACTGCATGGGTGGTCACTATGAAATATTAACCACTATTTTTTTTAAAAACAATAACCGACTCAGACAGGGACATAGCAAAGTAGCGAACTAAAACATCAAGATTATATCTGAGAGTTTTAGAATTAGTTGATAATTAGCTGTATCATACACTCAGCTGTTATTTTTTGAAGATGATAATAGGAGACAACTATTATTTTTGGTTTAGTAAGGTGGAATCAAAGGCATTTCATTTTATTAACTCTCCTCCTTTAGTTGATAATCTTTCTTCCCTTTCTCTTCGCCACAATGTTGCTTCACTCTCTCTCCTTTACAGGTACTTTAACGGGCAATGTTCGGTGGATTTGGCATCCTGTGTACCGCCGGCAAGGCCGTGGGCTCGTAACACACGTCTTGCCCGCGGTGCCCATCATTTCTGTGTGGATGTCGGTCACACTAGAATAACCCATTATAGTACATCCTTCTTTCCTCACACAGCCAAACTGTGGAATGCTCTGCCTTCTTCTGGGTTTCCATACTCATACAATCTGTCTCACATTAAAAAGCTGGTTTTCCGGCATCTTCGTGGTGTAGATTAATATAACCTTTTTCTTTTCCATTTTTAATTTATTTTTATTCTTATATTTTCGCCCCCAGGCCCCGGTGTGGGTCGATGATCTGTGCCCGGGTGGACCATGACCAGTAATAGAAAGGTTTGGTTAGGTTTTGTGGTTTAGGTCTGGTAAGTTACATTGGTTCATTTTATTACAGTGACAAATATTGTCAGACTTGGCAAAACCAATATGTGTCCGAGTTCACTTTTTGCCATTTTTTGTGAGGTAAGAAAGCATTTACTTTCAATGGTGAATTTTCTTACAGGAAGTAGTTAAGTAGCACAAGTAGTGTGGACAACTACCATGATTTGTTGACGTCCTATGAGTACAGCTTGAGCCACTCGGGTGATGAAGGAGACACCTCGACCCTCAGCGGACATAAGCTTTTACTGTAAGGTCTTTCTTGGGGTCAGCATCAATGAATCAACTGTCTACCAATATGATCTGTCTCACATGTTATGCTAATGTGTTCATGACTTAACTAAATACCTCCACCTCCCACACACACGAGATGCTCCTATCAGATCACCTCCCATCACTGATAATTACTTCATCCATGAACAATATACACCACAAATTAAGGTACACTTTTTAAAACTTAAATTTAGAAACAATGAAACAAAATAAGTTTACTGAAACATACAAAAAAATAATAATTCTTGAGGCAAATGTCAAATATCCAGAGGTTCAGTCAACGCCCAAACTCCTGTTAGTTTCTCTTTATGTTCCGTCAATAATCACCCATACTGTTAGGAAAATAACTGGGTCAGAGCCTGAGATGGTGAGACCGTTAAGATAGAGCCACTTGCCTCAGCCTAGAGCCCATAATGGAAGATAATAGGCGGTGTCCCACTTCATGGCCGACAGATGTCTCCGCCTTGGTGTTGTTCTACAGGTTATTATCACCAACTCTCTACATCTTACCAATTGTATGCTTTATCTTAAAAAATTATATATTATTTTATTATTACTTATTTTTTGTATAATTTAACTCTTTAATGTGTAGTCTTACAGGAAAGAGGTGTTTTGACCTTATTCAAGAGGTCTTTGTTTATTTTCACAGGGATTCCACACTATTCCCTTTTCCCTGAATAAAAATCTTCAAGTGGATTATTCCAGTACTTATACGTTTTTTAATTAATTATATGTTTCTAGTCAGCTTGTGAGAGAGGTTAATATTTCACGAATACTCTATTTAACATTATCAGTTGGTCTAACAGCTGACTATACAGTTTCTTCAATGTCTGTCTGAGTTTTGACTTTACTTTCATCCTCTTCACAAATATATAGGTAGCTAATTATTAAGGTGTATAAACATTTATTAGCAAAATTGTCATAAAATTTCATATAGGTTCAGCATGTACTGGGTATAGACAATGCAGGTATGTAATAAATATAATTGAATGTATAGAAATACCTTCCTTCTTTGGGTAGACATTTTAACAAATCCATTATTCTACATTTTACTAATACAGAATCTGCAGATAGCATTTTAGTTGGGTGTTTCTTGCTGGTTATTACAAGAGTTTACAACTTGTACTCAAAAGTTGTTAGTTTGTAGCAGTTTAAGTATAGATGACTCCTCTACCTCAATCTGCCTTTTAACATTTCTTCAATTAAAAACTGAAAACATCCAGTAATCTCTGTATACAATGATTTAAAACGTTGCAGTACTCTCAGACGTTATGTTTATCTTCAGGTAATGAGGTACAATATGACATCTTCACCCCCACAGGGTCGTGACCTCCTGAAGGACAGAGGGCCGCCGCTACACCTGGGGGCCGTCACCTAATACTGTACGCAGCTCTCCACTTCTTGTGAACTATCTTAAAGCAGTAACATCATCACAAACTTATTAGTTCTTTACATTAGTTGATTAAATTCACTATATTCATTTCCATTTTTCCTTTGTTTGGGTATGACGACTAAATTCCTTGAGTACGATGAACCTCTTAATGTACCTTAGTGAACCCCATCAGTACGCTTAATTAACCCCTTCAAAACGATAATTTAATTAGTTTTATAATTTATCAAGTACACAAAACAATTCAAATACTTAACTTCTAGTAAGCAGGAATATAGTTAGTTATAATTTTTTAAGGTAGAAAGAATATACAGGAATTTACGTCAAATATAGGGCAGGAAGGACTGACCCGGAGCAGCCAGTACAGGGGCTAGACTCTCCCACCACCCATCTAGTCAGTTAACTCACTCTCAATACAAAGATAATAACTACCTGCATAACATACGAATACTTGTTCCTGTGTTTTTTTTGCTTTACCTTTACTGTCAAGTGTGCAAGGTTGTGTATCTCACGAATACCTGTGTGTTCACCTGTACCTTTGATATTAAGAAGTATGAAGGTTAAAACAAGATCTTTTGTTGTACCATTCCCGACCTTCACTACATAAGGGAACTACCTATTTAATTCCTTTTAGCAATTAAGAAGAAATGGTATCAATTACATAGTTGGTTTAGCACTTAAATCCCTACCATTTTTATGATAGAAATTTATGAAGGTTGAGCAAGACGGCAAACACCTCTCTCACGGATTCATTCATAATTTTATACTCACCTGTTGCAGCACCCAACCCGCAACGCGTACTTTAAAGGAACATGGAAGCGGTAATGACGTCACGGTTGTTCTTTGCGGCTATTGGTTGAAGTAGAGTACCTACGTCATATATGTTCAAGAGTGTGATTGGCTGACCCTCATTTCAACTGTTGTTTACACCTGGCCAACAGAGGGGCAGGTGTACGACCCACCATGTGACGCTATACACCTGTCTTACCTTCTAGAGACTCACTCGTAAGTCATACTTTGTGTAGTGAGAAGACATGAGACGTCTGGTTAGAGATAACAGTGAGATAAGTGTAGTTAGGAAGGTGTTTGGGAAAGAAGAATAAGATGAAAGTTAGATATGTTAAGTCTGAGAGAGATAGCTGGCCCCAGGATAAACCACTCTCACTCGCTTTCTTTTGACCCCAATACCTGAGTACTCTAAGTGAACAATCTATACTTAATGTTAAAGATACTGAATGTGATGTTTTGTTTCATAAGTCGAGAGAAAGTGAGGATTCGAACTACGTGGAGTTGTGTGTATTTGTATGTTGAGTGGGCAGGTGTAAAGGAAGGCGTATGTACCCTGCCCTGGGTATGTTGCCTGGGCGTATGTAAGTCTTGTGTGTATTTTGTTGTGTTTCAGTTATTTCAAGGGTAAAAATGACTGTTTGGTAATAAATACGTACGAGGTATTGGTGTATACAATATCCAAGACGTGGTAGTACTGTACACACACATGGAAACTGTTAGTAATTAATAGAGGCACTTCCTTTAGCATTCACCTTTATATATACCGCTGGGTACAGGGAAGTCACGTGCCCTTACTCCAGGCTGTGGCATATATGGGTAGCATCACCTCACTGCACACACTGGGATAATCCTCACATGATAATTACTATAACTTATTGGAGAAAATTCAAGTTGTATCTATATGCGAGAGGGGAGGTCAGACCAGCTGTAGTGTAGTGTGTGTACTGTACTGTACCTCAAGTGGGAGTTGTGTACACCAGTACTGTATTGTCAGTACTATTTGCAAATAATTTTAAATTGGTTAATTATTTACAGATGATTTAAAACTTAGAATTATTTGTGTATGATATGAAACTGTTACTATTACAATAGTGTAGTTACAATGCTTTGAATTTTTAAATTATATACACTAATTTAATTTTTCTTCTACAAATACCTGTACAGTATTGTGAAGCCTCAGTTAAGTTACAAATAAGAATACAGGTAAAAGTACTGTAAAATTATATTTTTAATTATCTTATAATAATATGCAAGTGACCTGAAACTTGAAGTGTTTTATATTGAGGTCCATAACATTACTTGCTTTATGTGCACTAACACACACACTTAACAGTATATTGATGAGAATACAACAGACTAGGCCAGGATGCTTTACCATGCTTAGTAATACAGTATGTTACTAATTTCAGTTAATCACACAAGTAACTAAATTACATGTTTTATAATCAAATTCCTTTCAGCAGACAAGCAGCACCTCCATCATGACAGCAACACAAACCAATGCTGGCCTGACAGCCCTGGATGGCTTGCCTAAACCATTTGTCAATGCCATGAGAACATTATTTGACATCATGGACGACCAGCGTTCAGGCTTCGTAAAGTTCTCAGGTGGGAGATTCAGCCTGTTGTTACCTTAGAAGAATTCATAATTATGTCTGACATTTGATACAGGCAAGGCAATTTGACCAAGGATATCTGACAGAGCTATCTGATGCTTATTTTCAGTAGGGTCCTTTACTTTAAATGCCAACAGCATCTGGTGTTCCAAGGTGGTCACCCATCCAAATACTAACTAGACCCAATGTTACTCAACAAAGGTGATTGGAGGAGAGGCGGTGTTTTCAATGTGGTATGACCATTATTGTTACAGTGACAGTACTATAGCATTGCTGTGCACCCTCCCCTCCCTGGAACATCACAGGGTGTTCAGAACTCCAAGCAACACACTTTATTTTCCGTTTTTTATACAACAATTTTATTAAATTTTTACTCAGAAATTGAACGTCGGTGGCAAGATGATGGTGCCCAAGGGATGCCCCGTGGAGTGCTGGCTAGCTTACGTAAGGTTACTCCACCTGATGGTTACCTCTCCTTCGAGCGCTTTTGTGCTGGCCTTCAGGTGAGACCTGTTAAACACAAGTTCTGTAGCTGTACAGTACTGATATTAACAGCTGTGTGCCAAAATATGTGGCAAAAAATGACACAAGAAAATAGAATTTATGTCTTCATTTTATTTGCCAATAATATTTGGTCGATCAGAATATTATTCAAATTGTTCCTCGTATAAACAGATTAGTTTATTGCGCAACAAGATGGAAGACCGACCAGTCAGCTCCTCCAGCAGTGTCATGCCACCACCAGTATCCTGTATGGGTCCCCCGCCACCGCCACCCCCACACTCTCGCCCACCATCAGCACCTCTTCTGGACCAGGTAAAGACACTTTGAACCTCCCAAGTTTACCTCATTATGCAGAACTGATGATCTAAATGTCAAATAAAATCACTTATTCAGAAAGAAAAAAAAACAACTACATTACAGTACTGGTTTCTCTAATATAAAGGTTGTGTCATAGGCTAGATCTGTTTACCCTTATTGATTTATTTCCCGATTTTAGGAGCAACATCCAAAACAGCCTCGAGCGACTTCTACAATACCCACAGCTGGTTTACGCCCCGGCATGGCTTCTTCCCAACATGGCCGAGCTGAGAGAACAATGTCCATGCCTCACCTTGATGAACCTGTCAGCCACCACGAACCAAACAGCCATCACAACTATGATCCTGATCCACGTTTACAGTCAAACAAACCGGACATTAAGATGGGAGTTGGAGGAATCATGACCCATTCCAAGTCAGTTGGAAATATGCCAGGCCCCCCCAAGCCTCCCCGAGTAATGGATCGTGATAGGGGAACTCACAGCTTAGATCGTAACTTGGAAAATCGCAGCGTGGGCGACCACAGTAGAATGACGAGTGATGTTCGAGCTACCCATTCACTGGATCGAGATCGAGATCGAGATCGCTCTGAAAGAAAGTGGGACTATGATCGAACTGAATGGACACACAGAGATCGGTAACTATCAAGTATTGGGCCCATTATGGAAATATACTTATAAATTACAGTTATTTAATATTTTTGTTGTTACTTTTCTCTTTGATACAAACTGAGCTTAAATAAAATATCTCGGGTAAATATAATACAAATTTTCCAACATAAATTCATAGGGAACGTAGTGAACACCCAGAGTTTAGGCGTGAGCGAGGCTCTAGTCTTGAACGTCTGCTGGACACAGATGATAAAGGCAGTTCAGTCCCACTGGGACGGGCTGGGATTCGATCTGCTCTTCAGACATGGCATAAGGAGAGAAGCAGAGGAGACAGTGGAGATAATAATAACAATAACAAGAATCTACATAAAAAGGAATTCAGAGAATCAAGGTAAGCAATAACCTTGATTCTTGAGCAACCTACAACATAATTGATATAGTACTGTACAAGATTGTATACTATTAGATATAGATTGGTGTTACATACTGTACTGTATTTAGAAGGACTGACATTTTGGTCATGCTCACTGAAATGTGACTCTTGTTTTGTTAAAACATTACCACCATTAATGTTTGTATTTAGATTTTTCTTTTCTTTTTATGTCGGTAAACGTCAGCTGTACAGTCCTACATATCTGGTACAGTACCTTGTATCCTCAGAGAAGTTATTATGTTTTGAGAGAGAGGAAAGGAGAGGAGATGGTGGCTGCATGTAGAATGTTGGCCATAGATCTCAGTCACCTTCACTATGAGTCTCTTAACTGTAACATTTGATGAAGACAACTTGTTTTGACTGGATAAAATATGTTCCATTGTATATGGTAACACGGGTGGAGAGACGCTCTTATGCTGATGCCTGCAGCTTTAGTTTGTAGTTTAAATATGATTACTTAAGACAGTATACTCTCATCTCTTGTGTTGAGTGTTTCATTTTGCTGAGTGTGACCCCATACAGTACTCTAATGTTTGTACTGTGTAAATTTTGTGAGCTACCCTCAGCATATCTATGGCCGTCATTCAGCATAGGTTTAATTATTATTATTATTTATTTTTTTTACATGTTCAGAATAACAATGTCAGTGGAACCTGTTGGACGGGGAGTTGGTGATGGAGGGGACAGCACAAGGGCGAGTGTAGGGACCCAGTCTGAAGCTGTTGCTGCTGCCGCCACGGCCACGACACAAACAACAACAACAGCTGCGCCAAGTGCAGCAGCACCCACACACAAGAAGTCCAGCAGGAGGAGAGAACCTAGGAGACACACCCTTCAGAATGGCATTGACTGTAGCATGGTAAGTCTTCTTCAGGGATGGGTCATAATACCCTGCAATTGCTAATGTAAAATATTTTACCTGATTTATGGAGGTTATATACATTGCAGGGCGACCAGAATCAATTGCTGTCATTCATTTATAAGTCAGATTCGGTATATTAAATATTTATTTATATTTTTGATGACAGTTGCGGCGCCTGAAACAATTGGAAGCAGAGCGTGACATGCTGATACAGGGTTATGAGGTTGTGGAAAGAGCACGTAACTGGTACAGACAACAGTTGCAGGCCATATCAGAAAGAATTCACTACTTACCACAGGGCCCACCCAAGCATGTAAGTTAAGGATGCTCAAGTGCTTTTTATCTTTGAAATTAAATAAATTTATTATGCTTTTTCCATTTGGTAAATGTTAAAATAAAAGTATCATTCTAATAATAATCAACCTCTTCAGGAACCAAGCTTAGAAGCTCAGCAAGAGAAGCTACACTTTCAGCTTGCTCGTATTCATGAAGTTAACGCCCATTTGCAAGCTCTTATGGAGGCCACAGAACATGGTCTTCCATCACACATGAACCTAGCCATATCCACCACCACTGGTAGTCACAGGAGTACTGGTGCTAGAGGTCAAGGTCCAGAACCAGAGGAACAGGAGCGGGTCGTAGGACGACTCAAGGACCAGAACCACCTTCTTACAGAGGTCAGTTAGCAGCCTGTCTTAAACAGTAAACTAATTATGTGGACCACACTGTAGTGTACTAATACAGTAGTATTGGGAAGATGTAGAATGAGTTGTGATAATAGATGTTATATTTTACTAAGGCAAAAGGTGTTGAAAATTTTTCAACAAATTTCAAATGCAAATTTATACATTGCTTCACAATGATTGATCTATGATATCAAACTGCTGTAAATTTAATGATTTATTTCCATAGGAAGTAAGCAGTAAAAGTGAACGCATCACTGTCTTGGAGCGTGAAAAGGCGGCTCTCTTACGAGAAATTTTCCAGTCACGTCCATCCCACCACCACATGCAAGCAGCGTCTGCTGATTCAACATTCATGTGATCAAGGAGGATTTTTTTGAAAAGAAAATTTTAATGCTCAATATAACACGTAGGTCTTTATTGTGAAGGATCAAATCCGCTCATGGTATGCTTATTTACACTACTAAAGGGCATACCTGAGATCGTTAACTTAAGGTTGGCATATTAACCTGTTACTGGATATATCATCACAAGTTGGGGTCAGTATTTTAAACTTCATGTATTGCTACATCACCAAAATAGCGCCACATAACTTCTGCTGAAGTATGAACTAGAAAATACTTAGTAGTGCTTTTCATATTATCAGCTCTAGAAGTATTGTCTACTGTACAGTACATGTAGCAGCTGTGATCAACCTGTTAGATACTATAGTTGGGTTGTAGCCTTCATGGCATTAATAATAATCATGACAATATTACAACAACAGATCGTGTTGCCCTAACTTCTTACGCATGTTTCAAATCCATCGTGCGCTTGATGACTCTTGACAGACTTCCATTTGCTCTGGCTGTTGCAGGTCACCAAGTTCATGTTCTTCTACTTGACCAAAAATTTGTTTTTTGCTCATTTCATCCATTCGTCTTACTTTTCGTTACTTTCTCAGAATCACTTGTGTTTCCTCGTGATCATATGAGTTGTGACTGCTGTACTGTACTCTTACATTTATCAAAACATTTCATATTTCCTTTGCCATTTTGCAGTGTCCCCGGTAAATGTGAACATACTACAGTAATTAAGGTATAGATGAACGTAGGTTACTGCAGTGAGGAGTCACCGATCTTTATTTAAAGCGGTCCACATTTGTGGATACAGAATTAATATTTTACTCGTTTTATGCGTTGACACAACAGGAGTTTCCTACCTAACACCATGCCAATAGGTGCCAATAATGACTTGATTTATGCCTGTGATTAATTTTTAAATTTAGGAAAATCTTTTTATTGCTTTAATCTAGATTCAGTAAGCTGTCTCATGTAAATGAGAGAGACTGATGTAAGCAAAGTCTGGATCGGTGAGAATTGGAGAAGCTGTTTCTTTGCTTCGTATAATTTGAAGTGCCTCGTGATCTCTGTGTAGAATTATTAATTATAGGAAAGATGTTAGCTGTTGACTGTATTATGTTTTACCCTAATACTGTACAGTATCTCCAAGTGTAATCATGTTGAACATGATATTATGCCATTCCTCAAATGGTTATACCACTAACCAAACACAAGTGCCACACTAACATTAAATGAATCCCTCTTCTCTTACCATTAACTCTGACATGTTAACTTTTTATATTAACTGAGAATGAACTGTCAGTATTGTTTGTTTTTTCATTAATTATATACTTTTTTACTTTTATAAAAGGTTTGCAAAAAAACCCTAAAAAATGCTTGAACGTTTGAAAACAAATGAAGAGTATTAAAAAATATTGTAATGGTGATGCAGAGTTCAGTGTGCATGATAACTTTGTGAGATGATGTTAGGTAAATAATAGTTTCTTTATTCCTCTTACAAATTTATAAAATCAGTCCACTTGCATCTAAGAAGTTGTAAAAGACATTGATGAACCAAGATTTGTTAAGTGTAGTACAGTATTTATTAGATACAATTTTGATATTGTTTAAATGTTTTGAAGAAAATTTGTTATACTCTACAATATTTATACAATAACAACATTAGTACTGTACTGTATTTATTAATTTCAAGCAATATTTATATAAGTTTAAAAAGAATTGTAAATGATGTCCAATTATTTCATGAGCCCAGCTAACATCATCTCCCTCGTCTAGCAATAATCATTTTAAATGATAAACGGTCAACATGACAATGACCAGTTCACATCGTACATCAGGTACACCTTGTTAAGCCTGCCCAGTGCTTAGGCCTCAATGTACTATGTGAGTGCACAGCTTTACTCGTCCACCTTGGAACTCGGCCCAGTTGTAATACCTCAGCATAATATGGGAGTTAATAGTGTCTTTACATATGTTTCTTCCAATTCACTGTTGGGAGAGTGATATACAGTACTGTACTGTACTGATATTGTAGAAATTAAGTTTTATAAGTAAACAAAAGTTGTATATTTTCAGAGCAATAACATTGGAATAGTATATTTAAAACCCTAATTTATTGTGTGATATATACACACAATAATCATGTATAAATTTATTAATGGGCTTTGTGCAAGTCTATCCTTTTGGGCATCTTTTAGAACCGTAGTTTGCAGTTATCATTAACTTTGAGAAATTGTTCCATCTACAGTTTATCAACAAACTGATACTGTAATTGGCATCAGTGTGAGTAATATTTAGTTAAACACTACTGTTCTTGTTTACCATAAATGTTATCCTCAGAAGACTCAGCAGTGTTTGAAATACGAATTGTAAAAAACTTTTTACTGCTGTTTCATGCTTGAATTAGTTATTAGTGGGGAAAAATGCTTACATAGTTAAATTATTTAAAAATACCAATGTTTTATTAGGATAAATCACATTCCATTTATTGTAGTCGAGTGATATGATTTTTTTATGATTATTCTTAACCTGGCCAATTTATAGCATGATATAATGCTTCTAATGCAGCAATATAGCTTGCCGTCCATAAACTGTGATTCCAAAAATAAAATTCTGGTCTGACCTCTTGGGATTTAATTTATATACCGTACTGTATTATGTAATTGAAGGGTGTGAGTGGCTCTTTGTTACTGTATGTTTAATGGTCTGCACAACAAGCATCAGAGGTGTATAATGAGCAAAGGTAATACTATGAGACTACAGTATGAATTAACTATAAAGAAATTAAAACACTGACAAGATGAGGTGATGTGTGGCCTCCCACGGGAAAGTTATGAAGAGTTTCTGATAGTTATTTTAGATATTAATTTGTTGGATTTTATTTCTATGAGTGTGCAGATTTCTTCATGGAGCAGTGTACTGTACACAGTTCGTAACCTATATGTCCAGGGCAACGTAAGACCCGCTGGTCCCCCCACACAGGCTTTTGGGGGTTATAATGTTGTGCCGGGCGTACACGTGGTCACCTATGTCCACGGCGCCCAGCAGGAGTGAGCGCTATTGTCTGAATCACTGTCCTCACCGCCTCAACAAACTCATCATCATCTGGGACTATTTCCTCCCAATTACTGTCTCCGTCAATGACACTCAAATCAAGCAACTCTCGATGAAAAGCACTACTGTCGAGGAGACAGGCGGGTCACAAGACATCGGAGAATGTGTATCCATCACGATAGCTGGTGCATAACTGGACCACAAGACTTGAGACGAAAATTACGTGCGAGTTGAGTTGCCAAATAAATATTTATTACATACAAAGTAGTTTATCCCGCCTAGACATTCAAAATATGCAGCGAAAATTAATAAAATTGAGGAACGTCGCCCAGTGTTGCCTTAGTGAACGTCACCCGGGGGTCACCTTAGTGAACGTCACCCGGGGGTCACCTCAGTGAACGTCACCCGGGGGTCACCTTAGTGAACGTCACCCGGGGGTCACCTTAGTGAACGTCACCCGGGGGTCACCTTAGTGAACGTCACCCGGGGGTCACCTTAGTGAACGTCACCCGGGGGTCACCTTAGTGAACGTCACCCAGGCTTTAAGGGTTAACAGCAGTGTACAGAATTATACATTCAAGATTAATGTTTTTAAAATATTTTTCTGATCCCAATTTTTTACTATATTTTCTAAGACAGGAATAATGAAAACTTGTGGAGAAATATACTTCTATTTTGATCAAGATAGACTGAGGGCCTTAGGACTAACAACCCTTCAGACAAGGCACAATGAGGCAGATCTCATTAAAACATTCAAAATCCTGAAAGGGATGGAAACCCTGAGTCCGGGCCATTTATCTGTGATCACAATTCATCTACAGTGTTCCTTATAATGTAACTTTTAAAGCTCGTAGTGTGCTGTCTCAACATCAAGACCCTCATCTACAAAACTCCTCGTAATACTATGTACAACTAATGTTAAAACTGTATACTGGACTGAATACAATTAAATGGTTATGCTTGTGTTGTACATCACAATACATAATTGAGGAACTACAGATAAACAAACTAAATAGATGATCTCTAAATTAAAATTTTTAACACACAATCTGCAGCAACAATAAAAACTCGAGATGTTCACATCTAAAACACAAACAACACAACACAACACAACACTCTGTTTCTAAAACTGACACTTTGAATATGACTCATTTGGACAGAGCAACATTTTACTGCTTGGATCACTATAGTGGTGGTGTATAAGCAATACTGCACTGTAAATGCTCTTACTCTCTTGAATTGCTACACACTTTTATAACCTCATAATTATCTGCGAGAACCACCAAGACAGTAAGGCCTCAGTGATGCTTCAAGCCACATACCAATATTTAAAGAGAATATCAATATAAAAATCTTACAATGTTCTCCTTAACTCAGAATAAGACACTGGTGGGAACAACAAACTGAGCCATATAAAACTATGGCTTCACAGTGCTGTGCTACACCACAACAACCTGGCACACATTAAAATATTTTTCTTCGCCTCTCAATTGAGGCGCTCCCATTGATAGGGACGAATCAACCAATGGCAGCGCCTCAATTAAATATTTGGCCAACATTCACCAGAAGTTTAATCAGAGTCAGTCAATCAATTTCTTTTTATGTGATTAATAAGATTTTTACTTGAACCATAAATAGTAAATGAATCTAAGGCAATTAATTTCTTAGATATTGAAGTTTTTCTCGAGAGCATACTGAGTGGAGCACAAACAAGCCTCCAGTGATGAGGGGTTAAGTATAAATTATTCACGACTGAGTATAACATAAACCGTCCAAACCCCACAGAACCTCACCTAACTTACCCAAACATTTAGATTAAGTTAGGTAGGGTTGGTTTATGTTGTAATTTGTCTCGAATAATCTGCGCCACTGTCCCCCCGCCGGATACCCTCTGTATCTGTTCACACGATCACAGCTCTTGTTTGTGAAGAATTTGACCTCATTTTTGGTAGAGGCAAAATCCACTGAACTATGTGTGACTTCATCATTTTCATCAAGCACCAACTGAACATTTGTTTTGTTTATATAAGTTAATAATAAGACAGTACAGTATCTGAATAACTGAAAATACTCAATATTGTCATAAATAAATAGTATGAGCTAAAGTAACCAAGTGTCATGAAGTATCTAAGTACTGTATCAACTATCTACATAATCTCTGAACCTCTACTTCTAATATGACGGTGTCTGCAGACGAATGAACATCTGATAAATTGTAAATATAAATCAATAACAAAATGAACACAATGTTACCTATATTGCACAACACTGTATAGTACCTTTACTAATGTATGCCGGTCTCCCAGGCCACCTTTTACCTCTTATGAAACATTTTAACATTCATCATTGTGTTAATATTATCTTCTGTATTTGTGCCAAGTCTGATGAATGAGTCTGTCTCTGAGCAGTAAGAAATTATAGAAACTTTGGCCAGATGGATGGAGAGAAATCCTACATTGTAGACCCTGATGGTCAACCCAACTAATAAAAATGTAAATTAATTTAAATAAAACTTATGACTCTTAACAATCCTACTTGTTTTCCCTGCAATACCCATTAACTCTGTCCTCTACAACAAGACCCCTCAAACTGTTCACTTCCTCATCCTTACTGCACTACAGTACAGTACAATACTTGGCTTTCACAGCACCTTATTTTGATCACCTGCCCAAGGTGTGAGTACCAAGAGAACACACATCAGGACCAAGATAATTCAACAGGCAATCTTCGTATCTTAATATATTTCTGAAGTTTATGAAAATTGTCAATAGTTATTTTTTGGCAGTAAATGATGTTGAGTGTCTCAAGTGGGTTATTTAAACGTATCACATTCCTGATTGACTCGATGGTAATGTTATTGCACATGGTCAGGCTGAGGATTTTCAGGTTAGGAAGTTTACTGGTGTGGGCAATTTCAATGAGAATTTCATCAGTGAGGTTATCTTGTGCCACTATAACTATCTTTTCCAGAAGAGGTGATCCAAGCATAACTTTTAAGCTCTCTGCTGGCAATTGAAAATCCATTTCTTCTTGAGAGTTGTGGATGTTGACGGACTTCAGGTGACATAATCTAGGTTTTATATTTTGTGGCGTTGAAAAATATTTTGCTGCATCACAAGTGCAAGAATTGACACCGTGTATCCCTAATACTTGCAATTCTGGACAAAGGTACGCTATAACAACAATATTTATATTGTTTACAAACTGAAGCTGAAGGTTACGCAGGGTTTCGCCATGTTTTTGTAACAAAGGTAAAATCTGAAGGAAAAAATCCACTAAGTCATATTCATCAAATTGTAAGACAAGATCTATCACATTATTGAGAGTCGACAGAGGCAAGAGACTGTCGGGTTCAACGTTACCAAGGTCACGCAGATGCACATACTGAATATTTGGACACAAGTTAATGGCTGGGCTGATGAGCTGAGCATCACCATACTCTCCCAATCTTCCACTGCCAAATTCATCACTTTGGAGGAACCTTAACTGCAGCGGTCCAAGCTCAGGTAATGAACCTCCAGACACTTGAGCCAACTCTGTCATTGTATCTCTACTTGCCTTTAACTTTGCCACAGCATAGAGCAATGCTGAGTGAGTTACTTCTTGTAAATTTGGCATGTTTACTAAGGCACATTGGATCCCTTTGTAAGTGACGGCGGTGCCGTACAGATCCAGTTTGATTAACGATTTTGATATGTCTGGCTTCTCTTTAGGATTAATATCAGCACTCATAACCCCGTGACACAGGCTGGAGATGCCCATGTCTGTTACACGTGTGTCAGACAGATTCAGAACCCTGCCAAATAAAATATCATCAATCATACTGGACTAACACAGTTATGTCATTAGCTTATTATATACTATTCAATTTGACTGTGAGAAATATATATAACAGGCTTCTGAAATGGACATTTTTTCTACAAGGTAAAATCTTCATAATTCTACATGAATATTCTGAGTTATATGAAGTGATGATGTACTGTACAGTAGGAGAGGCAGATGCTTCATGTTCTTAAGTGTGTTGTGTGAAGTGATACTACAATTACTTACCTGATGTGTTTACAAGAGGAGGCAATAACACTGATGGTTTGGTCGGTTACATTAGTTTGTGATAAGTCTACAGTCTGTAGGAGGCTCAGGGACCTAAATACTTCATTCAGTGTTTGACGCGGCAGAGTCCGGCCTTTTAGCCCCAAGTGGCGCAGTTTCTGGAAGGGATGATGAAGAACTCAGGATATTCTCCACCGGTTTATTTACTTGCATTCAATATAGCCAATGCCAGCAGGCAGGACTGAATGCTTTAAGAAAATAGAAATACCACAATTCCAGGTAATAGTTTAGTCTGTGCTATATCTCCCTCATATATTCTACCAAAACCCTCTTGTAACTTTACCTTACAAAATAATTTATTTTCAGGTTTCATTCAATATTAATGCATTCCCCTCTATCAAACTGTATCAGATAGAGTAAAATGAAATATACAAGTAGTGACAGTAATAATATCTACCATCTATATGTGTCACAAAATACATAAATCTGATTTCTAGTTTAGTGGTTCAGTGTAAAGAGCATTCCACAGGGCTCACCTTACATCGCACAGCCAATAGAGATATGATGAAGCCAAACTCTGAGGTGCAGCGACTCAGCACCAGACGCTCTAGTTGATAGAGAAGCAGCAGGTGTAGGTGGTGCTTCTGTAACTTGCCTGAGGTGTTCAGTTCCTCTATTATGAGCTCAATGAGGGAGCTTGCTGTAAAAGGTGATGAGAGAGTAATGGAGTGACCGACAGATAATGTTAACTAAGTCCTGTAAAGAGTTAAGGGATCACCTGAAGATTACCCACCCACCATATTTCCCTTTAAGATTTACCATTCCAGGTAGGTAGCATGAAAGTGTTTAATCATCAGGTGATATAAGCTGGGGGGGGAGGGGCTAGTTTTCAGATGATCCAAGCTAACATATAATAAGACCATTCATACAGTCCCCATAACAAATCTATGTTAATTGGGTGTGACATACAGGTATTATTACTGTATACACTTCAAATTACCATACAGTAGTTCCTTAGTTATGACTGGAGTTTTGTGACCTACACTTTGATCATATGAGAAGAATCACTATACCTTGGGTGTGAATGATATCAGCATTATTAACATACATCATGAATGCACTCATCTCTCACCAATATGTCAAGGTTTAGAGTCCTGCTTGGCTCACACAAGAAGGGTGTTATTCAGTGTGACCCTCACTATTAAACATCACACATTTCTCAGTCTCTGGTTTCCTCCTGTAGTAACACCAGATAGACCAACTGCCTGAACAGTAAGTAAGTTGATAAGTGGTGAAATTTATATATATAAAAAGAAAGGTATCTTTAACAACTGCAATATTGGTTAATGTGTGGGGATGATATACTGTACTTACGTAAGTCCTCAAAAGGTCCAATAACAAACAAGTAACGTCGTTTCTCATCAAGCCAGTTGTGGATGTAATCTTTGCACCAGTAACTGTCCATGTGTTTGACAATGCTATGTACACATTGTTCCTTCAACGACACCGGAGGTTTTAGCCGAGGCATCTTGTGAGCTGTAAGATGAGGGAGATGAGTTGTACACTGTCTTCAGTAAGGTGCTAAAGAGACTCAGATATTCATGAAGTAAAATCGTCAAACAAGTTTATACCGATTCAGCATATACCGTAAATATACGTATAAACAATCCAGGCATACAATAGACAGACACAGTGCAGGTATACAGTACTGTGGGCAACACTTCACAGAGGTTGGCAGAATAACACGAGCCTTAAAAATGTAAACAGCAGTGGCTTTGTTTTCAAATAAAAGCTGGCTGGTCTGCCAGGCTGAGAAAGAACACCCGCAGCAGAGAGAAGCCATCTTGCGACCAGCTAAGTGACACTCAGATGTAAACTGTCTCCCACCAAATGTACTGTACTGTCTTAAGCAAAATCGAAAAGTAAAAAAAAATCGACAAATATAAATTTGCAACAGAAATGTAATAGATAGTTACTTGGGCTCTTTCTCCCTATATGAATATTAATATCAAGTTCTGTGGTGAACTTCTCTGAATCTCAACCAAACTCTTTTTCTTATATTCTAGATGGAAGAAACTAAATTTCCTCTACATAGAATTTCTTCCCTAAATTTGCTCCCTCTAAAACAGGGGTTCTTAACCTGGGGTCCATGGATGGGCTTCAGGGGGTCCGTGAAGGTCAGATAAAAATTTAACATTTATATTCACTATATTTTTATATTAAGTTGTTCTATTTTTGTCAATATATACCAGATGTTATGTATGTATTTTTGGTTACTGAAGAAAACCAGTAAATCTGTAGGGTGGCATGGGGTGCTACTGTACACGGTCAGGTAACATACAGTCGTCATCGTCGTCAGGTTTTGACTTCTTGAACGTTTACTTTGTTCATACTTTGTGTATGTCATACACTGTATGAGGCAATGAATTTTCAATAAAATAAAGTATATTCATTGCATACAAAGTTGTGTTTATGCGCTTATGTGCATTTTTCTAGGGAGGGGGGTCCATAGCTTTCACCAGATTCTCAAAGGGGTCCGTGGCTCAAAAAAGGTTAAGAACCACTGATCTAACAGGACGATGGTGTAAGCTATAACTTTACTACTACAGTACAGTATTACACACTATATACAATACCTGTACAGTAATGTCTTGTACAATCTGAACCAAAATGTACTTTATGAGTGTGATAAAGATAGATTGATACACAGATACTGTATAAGTAGATATTGATAGTTAGATGGATATGTAGGCTGGCAAATAGATAGGATAAACCTGGAGCAAATGACCAACACCATAACACATTTGATTTTGTTTAATTTTTGTACAGATGTTCTTTGGACGATCGTAATTAATAAAAACAAAACAACAATGCACGACTAAGAGGACCTGACCTAACCAACCAAAGAAACCAACCTAACCTTACCTGCCCCCTCGCCATATTAAACTGAACGTGTTTATTTTAATATTTGTTACCATTAAAGGCAACTTTGTGGACACACGGTGACTCAACAGATTTTTTGGTAAATTAATTTCTTCACGTACAAAGCACATACAGACATCATTTTGGTGTCGTATGATTGGTTTTCAGTGTTTTACCTCACAATTTCCCTCATCCTTCATGCCCTGCCCACTACAGGTGATTTATGATTATATAGAAAACTAAAATAAATAAATAAATAAATACATATACAGTAATTAAAATAAAAAGGTACCGCCTCTTCTAAAATACTTATAAGGATAAGAACATTTGTGGAAAAATAAATGAAAACAACTCCTTCTGGTGTTAGCCGTCTGCTCTGTTCTGTTCCAGTATTACCATAGATAGATATTTATTAATTAATATTGACGACTTTCCCGTCACAACCTAATTTGTTTTGAGGGATCTTTATTTACTATATTTTCATTGTGGAGTTCAGATATGATATTAATTTCTTGGGTAAATGTCTCGTTTGGTAGATAATTAGACCCTATGCTCGCACTAGCGGCACTACTCCATCTTTTGTGTTGACACAACATTAAGGTGGCCCGATCAAAGCTGCTTGGTCTGTGCGGTTTCTCTCACATCCATAAAAGACGTAACATTACACCATATCATAGTAAGTTCATTCTGTTTAATATGCCAGGGGGTCCGGGGGGCCGGAGCCCCTGGCTAGAAAGTTAGGTAAGGTTAGGTTTTTTTTGGTTAGGTTAGAGCGGTATTCTAACAATGCTTCGGCCGTTTGTGTTTCTCATCAACCGAAGTTAGGTTAGGTTAGGTTTAATTTAGAAATAACCTCATTTTAACAAATTTGCCCAAACTACGACAGTGTCCGCCGCAAAACAATGAAATTGCAGCATTTTTAAATTCATTTTCCCTGAAAAATCGACAACGGGACAGTCGTCAATAATTACCTATTTATTCATTAAATTCGTCATACAAGTTAAATTGGCCGAGTTCGTATATTGACAGGTAACTCCCCCTCAACACCTCACCTTCACTTGATACACTATTATTGACGGGAAACACCAGTACCCCCACCATAAGACTCACTCTGTCAGTGCAGCCAGACAGTAGTTAACTTATATCCGGTGGTTGTCTCCTTCACTTTGTTTACCTCCTGAAGTGCGAAAAATTACACAAACACCTAAATCAACTGGAAGACATTAGATTAACATCACTCTCTATATTTCAAGGGAACATTCCTCATTTATATATGTAATTGGAATATTTATATCAACTACATTATTTCTTTTCTGGAAATAAAGATAAAGGAAATTTTCAGATATTTTAAACAACAGGTTTTGTTTTATGTTTTCATCTTATAGTTCCATTATTATAAATCATAAATTTAATATTAAACTTAATATTTATACCTAAGTCAGAAATATATACTTAGAAGATTAAAGTTCATATTAATTTATTCTCTTCCTGTTGCTCCTTAGTTTTCGTGTTTCAGAAAGACTCCTTGCTTACCATATGACGTCACATTTTGACAGCCTTAACTTCTTTGTATTTATTAACTCCATATGTAGGTGCTAGAATCTCCTAACTATCTTATAGTATATTTGACTACATTTTCTACCAAATTGAATATTTTCTCGTTATAAAGCATCATTAATTTACATATGAAGTCGCATGGTTAATCTTAAATCTTCATTATTAAAAGTTCCCAGAATCACATGATATTACTAGTGTCTGAAGCTTCCATTATTATTTACTATAACAATTTGTGTATCTTTCATATATTTTCCGTATTGAAGTATTGAGATGTTTTAATTATATTCTCAGATTTGTTTCTTAATGATGATGATTCTCAGAACTTCATTTATTGTCTTCATTGTGTTTACTCATTTTTATTAATTAATTTCCTTCACTGGTTGTCTCAGGCCCACAGGTATACATAATGTCTACCTAACTAACAATAGAACATCCCCTAACTAATGCTAATACTCCTTCTTACTAACTGAACTTTTATTTTTCTCTTTTGATTGCTGTTTTATGATGACAACTAACAATAAAGGAACCTCGAATGAATTCCCATACCAACTAAATGTTTTTCAATATTATGTATCAATATGTTTTTGTGAGTTCTTATTGTTGGTGGTTTGCCTGACCCTGAGCTCGTGTTGTCAAGTTATGGGCCACACAGACTTTGCCTTCACTGATAATTACTTGGGAGATCGGTCACGTCTCTGTTAATTACTGTTGGCAAGTACTGGGCATGTACCGGCTCCTGAATGTACCTGAACCTGCTCCAGTGTTGGTCAAGTCGAAAAAGTTACTCCCCACAGTTTTCTGGTTTGAGGCTTCTTCAACCTTGAGCTGTGATGAAAGTAAAGTATAAGCTAGGCAATTTCAGGCGCTGTAATCTATCAGGGTAGCTGAGGTGCCTAAATGCAGGCGCCTATCTATCTGTCTATATATCTATCTTAATTTAGTTTTTACTCAACTACAATAAAGTATTAGTGAAACGATTGTGTGTGTGTGTGTGTGTGTGTGTGTGTGAAAGTCAAACTGAAGGACGACTATTATCAAACAGCTCCACCATATCACTCCTTAAGACAGTATCTACTAACACTTAACACTTATCAACTTACACTACCAGTTGGGGGCCATATTCACAAAGGTTCGTAAAGTATAAATATTTCCTCGTAAGTTAAGATATAGTGAAAATCATACGTAATTGGTTATCGATTGAATCCCATCTATACATCCTTGTGTCTACCTACTGCCAGTCTGTGTCGATATCTATTATAGTCAACTCGAGTTTATTTATTGATCTTGAATGTTGCTCTTAATTATTGTCTTTTAACGACCTATTGAGTTATCTCCTTGAGTACCATGACTTAACCCCTTGAGTACGTGTTTTTATTGTGGCTGTGATTGCGTGTAGCTGTATAAAACATCATACCAGTTTTTAAATCACACCGGAGGGAGAATATGAAGTATACTGTATATAAATAAATACAAATTGGGGCCCCAGTTTAACATAATACCCACCTACCTATTGGAACAGGTGTTATAACCCTTCCCCTCCCCCCTATCATTGATATTATCTCCGTGTTCATGTTTACCTATGATAGAAAACACTGAAGGGTGAAACGTCTGTGAATTTACCTCTAACTATCAACCATATCAGCTGTGTGTGATATGCCCTCGTGTGGTGGGTAGCTGTGGTGGTGGTAGAACACACAGATTCAGTTTTCTCCTGGTAGCCGTCGGGAGAAGATCGTGGTTCCAGAATTACTTCGACATTTCTCAAGACCAGGTACCTCACCATAGTTATCGTTACGTGGTTAATAAGATAAGAACATAAGGAGTCTGCAATAGGCTGGTGGCTTGTGCATGGCAGGGCATTACAGCCACCCTCTCTCGCCCATCTGTGTGTGTTTATTTTAATGTATTTTCTTACTATTTTGAGATTTTTTTTTGGGGGGGGGGCAGCTTAACCCATTTAGTACCATTTAATTTAACCCCTTAGCCACGAGGAGTTCACCCCTTGAGTATGATGATTTAATCCCTTGAGTACGAGGATTTTAACCCCTAGAGTACTTGGCCGTCACCACTTGAGTCCAATAATATGGTAACTTTTCTTCTTGAGTACCATGTCACTGCTCTGTTTACAACCATCCCTTATCAGTCATAATTATTATCTATCTAACCTATCTTTTCCAGCCTTCCCGCCTTATTATTATTATTATTACCATTATTATTATTATTTTATTATTATTATTATTATTATTGGTATTATTATTATTATCGGTATTATTATTTATATTATTATTAATATCATCATTATCATCATTATTACCTCACTATCTCTCACTTTCCTCAGTATTAAAGTCGTGTACAGGTGAGAGAGGCCAGAGGAGGTATGGTTGGTTATTGACTGACCTCTCGAGAGTGTGTGGTGAGGTCATCCTTGAGATCTAGGTCAGGTGCAGCTTCCCATGTTGGAGGATGACAAACACACACACACACACACACACACACACACACACACGCACACACACACACACACGTTAGATGAAGTCGATAACGTTTTGGCCATTTTGTCTTATTTTCAGTGTTTCTATTAGTGGATTATATTAGCAAGATTAACCTAACCTAACGCTAACCTAACCTAACGCTAACTTAATCCCCCAGGTAGTGTTAGGGAGTTTAATCATCAGGTGAGATAAGCTAAGAGGGTGGCTAATCTTCAGGTGATTCGGCTGTGTTGTGTGTCCTATTGCAGGGAATTATGTTACTGCGTATACATTCCCAAGCCAAGGTCAAGACGGTCGTGTGTGTGTGTCCGTGTGTGTGTGTGTGTGTACATAACAACTAACCCGTCACTTACATACTTACAGACAAGAGGTGATGGCAACAGTGTGTGTGGTAGGGGCGGGTGTGGTAGGGCTGACCACCGCCACACTGCTTCAGGAGGCGCTGCCGAGGGCCTCTGTCACTCTCATCGCCGACAAGTTTGGGAGGGACACGACCAGTGATGGAGCTGCCGGTATCTTCAGGCCTGGTCTACAGTTCCAGGGAAGCTCTCCTCAGATGACCAAGTGAGGGAAAGAGAGAGGAACTTTATTACCTGCTGATGCTGAGAGAGAGAGATATATAAATTTGTAGAGAGAGAGAGATAGAGATGGATTTGTAGAGAAAGAGAGAGAGAGAGATGACTTTGGTTAGGTTAATTTTAGATTTTTTTTAGATTGCCACCGAGGGGGCTAGTTTATTGGGCACCTCCTTACACCCTGTGCAAGGTGAAGCGTAGAAGCGTTTACAGCGCCCATCTGGGAAACATGCTGAGTTCATGCTTGCCTTTATGACTCATGCATTAAGGGCGTAAAAGCCAGAAGGATCATGGGTTTTGTCAGCAAGTTACATAAAGTGACAGAATGATGAGTGTGTGTGGGGTTGATCTCTGTGAAATCGGAAAAGCGTGGTGGTGGTGGTGGTGGTGGTGGTAGTGGTGTTGGTGGTAGTAGTGGTGGTGTTCGTGGTACTTCTCTAACACGGTACACATCTCCCTGCAGACAGTGGCTACAGGACTCCTTCAACTACTACCAGCGTCTCCTCAGCTCTCCAGACGCCGCCACAGCTGGTGTTAAGCACGTCACCGGCTACCACTTCTCCTCCAAGTACCCCAAGATCGTCCATGTGAGTCTTATTAACAAGTCTTATTAACGAATTTTATCAGTGAGTTTTATTAATCAATCTTCTAAGTCTTATCAATGAGTGTGATTAAGTCTCATCATGACTACAGAACGAGCTGATGAAGCCCATCTTGGAGGAGTACCGTGAGTGTACCCCGGAAGAGCTACGTCAACACGGCCACAAGTACGGTACATTTATGAAGACTTTAGTGACAGAGTGCCGCCGGTACCTCCCTTACCTCACACGCAAGTAAGTGTCACGTCATGCAGCTATACAGGTTGTGATTGGTTGGTGGTTAGTGACGTCATGTTTGTAATAAGTATACAAACCAATCAAAATCAAGATGGTGAAGGACATGGTCGAGTTGTGTTTTTGGTTGGTTGGTTGGGTGTTGTCTTGAGAGATGCTGAACCAATCATAGCCTGGTCTCTATCTCTCCACACGGTTTCTAGTGAGACAAAACAAGTTCTCTCTTTATCTCTCTATGCACGTTCTTACATAGTGTGTGTATTCCCGACAGGTTCGAGGCAGCAGGGGGGGTGGTGGTAGAGCGTCACATAGACAGCCTGGAGGAGCTGGCTGGTCACTACGATGTGGTGTGTAACTGTTCAGGTTTTGGTGCCAAGGAGCTGTGCCATGACCTGACTGTGACCCCCATCCGCGGCCAGGTCTTCAAGGTCAGTGTCACCCCAGCGGTCATTATTTAACTGACCCAAGCCTACCAGTCCAGGCGGCCATACTGAATACTAATAACTCAGAAGTCTTGTATAAAGTATGGCCGGCAGTACACTCGACTACCTTACCTCCCCAACTTGGTAACTCAAACTCAGATTCTTGTCACATGTCTACACCAGGAGTTGGGAGACATAACGACATAGTTTATATAAGAGAAATAAAGTCTTAAGCACGGCTCTCAGTGTGTCTCGTCCAAGGTCTTTTGTTCACCTCTTAGATGTCTTGCTACCCTCCTCCTCCTCCTCCCACACGCCTGCAACACTCGTAACTCCCTTCACCCTCTCTTATAGGTTCATGCTCCCTGGATCAAGAATATTTACTACGAAGACTACGACACCTACATTATCCCAGGGTTTGACCACATTACCCTGGGGGGGACGAGGCAGTTCGACTCTTACAATGCCGACATTAATAAGTACGACGCTTTGGGCATCTGGGAGCGGTGTTTGGCTCTCGTGCCCAGCCTCATGAAAGCTCAGGTGATGTTGTGATGATGTATGATGTTATATGTTGCTATATGACCCCACAGTGAAGATATCTTTTTGGGAGTGACTGTTTTTTTTACATTACCTGGTTGACTAATGAGTTATGTGACGACAGGTGATTCAGGAGTGGGTGGGATGGCGACCTTACCGTCCCATAGTTAGGGTGGAGAAAGAGGTGATGACTTTTGACAGCGGGAAAACTTTGAAGGTAAGTGTCTTGTAAATTAGTCCCTTGAGTGTGTGTGGGGAGGAGGGTTAACGGAAACAGGGTGAGAAAGGAGAGGGGGAAGGGAAAGAAGAAGAGGGTGGGTAAAGGGGGAGAAGGAGGGTTAAAGGGAAGAAATGTAGGTAGAGAAGGAGGGGTAGAAAGGGAGGGATAGAGAAAAAGGGAAAAGGAAGATGATTAGGTTATATGTAGGGAGAGGAAGAGATAGAGCACAAGTGAGGAGAGAAAGAAACAGGAAGAGTGAAGGGGAGAGGGAATGAAAGGTAGGAAAGAGGAAGATGATAATGAAGAAAGAGAGAGAGAGAAGAGAAAAACAATACAAGGAAGAGAGATAATGAGAAGAAGAAATGGGAGATAGAGAAGGAAGAGAAAAAGTCATAGATGAAAGGAACGGAGGATAAAGAAGGAAGAACAGAGAAAACGAGAGGAGAGAGATTAAGAAAAATAGGAATTTAAACCTAACCTAACCCAACCTCCTCCCAACCAAACCTAACCTAATCTAATGAAACTCAACCCAAGCTAACTTAACCTAATCCAATGATGCTTAACCCGACCCAACACATATTAACCCAACCACACCTAGCCTAATCTAGTGTAAACCTAACCTGACCTAACCTGACCTGACCTAACCTAACCTAACCCATGTTATTTATCACCTGGTGTGGTATCGCTTAACCCTCCGTCACGGCCTCTTACAGGTGGTACACAACTACGGTCATGGCGGATACGGTGTGATGACGTCCCCAGGTACCTCGATGACCGCCGTCCAGTTGGTGAAGGACCTGCTCAAGGATCCCCGGGCCAAGCTCTGAGGGGCGTGTGGTGAGGGCCCCTTGATACGTGTGTGTGATGAGGGGTTCCTGTGGTGTGTGGTGAGGGCCCCTTGATACGTGTGTGTGATGAGGGGTTCCTATGGTGTGTGGTAAGGGCCCCTGGCGTGTGGTGAGGGCCCCTTGATACGTGTGTGTGATGAGGGCCCCCTGATTCGTGTGTGTGTGGGGGATCTAGTGATGTGAAGGTCCCTGAGATGTGGTGAGGGCCCTGAGGTGTGTGGGAGCCATGATAATGTGAGGGCCCTGCTGACCACATCTGGGGGCCCTCCATGAAAGCTATTCAGTGTATAAACATCCCTGCAGGCTATGACTTAACCCAGGCTCTTCTGTGATTGGTTGTCATTTGTCATCCATTTTGTGTGAGATCATTAGGCTGTTCTCCAATTGGCTGTCGTCACCAGGTCACCACATGACGTCATCCAGTATTATACATCACGGACTTATTATTTTGGTTTGTTTAGAGGAGAAAGAAATTAGCATCACTGTATGTGTGTATGGTTTTATGTATGTATGTATGTATGGTTTTATGTATGTATGTATGTAATAGCATCATATTATTATACACACACAGTTAAGCACAACAATAAAACGAAACTCCTGTAACCTTCTACATAATAAATTGTAATAAAACACTATTCAGCTCAGTGTCCGTCTTAAATGACTTGACTGACAGATGTTTTTCCCCGTAATATTATGTGAGGGAGATATTCTTGTACCACTCAGTTATATCATTGGTTACTGGGAGAACCTATTGCCATAGTAACCTCTCCTCGCCCCTCCCCTCCCCGCCCAGCCGCTCCTCGCCCCGCCCCTCCCCACCGTCCAGCCGCTCCTCCCCCCATTCCCGCCCCACCTCACTCCGCCCAGTTGGTCTTGAGAAGTGGTTATAAAGATGCCGTGTGTATGTGTATCACTGTGCGAGTGTGTGTGTGTGTTTGTGTGTGTGTTTGTTTCTGTATCAGTGTACATGTAAGTATGTTCCACGTATGTTTATGGGAACAGTTTCAGGTGTGTTAGGAACATATACCAACACACCTGAAACACTCTGACACACACCTGAAACACTCTGACACACACCTGAAACACTGACACACCTTAAACACTCTGACACACACCTGAAACACTGACACACACCTGAAACACTCTGACACACACCTGAAACACTCTGACACACACCTGAAACACTCTGACACACACCTGAAACACTGACACACCTTAAACACTCTGACACACACCTGAAACACTTATTGTCTATATGTTTTAGGCTCAGGTATTGAAAGACTACTAACCAGTTCATCCCTTTACACTGTTACTTTGGCAAGAACTTTAATCTACTTACACTTGAGAGTATTAAAGTGCAGGAATAAACACTTGAGTGTATTAAAGTGCAAGAATATACTTACACTTGAGCTTATTAAAGTGCAAGAATATACTTACACTTGATCTTATTAAAGTGCAAGAATATACTTACACTTGAGCTTATTAAAGTGCAAGAATATACTTACACTTGAGCTTATTAAAGTGCAAGAATATACTTACACTTGAGCTTATTAAAGTGCAAGAATATACTTACACTTGAGAGTATTAAAGTGCAATAAAATAAAATTAAAACATACCTACTCGGGTATTTTATTTCCATCCTTAAGAAGTGTTAGGAGACACTTGTTGACGATACAGTCTGTGTGATATTCCTCTGCCATTATCCTTCATGTCTTCAGTCTTAATGAGATACCTGCTGGGCACATGAATTATTGGATTACTTGAAGATTAGACACCCTAGTTTATTTCACCTGATATGTCCACAGGAAAAAAATATAAATATATTGAAGAAAAAGGTAAAATTAACTTAAATTACTAAAATAGCTTGAAAGAAAAGATAAATAAAGTTACCAGTGTGTTCACCTATAATCATAGAGCAACACTGGTACAAGTTCAGGTACATGCAAGATCCTGTACCTACCAATAGTAAGGTAGAACAACCTAGACCTGTTATTACCACCTGTGCTATATCACCAATTCGGGGATATGTAATGATAGTTTTTATTTGAAGAGATGCAACTTGCCTAACAATTATTGAGATATGCATGTGAATTTGGTCAGACAAGCTAGTTTATTGTGCACTCTATTGTCATCCTTAGAGTAGAGGTACAAAAATGATTACGGAGCAGAGGTCACAAAGGGTGTGATTAATAGACCCCAGTGGTCAGGATATTGAATGTTATAGAGTATTTCCAGAACATTGTTTTTTAATTATGTACGTAAGAGATAACATACACAGGGTGCAAAATGTGTCGAGTGTGTGGCCTTGTGGATGGCCAGGGGTCTATTTACACTTTCTGCTTGCTTTAAATTCACCAGCAAGTTCCTTCTTGATCACAGATTTTAGGGTTCTTTTTGACAGGTTAGATGACAAAAGTTGTTTATATTAAAACTTATAAGTTAACCCAACAACCATCCAGAAAGAAGATAACCCGCGTTCTCTGAACATAAAGTCGACTTTTAACTTAAATTATAACAGATTCTTATAATAAATTCATTGCACCAATAACACATTTCAGAATAATTTATTTCTCTCCAATTTTTCTAATTAAATCGCAAAAGAAGATGAATACAGAGATGGAAGTAATGTTTACAGTCATCAAGTCGAGGTTGTGTGTTGACGTTGACCAAGTTGAGGCGACTCTCACTAAACCTGACTATGGCCAACCTGGAGCAGGACCCTATGTTGCAGGACGATGATGTGAGTCAATATGTGAGAGAAAGCTTCAGTTCTGTTGTATTAACATTATTATTATGACTCAGAAGTGGTAAATAACGTCTCCATCACCACTCACCTCGGTGACGGGTAGACATTAGTCAGTATAATCATTTACAAGTTCACAATGTTTCATCATGTATATAGATAGAACAGATATATAAACAATGGTAAATTATAATTGATTTGATAATATTACAGTAAACAGCAACATGACCTCTGGAAATTCGGAACACAATCGATAAAACTTTCTATTTTTTCTTAACTAATTTCTGTTGTGTAATGTGATCTGATGTCTTCTTGTTGCTAATCTGATAATTTTGGATTTCTCTTCTACCACAAATCACTCTTTATGCCCCCCCCCCCCTTTAATCCCCATGCTTTCCCTCCGTTATTGTTAGGGGGGGGGGCCGAGGGGGTCTTAACTATTGTCGCCCTAGTCTATGGCTATCACATTTTTTCTCCGTACGATCTAATAAATTGTTGTAGTGTACCGTAAGTGTTTAGGACTTGGTCATTAACTAATTCTCTGATATTTTAGGGCTGATTGTTATGATCGCAGTGGTAATAATCTTTAAAAGCCAATCTTGGGTTACCTTTAATTATAGGTGGTGGATATTTTGTCGTGACCGGCTGAGTTCATACTAACTCTATTTTACCATGAGTGCGCTCTGATTGGCTAATCGTCCATTACCGGCGAACAACGCGAGAACTATATTTGACCGTGACTCTGACGGCATTTGGTATTTATTTCACCGTGAGTCAATCATTGTATAGCTATAAACATACTTAACCGTATTTCTGCTGTACACCCACGAAAAAATTATTCGGCACCCGTGTCATATTGTATCACGCCGTAAGGGTGCCGAATAATTATTTAGTGGCTGTACATGGAGACTATCATTATAAAAGAGGCGACATTTACTAGAACCTAATAGAACCTGACCTAACCAACCAAAGAAACATACCTAACCTTACCTGACTTCCTAGCCGGGACGCGGAACCCCCCGTCATATTAAACAGAAGGTACTTAGCCAATCACAGCGCACTCACAGTAAAATAGTGTTGGTAGGAACTTAGCCGACCGCGGAAAAATATCCACCACATTAGTTATAACAATTTACAGTTCACCATTGTCTGTATAACTGTACATGATGAAACTCTGTTAACCTTTGTGCAGTGGCCATTATCAACTGTTTAAGCAAGTGGTAAAAGATCAATGTTTCATAGACATTAATGCTTTCGTTCCTTATGCATGAAAAACCAGCAGCAACTTCTGAGCATTTTTGGTTGATACATAACAAGAGTAGTCCAGCCTTAGCAGTTACCTGATAAAAAGATTTCACAGAAAATAAAACTTTCTTACCTTTAAAAATACAAAATATTTAGGAGGAATACATTTTGTAAGACAGTACCAGTTTGGGGGAGCAGAATAGGCATAGGAAGACAGCCAGATATGCCCCGTTTTGATAGTAGGAATATTTTGTCGGGTAACTTAAGGCAGGGCCACTCTCGTCAAGTATTAACCAGTTGTGTATATATCATTGCACATTCCTTTTCAAAATAAATAATACTGTATGCCAATAAATAACAAGATTTTATGGTAATTTTCTCCTTAGTAATTTGGTTATTTTGTCCAGGACCTAACCTACCAATGCTAGGGTGGAAGTGAATTAATTTAGGTATGTTGGTCAGGATGTTATTTAGTTATTAACAATTTGTATGGAAAGGTAGCTTAGCGTTAGGATCCCTCACTGGCAGGCATGTCAACAATTTTACCCTAGACATGGGATCTGTACATTGCTGAACTGAATTACTCTTAAAAAATAAAAAATGAGAAAACAAAAAGGGAAGTTTCAATTCCTCCAACTTTTTATGGGTATTTTAGAGATAAGAAATAAGTTTTTTTTCTACAGTATTTTTTCAAAAAGTCGTCTGTTATAAAATAATATCATTTGTACTATCTGAGCTTATGACCTACGGTATTATATATATAAGAGATTCCAGAACAGTGATAGCAGTTAGGAAGAGTAAAAATTGGCAACCCAAATTTATATCTGGAGACTTGAACTTGAACCTACATCAAGGAAGGTTAGGTTTGGCTTGGGTAGGTTAAGTCATCAGCCTTGAGCAAGCAGAATAAATGCCAGACACGTAGCTGAGTACAGTAAGTTAGTAATGGTATGTGACCAGATTTTATGGTGAATCACTTGAAGATTAATTGTCTCAGCTTCTTATACCTGATGCTTAAATACTATAATGTTACGGGGGGGTGGTAGTGTTAGGGTTTAACATTAGGGTGGTTAATATTACAGTGAAATAGACTGGGAGGGCTAATGTTAAGATGACCCATAATGCTCTCTTTATTTCAGCCTGCAATGCGTGAAGTAGGAGCAATGGCATCAGATGACATCATATCCAGGACCCGCCTTCTAGAAAATGAGATCCGTATCATGCGTCTGGAGCAAACAAGAATAAACCACGAGATCCAGAACCAGCGGGACAAAATTCGAGAGAACTCGGAGAAGATTAAAGTGAACAAGACTCTGCCGTACCTCGTGTCTAACGTCATAGAGGTTGGTGAAATAATTGTCCGGGCATTGTTGACTTCGTGCAATTACTTTATTATACTTCAGACAATATTCCAGTTCATATTAGTACATGTTAGAGTACTTGATTTATTTGTTTCCCACAAGACTTTTTGTTCATTTGTAACTCAGCTGCTCATATATACTGTACCTTCAGTCCTCTTCATTTTACCCTGTGCTCTGTCAGTGTGGCTTTAGATGATAAATATTTCTACCTTTCTTCCCATCTAAGGTTATGCACTTGTTTAGTTTTATTATTTTCAGTATTATTTTGTTATATGATCCTAGAACACATAGTCATGGAGATTATTTCTGCAGATCTTAGATGTCGATCCCAACGAGTACGGCGAAGAAGACGGCGCTAATGTAGACCTGGACTCTCAACGTAAAGGCAAATGCGCAGTTATCAAGACCTCCACACGTCAGACCTATTTCCTCCCTGTTATTGGCCTTGTAGACGCCGAGACACTGAAACCCGGAGACTTGGTAGGCGTCAATAAGGATTCCTATCTCATCCTCGAAACGCTGCCAGCCGAGTACGACTCCAGGGTCAAGGCTATGGAGGTGGACGAGCGACCAACAGAACAGTACAGCGATATTGGCGGTCTCGATAAACAGATCCAAGAGCTGATAGAAGCCGTCGTCCTTCCCGTTACCCATAAAGAACGCTTTGAGAACCTAGGTAACAGATGCTGTGTTGATGTTATTAAAAGCTTTATAGACAGTTGTGTTATGTACAGTACTGTGGGAGCTGCAGATATTTTACGAAAACCACGAGTAGCGTAAACAGTTATGTGGTTTGTTTTGTATTATTAATCTCAAGTTATTTCATTTTTATTTATTTTCTTCAGTAATAGTATTTGTTGAGCTGTTTTGTCTTGAAATTTTAATGTTACATGATCAATATACTTAAGTGAGATAGTAGAGGGAAGAAGGTAGAAGTAAAGACATCATGAGTAAGAGAAATAAGTCGGAAAGTGAAATGTTAGTCATTGGAATTCATACACAACCATTAGGAGTTGTATTCTCTTATATAAGTGAGAAAACAAAGACTTACCAGACAGAGAAAGACAGAAACTCTTTTTCTCACGGTGAAACTCTCATGGTTAGCTACTGGGTTACTCAATATATCATTAAATTAATCAATGTTCTATTTGCCTATTATAAAAAGTTCCTTCTGATCACATTATTTTGGATTATTTTATAAGTTACATTTGTGTTATCAACGGTAAATATTTTAATTCTACCATAAATATGAATTGATTGAAAATTTGGATCTCTCACATGATACTCAACTCCTCGTGACTCTTATAACACAAAGAAAATCTCGTGAAACCAACAAAGCTAATATTTATAATTTTTGGTGTACAGGTATCCAGCCCCCTAAAGGAGTGCTGCTGTACGGCCCCCCAGGCACAGGGAAGACCTTATTGGCTCGAGCATGTGCAGCACAGACCAAGTCCACCTTCCTCAAGCTGGCAGGACCACAGCTAGTGCAGATGTTTATTGGTGATGGTGCTAAGTTGGTTAGAGATGCCTTTGCCCTTGCCAAGGAAAAGGCCCCAGCCATAATCTTCATTGATGAACTTGATGCTATTGGTGAGACCGAATTTCCATTGTTAGTACAGTAGTTAAGGTAATTAGGGTTTCTTAGCATATACTGTAATAGCCTTGATTGTATAATTCATATTATTCTCAGTATCCAAACCAAGAGGTGCAATTATAATTCTAAAGCCAGGCATTGATGATGAAGTTGTTTGATTGTGGTCAGTCACTTCTCTTATCAAGGCTATAGACTAAGGCCAGGTTTAAGGGAGGTTAATGTCATATAAGACAGAGATATGGTAAGTTGTGTGAAGCAACAGAGGTAAACCATATAGATATATGGGACCTATGTATTGAAAACAACTGTATAATACTGTTGTATTTTTAGTATTGATCTAACACTCATATCCTAATCTCCACACCTTTAGGTACAAAACGTTTTGACAGTGAGAAGGCGGGAGATCGCGAGGTGCAGCGTACTATGTTGGAACTGCTCAATCAACTGGACGGGTTTTCATCTACTACAGATATTAAGGTTGGCTCTTATGCAGTACCCATGTTTGTTTACCTATTATTTTTATGGTGATTAGTTTAATTTTACTCTTAATGTTGTTCTTATAGGTGCTAGAAAAGTGAGGATGGAGGGAAATAAAACAGTTTTATGATTACACTTTTGAAGGTAGACATGGAAAAGTGTGAAGTAATGATAAACTTGTATTTAGTAACTGCATTATTCATAAAGACTTCTACTATGGATCTCAGGTGGAAATCAGTTCAGTTGACTCAAAATTCAAGGTTGAATGATTAAATATTTTAGTAAGCATCAAGTACTCTGGTACAGTGCAGCTTTATGTAAGTCATTGTCAACAGGTTATTGCTGCCACCAATCGTGTGGATATCTTGGACCCTGCCCTACTGCGGTCTGGACGTTTGGACAGGAAGATTGAGTTCCCACATCCCAATGAAGAAGCTCGAGCACGTATTATGCAGATCCATTCTCGTAAGATGAACATCTCATCGTGTGTCAACTTTGAGGAGTTGGCAAGGTCTACTGATGACTTCAATGGTGCACAGTGCAAAGCTGTTTGTGTAGAGGCTGTAAGTGTAACATCACCAAGGCTTATAAGAGTTAACTAGAAGTTTTGTTAGAACGTATTGTCTCAAAATCTCATTATTGGTTTAATGACACTATAGAGTGTGCCAAGTTTATGTGGTGAAACATTATCTTCCCGTTATATATGCACATTGCTATGACATATAATAAGTATGTCGTAGGAAATTATTGTTATTCATTTTTCATGAGGTGAGGAGGTCACTGACGGTGGAGAGGAAGTTATGTTTTCACTGCTGATTTAATTGACTAGTATAGTGTACATAATTTTCATTTCTTAGAGACTTCACTTTAGTGCTCCTCAGCAACCACTTCCATTGCTTCCTCAAGGCAGCTGCTGAATTACCCTCCTTTGTCACCACAGCCCCTTCTTAAGTGAACTTTTCCCGTTCTGTACTAACCAGATTTTGTTTGTGTTTTCCGGGTTGGTGATCTGAATTAAGCGAGTCTGGGGTAGAGGGAGTTTACTGTAGCTTAAATGACGTATTACACTCATATTGTAGTATGGTTCTAGACACATTGGAAAGGGATAGATTGCTACATAAACTGAGTTGTCATGGTGTCAAGGTAACATAATTGATAACAGGTTAGATACTAAAGTGAGTTAACTGAATTACTATATTTACTGTATTTCAGGGAATGATTGCCCTGCGTCGACAAGCTACTACAGTGACGCACGAAGACTTCATGGACGCCATCATGGAAGTACAAGCCAAGAAGAAGGCCAATCTTAATTACTATGCGTAGAGGTCATTATCATATCTTATTTTTTTTCTCTCCTAACGAAAGTCGTCTGGCAGTTTATATAGTATGAGAGTTTAATCATCGTTTTTATTTTGGATCTTAAGTTTCATTATGTATTTAATACTGGATGTGTGTCTGAACATGATGACGTGAAATGTATTTAAAACAATAAAATGTAAAATGATTCATTATATATTTACTACCAGCTGATGGAATATGTTATTATCAAGGTAAAAGTGGAAGCCAACTCACATTACACTCCGTACCTTTACTCAAATAACATGAATGAAATGAAAATTATTCATCATTAAGACCCTCTGAGGCTGTGGTCTTTACGGCTTTGTGTCACGACTATTTAGAGAAGGAAAGCTCTCAGCGTTGGGGGGGGGGGGGCTTCCAATCACATGTATGAATAACAAATATTTAATTTGGAAGAGAATATATGTTCATAACGTCTCATTTTTATTAAGTAAATTAGTTCAAAAGTTTTTACAAAACTATATAATAATAATAATATGCTCTTAAAACAATACAGTTGTACCCCGCCTAACGCGGTTTCACTTAGCGCGTTTTCCTTTAGCTGGCGATATCGGTGAGTGTCTGGCTCGAGACGCTATTTTTAGATTTGCCCCACGCGCCACCCGCCCGCCTGCCTGCCTGTGCTCGCCTCTCCCTCCTCCTCCCTCTGCTTGGGCAAGCCGTGCGGTAAGGTTGCGCAGTGTGTGTCTTTGTTGCGTTATCACTGATGACATATGACGTATCGGACTGTGATTGGCCATGCATCCCTACCCCCCCCCTCTGCTGCTAGCTGTAATTGGCTTAAAGTATTATGACGTGCCCACCCAGGGGAGGGAGGAAAGACGACGCTTGACCTAGCCACGGCAGTTTCATCCCTCAAGGCCACACCGTGTAAACGCGCATCCATTGTTCCGTAAAATGGCTTCCGCCGGACCACCACCGCCACCAGAGAGAGACCTTTCCTTACCTGGACCCAGCGGCACTAAGCCAAAGAAGACACGACGTTCCTTAAGCTACGAGGTGAAGTACCAGATCATTCAAGATTTGGAGAAAGGAACACGGCAAGTTGATCTCGCGCGCCAGCATGGCGTCAACGAATCTACGATTCGCACGATCAAGAAGGATGCAGCCAAGATCAAAGAGCACATGAAAATCACGAAGTCTGCAGGTGCTTCATCGATCAGGTATTGCCAGAACAGGGTGCTGGCAAAAGTGGAAAATTTGCTGGTGAGTTATTTGATTCGTCAGGCGCGACGCAACATGGCGGTGGACACGCGCTCAGTGCAGGAGTATGCACGTGAGCTATACGCAGCAGTGTCACGTAAGCTGGGAATTGCAGAGCCCAAACCCTTCAATGCTTCCTCTGGTTGGCTGCATAGGTTTAAGAAGAGGAACAAGATCACCAACATCAACATTGGTGGTGAGGAAGCGAGTGCTGACCGTGTGGCGGCTAGAGATTTTCCTCCGTTCTTACGTGAGATTATGGAGGAAGGACAGTACACCGACGACCAGGTGTTTAACATGGACGAATCTGGTCTTTTCTGGAAAAAGCTACCATCCAAGACCTTTGTTGTAAAGAATGCCAGCAAGATTCGGGGCCGGAAGATGCAGAAGGAACACATCACCGTCCTGTTTACCACCAATGCCTCCGGTACCTGTAAACCAAAGTTATCGGTGATTCACACAGCCCGCAAGCCGCACGCCTACAAGAATATGGACATGAACAAGCTTAATGTCCACTGGCTAACCGCACGTAAGGCGTGGATGTCCTCTTCTCTGTCCCTCTTCTGGTTTGACAACTGTTTTGTTCCTGACGTGAAGAAATTCTGCGAGCAACAGAATGCTCCATTCAATATTTTGTTGCTCCTTGACAACGCACCTGGACACTCGCCCCTACTTATGGATCGTCACCCCAACGTAAAAGTGGTCTTCCTTCCTCCCAACACTACGTCATTAATCCAGCCCATGGACCAGGAGTTGATTTGCAATGTGAAAGCTGCGTACTCTGCAAAGAAGTTCAAGCTCCTGAACGACTGTACCAACACCAAGGATGAGTTGCGTATGCTGGGTGACACCGACAGCGAGAGTAAAAGCGACGAGGACAAGGAACAAGAGGTGGCGGCTCAAGAACTTCTCGTCAAACAATTTTGGAAGAAGTTTAACGTCAAACAAGCCGTAGACTTCTTGGTGGAGGCATGGGATCTGCTGACTATTGCTACGATTCGTCACGCATGGAGACATGTGTTGCATGGCATACCAGCTGAGAAGAGGAGTGAACCTGTGACTGATGAGGTTCAGACTATTGCAGTAGCAGTGGACCTTGCCAGAGAAGCTGCGCTCAATATTACAGCTGAAGGCTTCTCCGAGACCACCAACGAAGACATCATGGAGGTGATCAGAGATCCTGAAGTGACTGCCGACGAGATGTTGGAAGAAGATCACGTCAGTGAAGAGGAGGAAGAAGGTGCGTCATTCTCCGAAGAACACAGTTTAAGTCATAGTGATATTAAGTGTGCCATAGAGTGTGCAGAGAAAATGAAGTCCTTCCTTTCCCGCGACAATGACCGCTATGAAGTCTTCCATACCCGGCTGGTACAAGCTATGGAGCCGTACATCACGGTGTATCACAACATAAACAACAGCCGTCAAAAAAGCATAACCGAGTTCTTCGCCCGCAACCCACCACAGCCAGCCCAAGCCAGTGATAGTGACAGAGGTAGAGACAGTGAAGATGACTTTGAGGGATTTGTCAGGGAGGCCATAACAACTGTGGGTGACAGTGACTCACCTGAGGGCCAGTAGCCTGCCCTCTGCCTCGGAACCAGCCTCCATCCCCGTACGCCGACCCATCTCTTCTACTACCGTAAGTGTTCCACCTAAGTTTTAGTTTTCTAATCTAACCTTTATTTTTCCTATGTTAACCTTTATTTTTCCTAACCTAACCTCTTCTATATTACTTGTTTTTTCATACCATCATAAAGTTAAGATAAAATTTTTACTACAACAGTTATGTGTCGTCAAAAAGTGGAGTTTGGGGGTCGGGCCGGTTTCTATTGGAATTAATCCCAGATGTTCTGTTGTTCACTTAACGCGGTACCCTCTGGGTTTTATTGACCGCGTCAAGTGGGGTACAACTGTACCAAGTAGAGTACAGATGGTATCATATAACAAACACGTATTAAATAACACCAAAGAGTACAATATAAAGAAAACATCCTTCACTACCTGCATAAACAGTATCCATTCCTGCTTATGTTGACAAATTATTCAGAGAAGTTGTAAGAAATGACACGAGTTAGGAACCTGACAACAGACCAGCATGGAGAGCTGCCTGTAGGTAACCCACAAACATGGAAAATAGCTGTAAAACGATTATGATGATAATTTAGTTCCTCACCTACCTACTCACTTAAATGCTTAATAAAGTGTATACAGTTTCAGCACTGTATACATGTATGTATAGTAGTCCCTCAACAATTCATGCAGTAGATATTCCTGTATATATAGCTACAAATATAGTAGTGTGTTGGATAAAGACCAGGTGGGTCCAACAATGCCAGCAATGAGGTACAACAGTGAAACAAATACTGAGAGTATGGGAAGGGAGAAGACCCTCTGAGGAGTTACATAGTTTAATTGGCCAGGACAAATACAGTAACTGGGAATGAACTCTGCCCATAAATACAGATACAGTGCTTGAAGAGTGGAGTTAATACCGTCGCAAAAAGTCTAGGTTATACTGTATAAATAGTCTGTACTTTCTTTAGTAATTATGTGAAGTAGTCTCGACAATTCTCACAGAACCACCACGGCCATACCTGGTGATGTACAGTAACTCGTGACCAACTTGGAAAGCATTCTCATTATCCTAACAGAATATCAGACTGTTTTATGAACCTACATAATATACTTAGCAACAAATATGATTAAAATGACTGTTTCTTCACATCCCAGTAACTATTTAACTTGCTCTGACTCGGATACACAACATACTGTACAGGGAAAATTGGTGTCCCTCTACAAGTACTACCTGATACATACAGTACATCATTCCCCACAATCCTTGGTGTGAAAATAGCATGACATACCCTCATAGTCCCTGATACAGTTTATTAAAGATACAGTGAAGTACAAATACAGCAGCTTAGAGGTGCCAAAGTCTTTACACAACAGCTGAATAATATTGTCAAAAACTTTCTGTTCTTTCTTGGGATTGAACTAGAGAGTTTTAGGGATGTACATAACTCTTCTTTGATTGATTATTTACAATAAATAATATAAATTGAATAAAAGATAATCCTAGATACATATATACTGTACATACACCAATAAAAGAGCTATAAATTATCTCACATAAAAATACTTCCTAAACTTTCCTTCCATAAAAACCATTGCTGAATAAAAAAAAAGAATCCAAATAGTGTATGACAATAGGTAATGATAATTATATCATTGTGTTTGTGGTAGTGTAAGACAAGAAAATTCAAACACTTATGAGGAATGAATTACATTTGACTGATACAATGAAAATTTAAAATTAGATATAAGGAAAACTGAGAACAGTACATGCATTAGGCACATCTCCATCAGCCTTGAGTTTGAATCACAGCACTTGACTACATGTAACTTAACAAGAACCCCCAAACAACTTTCAACTGTTCTCATTGTTTTTTCCTAAAACTTCCACTGACTTTGTAGTTTCATTTTCCAGGTTCTTCTCGGCCTTAGCATCATTTCCTTCATCACACTCTTCATCATTTATATAGTTTTCATCGTCATCTTTCCCTGTGGCACCTTTCCTGGCTGGTATAATAGATAGAAGAGATTCCTTCCAGGACTTCCCCTTGACGACCCCCAGCAGGATTTGATATACGTGATCAACAGTTAATACCTTCCGGGTCTTCATCTCAATGAAGTCATCTAAAGGTAGTTTAGCGTGTTTGATGCCTTTCTCGATGGCCAATTTGTAGCACAGACCTTTGTGGACGTTGTGATCCACTAATCCACCAATAACATACACTTTTGTGTCATCCAGGGATGTGATCACATTTTCAGACTCACTGGTAAGGTAAACAACTTCTTCCTTTGGGAAAATATCCATATAGTACTCAGGTTTGAAATAAACATCCCAGTTCTGGTAGCCATCTTGTTTAGCCATGACAGCTTCACACTTTCCCTCGAAACTCGTCACATAAAGCTGCATTGGGTCTGTCACCCGCCTGTTAGCACTGTAACACCGACTAATTTGTTTGACACACTGAGACAGGTGTTTTTCAATCATGAGGTCGTCAAAGGACATGTCAATGGCAATTCTCTGTTTACAACTACTAGCAGCCATAGTTACTTCTTTGAGTCGTTTTCTGATGTTGCCACAAGGTTCCCCAGCAGCACGTTTAGCCTCCAGGCGGTGACGCAGTTTTTCTTTCTCTCTTTTCTTACGTTCCTGTTTAGTGTCGAGCCACTTCTGACGTCTTAGAAACTTTTTCCTCTGTCTTTTGGATAATGGTTGAGAATCTTCTCCATCTACACTGTTGCCTGGATCAGTGACCTCTCCTTTCCCTTCATTGCTGCCCTCAACCATCTCTACTTCTCCTTCTTGTTTTACTCCTTCTGAACTGTTTGTTTCATCACTCTCCATTCTTAAAATATTGATTTGAAAGTCATAAAAAATCCATTAGAAAGTTTACATTGCAAAAAAATATTGTCTCCAACTTAAATCATCACTTTAAACATATTATCATGTGTAACAAAGTCAGCAATACAAATATCTGACTCCTCTTTTATCATACTGTACTTTATTTACTTTAACTAGAGAGAAGCATTAATTGTCTTTTAGGATGTGAGCAGAAATATTGGGGGCTGTAAAAGTGGACACAATATTGTAAGTGGTCTGGGGTGGTAGAGGTCAAGGCTACATCTTATTTCAACAGGAAGGAACCACTGAGCAATAAAAAACTCGAATATATTTAACTAAACTGCATATCATAGTAATCCACTCCTGCTAAAATCAGATAAACTGTACATCATGATGGTAGTTTTCATTCCCTGGAGTGAGTGGAGCAGTGAGTCTACTTGCTCCTCATAAGAACAGTAAGAATTTATGTTCAAAAGCAACGAATTTCCACATAAGGAAAGTTTCTAGAATAGCGGGATTTACTAAGCCATGAAATAAATAAATATACTGTATAGGTTTCTCTGGACTGAGTTTATAATTTTTAGATTTATTTCTCGTATTATTCCAGAAAATCTAACCTAACCTAACCTAGATCTCGTGTGATCCTGTACACTTGTAATTAAATGTTGTGGATCAAGGTACGGCAGCCATATTGACGGACTGTGTTGTTAATGGTTATGTTAGGTTAGGTTAGTCAGGAAGAAGGCCATCTTAGTAACTATTATTGTATAGTCTGCCCACCATACATGCCCATTAGGTTGCTATACCAATAAACATCGACGTTCACATATGGCTCTCCCCGACAGTAACTCAATAAAATATTCCCTGGCACTCCCCGACAGTAACTCAATAAAATATTCCCTGGCACTCCCCGACAGTAACCCAATAAAATATTCCCTCGCACTCGCCGACAGTAACTCAATAAAATATTCCCTGGCACTCCCCGACAGTAACTCAATAAAATATTCCCTGGCACTCCCCGACAGTAACTCAATAAAATATTCCCTGGCACTCCCCGACAGTAACCCAACAAAACTACTCCCTGACACTCCCCGACAGTAACTAACCCCCAAAAAACACTCTCTGGCACTATCTTATTCTCCTCTTGTCTCTCCTACTTCACCACAACTCCAAATAAAACAACAATAGTGAACATCTTACCCAAATTATCAAGAGTTATGAGTGGAAGAGACGGCAGGAGGAGATGTCTGGCCCTCACGTGTTGTTGACATTGTTGGCGTTCGTGGTAAGGTAATCCGGATCTATCCTCTGTCACACACTAGCGTTCGTGACTAGTTGTGACGTCATGCACCGGGTGTTGAGATAATTATGGAGATAGATAGATATATATAGTTAAACAGATAGATAGGTAGAAAATATAGATATTAATAGATAGATAGAAAAATAAACAGGCAATGAATGATAGATAAATGAAGACAGAACAGATAGGTTGATGTATAGATGTTTAACTACATGCAAGACCAATTCTGTGCCTTAACTACCTATATACTACACGATATTTCACTACAGAACATAATTGCTTTATTACCTCATAAAATAGCTGAAAAGTGAAAGACTAATTTGTTTTACGCGAAGATAGAAATGTTTGTATTCCTTTAGCTTTTTTTTAGATTATGTTGAATTAATGTCTATAGGTTTTGTCAGGGTAAGTTTGGTTAGGTTATTTTTTTGGAATGTTAAATGATATATAATGTAGCAGTATGTGGTATGTTGTTCCTCTGATGTAGTTAGTTGAAATTTTGACATAGTTTAGTGGGGGGAGGTCAGGTGTTCTGGTTACTCAGATTGAAACTGTGTCTGCAGTGATTAGTTGAAGAAAGTTGAAGAATTCTTATTTGATCACATGAAGTTAATGTCAGTACAGAGCTGCTGGCATTCGTTTCCTGAAGCATTTACAATTTTCTTCGTGTTTATAAGGTAAGGAAGCATTTATGTTCTATGGTAGGTAGTTAAGGCGCGCGCAATTGGTTTTGACTTACCAAGCATCATATAAATTTGGTAACGCGTTTGATGGCGTAAAATCAGGAGCACCGGTGTTGATATTCGACGAAATTGGGAACTTTCTAAGAATTAAATGCTGTTACATAAATTCAAGTGACAAAAACCGGATCAGCTGAGTTCATAAAACATAAAACACAGTAGATGTCACAAAAAGAAACATTTACAATTAGTGTACGTACAATACAAACAGTAAAAGGTCACAAAAATAAAAGAAATTTGTGTTTTATAAATCAAGTGATCATTAAAATATAAATGTACAGGAAACGAAGGGTTCAAGTAAATCCCACAGCATTCCAGTGTAAATTTTCACTACATCATGCACATAAATTTATTGAGTAAAATCTTCAGATAAGTTTACACTGGTTCGTACATAGACAATTTCCTCAACTTAAGGCCCATTTTTGGTGAGGTTACATTAATAAAAGCCCCAGTTATGACAAGCTTTCTCTATTATACCTAACTGTGGCAAAGCTTCCCTTTTTACAGTGTGTCCCTGACTGAGACCCTTATTGGTGAGGCCAACTTTCAACATGCAATAATGTCACCGAGAGTAAAGGAAGTTTTAAACACAGGTGATATTAAACTGCCCAGGTCTGCCAAAAAAAATGAAGGCCATTCGTAATCAGGTGCGGTTATCATCCCCCGTGAAATAATAGGCAACTATCACTATTTCTACACCTGTACTATCAATGTAAACTATGAACTTCTCTGACGATATTACCCAATAAATATATATTCATCTACCTGAACGATTTTGTAAACCCGCACTGGCAACAAAACAAGATAGATAAATAAAAGAATACTGTGAATATTTCCTATTATCCAAACACCGCCCAACACCATGGTGCAACTACACTCGGTACGTTTATTAGACGTGACCTTCAGAGACCATTACTGTTGTTGTGTGTATCTCTCGTTTACCGTACAAGGAAGAACAAAGTGTAAATAATAATAATAAAATATAGTAACACATCTGATATCGTTTTCTACAAATAAGAGACAACAGTAAACTTTCTTTGGTAATAAATTATAAATAGGATAAACTAATATAAATATGGCAGCGGGTTTTTTTTTATTCATGTGTAAATTTGAGTAAAATATAATATTCTCATTTTTTTTTAATATTCTTTTTCGTAAAGTAATATATATAAATAATGTTTGTAATTTGTTATAAACAGTATATTATGCAGTTGATGATTGACTCCAACCACCACGACCTCCACAAGTGTTCAATAGTCTTAGCATAGCCTTGAGGGAATCGATTTCTTGTTCATTATTAACTTTATGTCTACGTTATTTATATGTTTCTGATGAACGAAATGTGAATATAGAATGTTTATATTTGTGTGTGATGACATTTACTTACTGAATATCAATGTGGGGATTTACTGTTAATTATTATTTGTGTACCTGTATTGTCTATGTGTATGAAGGACCAATTTCAACTTTAGTGATGATTTTTAATGAATATATATATATCTATCTGTCTATTCGTTTATATCTACTTGTCCGTTTGTCCGTCTATCAACTCAATGTCGTAACACGGAACTAGACAATATACAGTACAGTATACATAAGGAACCCGGAAGAGTAACTTAGAGACAAAGAAGAAATACTACAGCTATACTTTACAAGGCCAGCCGCCGGGTACCACCTATTATGAAGTGTGGGCAATGTTTGTGTTCTGTTCCTTTGTCTTACACACTCATACATACATACATACATACATACATACATACATACATACATACATACATACATACATACATGCACACCCGGATTGATGTGTCCTAATGCAAGTGGTTTTTTTAATTCACTAGTGATGCATATACTGTATGTAGTGGGTAATGCGTTTCAGATGGATAAAGAGATATACATATATAGACAACGCAGGTATACAGTATACATAGACAGTATTGATATTTAAGTGTGGATAAAGGATTAATTTTATTGGCAATACCCGGAAAAGAATAATTTATCTGTCCTGAGCCGTGAGCAGTTTGACTTAAAAAAATGCGAGGCTGCAGTGGACGGTTGATCTGGCCAAACTTCTTCTGCACTAAGAGTTCTTTTTGTTTAACCGTTGTTTTTTGGGGGGAAATGAAGAAAGTAAACACCGATTAGGTCAGGGATGGTTAGGTTAGGTTAGTTAATGTTGGATTAAATTTGGTTAGGTTAGGTACTGTTAGATCACGGCATCAGGAATTTCCGAGTTAAAACGCTCTAAACAGTGTCCTCGACTGAACGTCCCTCACTCGACCAGACCAGCAGGTAGAATGTGGTAGTGAACGTGATGACCCTCCCAGCGGTGGTGGTGGTGGTCAGCCAGGAAGTGCCCACACACAACCTCGCCTTAATGTGAACTCTAAGACAAGCACAAAAAAAAAAGAACACCAATGTCACAATGAACGATAACACGGAATCTTACTTGAACGAAAGAATATTGAAAACTATTGAATTCGGTAAACCCAACCAAGTACCACAATGAATGTTCACCTGCCTGTACTCCTGCACTGATGAAAGAATAATGAAAACTAAATCAATATAAACATACGATGAGTTTATTGAATATATTTATCTATTTATCTACGGTAGAAATTATAGTTTCCCACGTACGAGTTTTTTGTACAGCAAATGTTTGAACTGAATCGTAAAGAAACCACACGTACCTTTAATAAATATCTAGTGTGTGTGTGTGTATACATGTATAAGTCTTCATATGTAATTTTTAACGTGTATGTCCGTTTGATTCTTAATATATGCTTGTGTATCCGTAGAATTGTTACTTGATAATTTCTACTGCGTATGCAATGTGTACATTTTAATTCCTGTGTATATGCATATAATTGTTAGTTGTATAATTTGTGTTGCATTTATAGTTCTTAATATATAAATTATTATGTATATACAGTACTCACAATTCTTAGTTTATAATTTCTCACAATATTACATCACTGAGAGAATACCAGCAAGGGTTAACACCATAATATAAACTAAACTCATTTAGTTCAATAACATTAATATCAACATGAGTTGTATTGTGTTATAAAGGCCTCAATCTTTATATAAGATTTAGAGCATTTATTTATTATTTACCTTTAGGGCGAATATTCTTAGTAAGAATCTTTAAGAATTTCTATTTTGGTTATAATCGATTAATTTATTAGTTTTTTTAAGCTTTTATGTAAGACATTTATGAAGTGTCGGATTTGTTTTAACAGAAATACAAAAACTTGAAAGTTATTGCAGTGAAACAATTGTACCATTACTTATCTAATTTACCCTATTTTTATAAAAAAATTAATGGTAATTTCTGGGTAAGTTGTAAGTGCGTCAGTTTAAAGAAAGCTCCCATTATGTTACCTGTCTTCAGGAAACTTGTGGTGAGCGCATCACTTCTCTTCCTGTAAAAAGTCTCGTGTTTGTGAATCAGTATTGAGGAATGTGAAGACGTCCAGTACTTGTCGCACCATCCCAGGTAATGTAATGGTATGACGTCACTACTGCTGCCGACGTCACCAAGACGCTCTTGATGACGCACCTTCACCCACCAATCAGCGGGCCCAGTGAGACAACATTCATATAAGTATGAGGTTCATTTGCTTGCATGTACTTTAGAAAATCGTCTTCATTGCACAAACTCTGTATTTTTTTTAATTTGTTACATCGTATTCAACCTTATGTTAACATTATATTCCACAAAATAAATCTGATTTAATTTAGTTCTGGTTAGATAAAAATATATATAAAAAAATATTCACCGAAAAATGTCTTAAGTTCATTCAACCAATGAGGAGTTCTCGAGACGTTCCAAGACACTGGTGACGTCATAGGGTGGACGCTGGCGGGTTGAGTAAGGAAGATGTATTAGTTAAGGTAATTCCCACAATATATAGGAAAGACCAGCAACATAACGCAAAAACGGAGGAAAATATATCGTGAGGGGAAAGTTACTCTTGGCCAACATGCGGAAACGTGAGATCACTAACTGTGTGATTCACCCCAGCGGATATAATTATAATTATTAACATTACTGGGCATTCCTTCATTAAACCAACTCACAGTTTACCAGTGTGAACCTGTATGACTTAAACTTATTGTATTAACCGCCTAAAAAAACACCTTGGGACTAGAGTAAACATGTTTAGCCCAGAGCTTGAGACACTTCCCTCCCAAGCCACACACATGAGGGGGTTACTTGGCTAGATATTTATCACTTGAA